GCCATCAAGCTTTACGGCTTTTTCATCTTCAGTCGGTGGTCGTGACCCGGATGGAATTTCTATATTCCTACCACCCATTTAATATCCAGATTTCCAGACGAAGGTTTTTTGTATGTTTCACAAATATTATCTATAGTAATATATAAAGCTGAAAAGTTTGTTTGTTTGAACGCGGTAATCTCGGGAACTACGGGTTCGAATTGAAAAATTTTGTGTTAGAGCATTTATCAAGGACGGCTAAAGTCTATAAAATATCGTCTTGACAAAAATTGGAAAAATTATTTCTCATTATTGGTTTCCGAGGCGTACGCTGCAAAAACGGTTAAAGATGCCCAAGTAATATGTATAAGAGTATGATTCCTCTTTAAATTATCAAAAACAATGTCCGCGACAGTATATTATGTCCATACTCGCAAGAACGACGGGTTGCAAGCGACGGGACGCGACCGATGACGTAGGTAACAGAGTGCAAAAACATTTTTGGATGCCCGAAATAACGATTCTCGTGGACAAAGTCGCTTACACAGCTAGTATCACACCTATGTTATTCACATCTATGCTGGACCAGTGGAATCGAACTTAACTTGTTTAGTAGCCATACTATAGGACCAACCAGGCGATGGTAGTATTACTATTTTGTACAAAAACATCGTAACCGCTGAAAAAGTCGCGCTGCCACTGGAAAATTAATTCGCCCTAGTGGTGCTTTAGACAGCAAAGCTCTTTGAACAGTTCTAACAGGCGTCAAAATAGCCCGTTGCACAGTTTTGAACGTTGTCAAATGCGAATGAGAAGTTGATTTTTTTTTAAATCAATCCCTTTTGAGCGCAAAACAGACCGTGTGTAGTGCAAACTCCCGCCCACTCGATGTTTTGCGTCAGAAAACAGAAACACAACGCTATTATCATACAAATTGGTTTCAATAGAAAAATCGAACTAACGCCTTTTAATTTTCCATGAATAACTTTTACATAAAGCCAGTCAACAGGGAGATAATTTTAACTTTATTATTAAAATGCTTTATTTGTCCCATGGACCGCTTCCGTTGCTTAATTATTAAACATGGTTCGTTGTATTAAGAACGTAAGGTCTTGTGTTTGAATCCCGGAAAATATCATATTTCAATTGGACCAAGGCAAATAAGATCAACAACTTACCTATAAATAAAATGTATTAATTAAACGTAAATGTATAAGTAAAAAACAATATTTTTTTTATCTTAAACGTTAAACGCAATAAACTGTATGGAGAGTTAATTATTTGTATAAAGTTTGAAAAATAAATGTAAAATCTAAATATTACATATTTTATAATGAAGAATATTATATCAAGTTACACCTATTCACACGACTGACAAACATTAAGTAAATGTTTTAGTCGTGTTTTATACCGTTCACAATGTTTCATTTAATATTATAAGCAAGAAAACGTTATTATTTTAAAGTCGTGCACCAGAAATCGTTCACATAATTAGCGCTATGTCGTCGTGATATTACTTCCAAAAACCAGTAGCAATGTAATGATGCCTCGTGTTCAGCTGTGAAGTAAGATAAAACTTGCCGATCGTTTCACATTCTGTTAGTGTCCAGCCTTTTAAACAGTGCATAACAGTTCAATGTTGGGGAAATATTAATAAGGTAATTCTTGGATATCTAGTCATTTATGGGTTAATTTTAGGGCAATGTTTAGAATAGTACGAAATTAAAAATTACTTAAAAATAAAAAAAAGTATTATTTTTATAAGTTTACCTTATTATCGTATGTTGAAACTTTTTACTCCAAACCAAAATATTGGCACATGAAACATATATCTTAATCAGAGTAACTTAAAAAAAGAAACATTTCCTAAGACTAAAATTCCATGGTAGGTACTTTACTTATATATCCTAGGAGGTTTCCGCAAAAGCATTGAACGATAAACAACATGATGAATACTCATAAAGATATATACGTATGTCTCTATGTCTCAATGATTGCATGAGTTACGTGCAGTTCTGGGTTCTAACTTTGAAAAATAAAATGCCAAACTTTTATACGTTCGCTTAGCCAAGGCCCAAGTGAAGCGGACATAGAATTTTCTCGCCTTATGCCAGTGAGAAACGCGATTTCACACATTTATATTGTACAAACTCTAAAGAGACATTTTATATTGCATCAGACGCAATATAGGTGTAGATATAGATAACAGGTGCAAATTGAAACAGATCACGAAGCTGTTAAAACGACGCGGTAGCGTATTAGGTAATCAATACAATCGAAAACGAACATGAATAAATAAAAGTATTATATACATAATTAAAATATTTATATAAAAAACATTTCTTTACGTATATTCTCACTCAAAATATCTAAGTATCTTAAATTTTACTCAAATGGCTGGTAGAAATAATGGCAAAATATTGTAATTTCATCCGGGTCAACGAACCATCGACCACAGATGAAAAAGCTGTGAAGTATAATCGCGTGTCCGTTTCAGTCTGTGAATATCCAAACTGAAAATTGGTTGATAGCACGTCTTGATGGAAGACAGTACATTATTATAGATTACTACTACAATTACTTTGTTTAAAATGAATGGTTTAATTATAAAATTCATATAATGCACAATATATCCAGAAATTGTTATAATCCCAACATATAGTCTTAGAAAAAGCCGCCGCGAGAACAAAGCCAAAATAAATAAGCATTTCCCTTTTTCATACAGCTAAGCAAGTATCTTCAGGACGAGAAAAACATAGAAAATAATGTTCATATCTTTGTCTCGTGGTTTTGTGCGAATGCATGTGTTTTTTGTGCAGCAGTATATAATATAAATTAGTTTTATATTATTCAATTGTAAACCCCTTTTTTCCCTTTAATTTAATGTTGTAACATAATTATTAATTAAGTAATGCTACTTAAGGGACTACAGTTAATGAAAAGATAAACCTAAAAAAATCAATGGCCTACAACACCATTATATAACTTTTTTACTTGAAGCCTATATAGCAATAAATTGTCTCATAGCTTTTTATTTTTGCCGTGAAGCTTCTCTTTATGTACAACCCGGAGTCGAACTCGATCGCTAATAGCAACGCAGCCATTAAATATTGATTAAGACTATATACGTCTAAAGGCTGTCCATAATCTAAGTTCTAACTTTTTTCACAAATCCTCTTAGGGACCATTTTATCATTGATATATTACTGTTTCAGCTTACTTCAATATTTGTTAGCGGCTTTTTGTTTACGTGAATCACAGTTTAGAGTGCAGCGACAAAGCATCAGGTGCGATATATTCAGGCAAATATTTTATGAAAATACAGAGTGTGGACTAGGGATGAGTGACAATATCGATAAAATTCGTCGAATCGGTTTCATATTAAAGATCTTGGTGATTATAAAACGTTCGAACTGCTTAAAATGTATTTGTATTGTTAATGTAAACATAACATGGATTTTCATTAACATAATTGTATTGGTAGCATAAGATTCTAATATGAAATTATGTATAATGTAAAATTATTACACTTCGTTTTAAAAAATAATAATTAAAAATAGATCTATCGAGAACAATGTTAGTAGACACGACTAAGGAGGGGTGTCGCGTCGCGGCCGCATCTACAGCCAAACGGTAAACACTTTGCTGTAATCTCGAGATGAGAAAACTTTCAGTTCTCTTAATTCAGAAACTTATTCAACAACCTAACAACCTTAGAGCGGACCGCCTGGCGGACGCAACACAAACAAACTTACTCTTTAATCTTTGTCTCTATTAGAATAAACATTTAAAAATTATAATATTGCATTTGCATCTGCCGAGATGATATCTGTGAAATTGATATTTTAATTAACTTTAGAGATTGCTATAAAACATTCCGAGAGGGTTTTTAGACTATTTTAAATTCGGGTAAAATTATTGGAGGCTGTATCTGTTTCTGGAGTATAATTTATTTACCGGCATGTGAATCGGACTTCTCTGCTCTTCCCGACTGTTTATTATGTTTTCCCAGGATTCAAATCTAGGAGTTCTCGTAATTAACGCAATGCAAGACAATGAGCCATATGGATAAATATGAAAATAGTATATATCTACTATAATAGTAGTAGTAACGATTTGAAAAGTAATAAATAGCGTCAATTTATTTCCATTAATGTAGATTTAACTTTTCTTACAACAAAATTTTGTTATAATGACAATACATATACATTGATGATGATGATGATTATCTTAGAGACCTTCTGTAATACGATTCTTAGGTGGAAATAACAAGTACCCGTTCCACCTTCGATTAGATATGTAATGTGGATGTTAACGTACACTTGGATTAAGAAGATATCGCCATGAATAATGATTATGTAGTCATCATCCCGACCTTGAAAAGTTTCAAGAACCATTACGTCAGCATATAATATATTGCTTATAAAATGAATAATCATTCAAAGAATTTTAATTACACCAGTTTGGATTTTTTAAGATACCGTCGGCCCTTTTGTGTATAAATTTGAAAATAATAAGTCCGATAGCGTACAGATCTGTATGCAGTTATCTCCGATACGTGGCTGTAACTTCTTTAGCGGATTACCGTTTATCACCTGCGTAACACGGTAAATTGTACCTGACAGCCGCTTAACACTTCATAAACATAAATCTTTGCTTAGCGATCTGTATACACTAGTCTTTATCACAAACGCGTGACTTCAGCTCTTGGCTGAACGTGTAAGTTGGATCGGCGAAAAAAAATACTCCAAAAGCAATTTGGATGTACCGCGTCAATTCAATTACAAAGTGAGCGCTCCAGTACTCCGTCGCAGATTAGGGCAATGAAAAAATATTGCAGGAAAAAATCTAACAAACACCTAATAGACAGGTACTGTACGCTTCGAGATTTGTTTCGCTAAGTGTTATTGTTGTGATTTGTGTGTTAATCTGCCGAAACGTTACGCAAAGTAGATGCTCTTTTGTCTTCACGAACAGAGCTATGATTTCCGTGTCCGTATTGTAAGGAATGTATTTTTCAGATGAGTCCAAGCAAACGCAGTTCACTCGGCGATCAGCCCGAGTCCCGCCCGACCATAGCTGTCACGGACATGGACACTGTGCACGAGGAAAATGATAACGACAGGTAATCTATTTGTAGATCAATTAAAATCTACACTTACATTGATTCGCTGGGAGCTCTGCATTAAATTGTCATTTTAATTACTTATATAAAGCCAGTTTAAATGGTATTTCATATCTAGTGCTTCATATGACGTGTTTTAACTGGATTTTTTACATTTAGATTTACATGAATTAAATTTGGAAGAGGCTTGAAAATTTAGAATTAAAAATCGATTTTTGATTATAACATTTGTACGACACGGGCAGAACTTGAATCGGCATCTATAGCGTTCCGTGCTGTTGCTCTAACCAAATGAGCTACCGTGTCCTACACGTCATCGTCGACAATATTTTAATCTATATGCACCTCTCGCACGATGTAATTTCAACGTTAAAGCTTACATCGTTTATTTACGTAAAGTTTTTTTTTATCTAAAATTTTTATTTATATAATGCCATCATGTGCAATGATTACGATATTAGAATTTAATGTGCCTTTAAAATTAAACATTGTCCTGGAAGTGAGCGTTAATATCCTTTAATATTTAAAGGCGATATCTGAGAGATTCCGCGGAGCAAACTTAATTAAAGTTTCTTTTAAGCGTACCTGCTTTTGTGTTAGGGATGCAGCCGCGTAGATAAGATATTATCTTATAAGATCAGATGCATGCACGTCGTTATAATATTCGCGAACTTATTTCCTTTGTAAATATACAATTAACCTTTAAATATATTTACGAACCACCATACGCCGGTTAGCTTGAAGAAGACACAATTCTGTATTGAGATTTTGTCGCTTTTATATTCTATTATAGTTTTATTTTAAAGGCCAGTTGGTCTCCGTTTTTGAATTATATAACCATATACATATATTCAGTGGATATACTGAGTCGCCGGGGAAGCTTTAGCGATATATCCAAGTAACGATTTGAGAGATTTTGAGCTCGATATAACGTATATGCATATTTATCTTTTGTTATATAAAGTTCAAGCAATATATATTCTTGTTCTGTGTACTATGTATTTCTAGTTGCCAAGCTTGGGTTATTAGATATTAGATTAATGAAGTTTTGGTAGATCAATGTCCCAGGTTCGAAAAAATACTTCTACTTATTCAATGTGAAATTCCTAAACCAGAAATTGGAAGAAGGCGATTGTGTCTCGGAGAGTACTTCAACCCGTCATCACTAATGGAGTGCCGGATGTCGGTTGAGCCCATCAATCCGCACTGGGGCAGTGTGATAAATTTAAACTCTGTAAGCTTATCATATATATAATTACTATATTTCGTTTTCAATATTTTTCGACATTTTATCATAGCTCTGACTCCGTGCCCACGCTTATAGATATAAGATATTGCCCACGACGTCGGCCGCGATTCGTCGTTCTTGCAAGTTAATCTTTAAAGATAGATATATAGTGTTGCGGCCTATTTTTAGGATAGTTTAAAGAGGAATCATTCTTTTGTACATATTTTTGGAGTCTTGAAGTGTGTTCCGAGCACACTCATCAGAAGCCCAGCACATATAATTTTCTCCGTTTTTTTCACATTTCCAGCTGTTCACTCAAGCCTATTAGTCGCATCGCGTTGTAGGCTAGGGTAGGTTGTATGGCCTTCCTCGACAAATGCTCTAATCAATACAATAAGAATTTTACAATTTGAACCAGTTGTTCCTGTTCGCTTCCACACATACAAACAAACAAACTCTCTAGATATATATTAGCATAGAGTATAGATAAGAATCTATACCATAAAAAATATTAAGATTGTCGAAATAAAAGCCAAGTTCCCTATGGAAATATCAATAGCTTTGGTAGGAAATCGAATAAACAAAATCGTATCGAATACGTTATGGAAAATGAAAAATGCGAATGTGTACAGAGAGATTTTGGTGCATAACGGGTGGCGGAAATATTTATGACGTTTGATGGAAGTCTTTGTGCTATTTAATGCACGCCTTTTCAGTTTGTTTTGCTTATCTCTAGGTCCAGAATAAGTGAATACCTTTTAAAACTTATGCTTTAAGTATTACAATTACTTACACTACAGTTAACGTAGAAAAACTAAAACTAAAACAATCTTCTTTGGCAAGATCTTCAAGAAGAGCTATACTAGGTTGCTAAATGGTTTTATTTATTTTGTTAACTATATGTTTATTGGATTCAAGTCCAATCCTACGTGAGGTAACTATGGGGCGAACACACCGACTTTGATTAAGCAAGCGAAATTGTTTTAAATGGTCGTCAGACCCTAACTAATACATGTATATTATCTTTCTAATCTTAACCAACTGTCTTATAAAAGAATCACTCGCGAATAACCGTTGCTAGGAAACGCTAATTCATAAATAGAAACGTACAGTCATTACAAATTCCATTTTTACTATCTGTATGTTGTCATAAATATACCACACATACAAATTTTTGCCTGACTTAAATATACCATACAACCAAACAATGATTCGTTTTTTTATGAAATCAGCATTTTTGAAATTTGTTTATTTCAGATAAAATAATTTCAGTATAATTGAAGAGTACATATTTGTTTTAATGACTTCTGACATTAGCATACAAAAGTAATACTCAAATAATAAGTGCCATTTAGACAAATGAATATTTATTTATATTTTTTCTTTAATGTGGTCCCAAACTAGGTATTATCTATGTTTTTGGAAGCACAATGTGTGCCAATAAAAGCAGACAATAACGCTATAACCTATAACACTTCTTTCATTTGTCTTTGTCTTAAACAAAGTAAGCAGATCCAGCGTAAAAATCCTTGAATAAGAACCTACGCAATTACACCGTAACGGCAAACCTTTACAAATACACATATTCTTTATTGTCACAAAACAAGAAACAAAACAACAATAAATAAAAATTGGTCGAAATGACGCACCAACAGCGGATATATAACTAAAGCTATCTCTTCCCAGCAACCGCACTGAAACCTCAATGATGAGCGTGACAGTAGAAAAAGGTACAAAATTATAACATCATTATTTTTTACATGTTATTGCACATGATGGTACTATATAAATTAAAAACAAAATAAATTGAAAAAAAAAATCGACTCGGGAACGACTTGAACCGGAATCGTCAGCGTTTCGTGTTGCTCTAACCAATTGAGCTACCGAGCACCTCGTCGACGAATTTTTCAACCTAATTCATTTTCAATTTTTAATTTAAGATTCTTGAAGTAAGCCTGTATTCTCGCACTAATGTTATAAAAGGTCTTACGATTGTCTTTTGTTATGCAGCGACGAGTCATCATACTCCGACGTGGCAAGACTCAGGGAACGAACGCATGCCGTACTAAGTCCAGTTCTCGAGCCGCTGGTTCAAAGCTCACATTCGCAGCCCAACAGCCGTAGGATGTCCAGCGACGTAGATATTAAATCTAATCTCAACACGAGGTAAATCCTTATCCCATAGTGGAAAACCCGTATTTATTCTAGAACAGACACTATAACCCATCTTTATTCTTTCTCCTTTATTCATTCAACAACGTCAGATTACAAAAAATGTCATACAAGATTGCCTATTACAGGCCACAATTGAACAAGAGATGCAAGCAAAGCTTTGTCTGAAAACATTAAAAAAGGGTATCACATAACTAACTAGTCTCTAACTACATGTTTCGTTGATTTTGATCAAGGAACTTTTTTTTTTTCAGTCTGAGGTATTACACAGAGTAGACATTCCCTCTACGTGTCTAATGTGTAATATTCTGAAAGTTGTTGCCAGTTGGAGTCGACGACAACATATCTCAATTTCGTAAAATAGCATAAAAAACGTTTAAAAAGTAGTAACAGTTACTAAAACAAATTACTTTACCGTGAGACTGTAATATAATTTCTACTTATTTCATATAATACATACCTCCCTATTTATTATTTCTGATTCTCCGTGTACACATGGTAATTAGAGATACAAATTTAATTTATCACCATAGTTCTTTAAGTTACTATTTATAATAGGTTGCAATTTCTTTGTGTATCTTATAAAAATAACATATTGCCTGGTCGACATTGAAATCGAACTAAAGCCACGGTGTTTCTCTCAGGCGTCCGTCCGCCATTATAGCAGCGTTTCGGCGACCGTCGCAAGCGCTTGCATTATGCGCGGCCACGCAACGCAGGTTCCTGTCGGAATTATCGCCACAGTCCCGAAATTCGATGGCATCCACACATGACCAACCTCCATCTGCCGCTGAGATCCTGGGACAGTAAGTAGAAAGACCCGTTTCCACTTTGTTTAGTGGGTCGGACTTATCTTGTATCCGTGTCATGGATTACTAGAAATAGAATGAGACGAAGACCTAAATAAACGCAATATAGACAAAGGACAGCCTTTGTTTTCGCGAATAGTACACATTTAAATAAAACACTTCTAACGGTTTGAAACGTATGTATAAGTTATTTAGAAATTATTCGATATAAATTTCGAATTAAAAATACACAATTATAATACTTAACAAAATTATTCATTATAATTAAAGTGCTTTATTTTTCAAAATTGTAGATTAAAAACGCGAAATGTTAGTTACACTTATGTTTTATTATAATTATTATAAATATTGTAGTAGTTTGTAAATAAGTATGTATTAGTTGAACTAATACATTTCACATTTTAGACTGTTCAATATGTTTTATTTGAGCAAACAAAGGCGTTCAATATTATCTATTAGCAACACCTAGGGCAACACAGTACCCGCCAATATATTTATTTTCAGACTTTAAAATTACTCTTTAATTTTCAGTGACAAAGGCACTTAACACAATAACCATATGAATCTGAAAACGTGAAAAGTTCTGCACGCATTCCGATAAGCAATTCATTGTGTATTATCAAGCAAATGATTATTGTATAAATTAAACACTTTAAAAGATTAAACTCATTTAGATAGTTTAACTAATATATCGTTTAATTAGTGTTTTTTTTAAATGTGTACTACTCGCGTAAACTATAGACAGTATTTAAACCGATTATTGTATAAATTAAAAAAATAAAATTTTAACTAAAAATCATTAAAAACAAAAATACAACACGGACAGACCTCGACCCGGGTCCCCACCCGGTTGAAAAAATTCGACGATGACGTGTAGCCACGGTAGCTCAATTGGTTAGAACAACCGTGTTGTTGTTCTAACCAAGTGAGCTACCGTGTGCCGTGTGCGTACGCTGTAGATGCCGGTTCAAGTCTTGCCCGTGTCGTAATTTTTTTCTATGTATATTCGATTTTCAGCTTATATCGTGCCATTATATGCAAAATAATCTTTCGTCATCTATTTCTACTTAGTCGTAGTGTAACAAATGTCTATATATCGATACGTGTTGTTTTAGCGAAGCATTGAGCAAGGCATTATCCGCCCTCTACGCGAAGCTGCTAGTGGTGTTGGGGTTAGCATTTCCTGTAACGGAAGTCATCGCGAACGGCGTCCCAGATGCCTACTACCAGGTAATAAGGATGTACTTTTTCCGTCTGTTGTTAGTTTGTTTGCGTTGTGACTTATAGAAGAAAAGAAAAAAAACGGAAAATGTAGAAAAAATTGGGAATAAAATAAATATGTACGTTTTAAAATTAACTTGCAAGAACGACAGGTCGCAACGAGCGAATCTCAGTAAGAGCATAAGAATAAACTTGTAAAAAATATTTGTTATTAACATTAGTATCTATACATCATCACATACATACATATCAGTACATCTTAGGGGTAAATTATGATTTTTATGAATGTAAAATCCTAACATCACCATATTGTATACTTACCACATATACCTATAGGTATAAATATATTACACATAGTGTGTTGTATTCGTATCAATTAGAGGCTCATAAAACACTTCTTTTGCAGGGATTCTATTTGTACTTGTACTTAGTATCGCTACTCTTCGTGATATTCCAATATGTGAATCTGATGCGTCAGAAAGCGGTCACGATGATCATCCACGACCACGGTAGGTTTTATTCATTTAAAAATCTCAAATTAGCGTAATTTGCCTAACAAAATGCAACATTAAAAACACATCTCGTTTGCATAATTGCTCGAGCCAAGAATAGCATCTTATGTATCCAACTAACGTTTCGCCGTTTGGATTGTCATTAAATAAATGCTACAATTTGTGCCTTCATTTGCATGTTTTTTCAGGTGTAATTGAAAAAGATGAGAGGAACGACAAAACTAGCCCAAACGATAAAGCCAAACAAAAAGAAGTGATCACTCGATATGGAAGTTTTTATTTAAGATTGGGAGCTATCGGTAAATTATATCAGCATCTAGTTATTCAACAAGTTTCTAACGATTTAAATAAAACACTTTAACGGTTTAAAACGCGATATATTAGTTAAACTTATTTGAAAATGATTTTTAACTTCGAAGTTAAAAATCATTTTCAAATAAGTTTTTAACTTCGAAGTTAAAAATCATTTTCAAATAAGTTTAACTAATATATCGCGTTTTAAACCGTTAAGGTGTTTTATTTAAATGTGTACTTCTCGCGTAAACTATAGACGGTTTTTAAGTTTCTAACGATTTAAAACGTTCTATTGTATAAAAAAATCCAAACTTTACGGTTACCTAGACGGCTAGAAGGCATGTCGTCGGGTCGTAATTAAAATCAATCAACGTTTATATTTCGCGTTTTAAGACATTAAGAGTTATTTTTTAATACACAAATTATAAATTTTGGCGCCCAAGATTTGAAATAAACATATTTTAAGAATTTCTTGATTTTAAACGTAAACCACCAGTAGACGAACGACTTTTACGTTACCAAGCAGTAGACGGAAATTTAAAAAATGTATATTTTTTTTTTATGCGTACATATTGAGGACTAGCAACGTCATCTCGCTTTCCTTGTAGTTCGTTAAAATATTATACCATTAAAACACAATTCTTTAACAGCATTTGGCATCGGATCTATGGTATACAGCGGTTTGGAATTGGGAGAATACTTCGAGCTCAAACACCGCTGTCGCTCCGTCTTATCCGCAATGATACCAGCACTCCGCATGGCTCTTACCCTAGCCCAGATGCAGTTCATCTTCTTCACAAACAAAGACATCGAATCCGGTGGCAACAAACTGATTCAACGGTTCGGCTTCATGCACATGATCGCGGCGAACCTCTGCGAGTGGCTTTACGTATTGGTCGAGGAAACCAAACACGAGATCCATCATCTGGAACATTCGATGCTCTCTCAATCAAATAATACAAATAATGTAACAAGTGACATTCCGTGCCGGAGATCCAATATTATGGGTGCGCTGGTACAAAACGCCTCGCCATTCCTATTTCCGTGCACAATTGAATATTCTCTCATATGTGCTGTTATTTTATATGAAATGTGGAAGGAGGTGAGTTTATTAACATCGATAAAAGTAAAGGCGTTTTGAAAACTTTAATATTTTTCACATGTTATAAAGATTACATCTCCTTTCCCATTACATAATAATGTTATAAACCAATTTTCAGATCAAAAGTACTCCAGAAGACTTCGAAAAGAAAATCAACTACGGAAAGAAGTCACGAAACAATTCAGTTACACCCGAAAAGATATTACAACAGTTTGGTAATTAGCTTTTACAAATTTAAAAGTTACAACGTCTACTAAATGACTTACCTACACATAAAATATATTTCGCAGACAATACTTTTCAAAATCGGTTAAAAACAATTGACGGGTTCCGTAGGCAAAGGTTAACACGATGCCATATTTTTAAAACTCCGTTTGGGATCAACGGAATATCCAAAGCCAAAATAGGCCGATAGCGCATCATGTTAGATGTTATATGCCTTGAGTAGTTCACCTTCCACCAAGTTCACCTCATGCTTGCCTATCCTGCCCTCTATCGTATTAAATAAAAAAACCTGTAATCTCCTTACATGAAGATAATAACGAAATCAATATTTATATATTCATTTATATTGCATGGGATCTATCAGTTACATCAATAAACAAATTTTATAACTATTTATATTGCCTAAAAATAAAACACTCTCAATGGTTAAAAACGCGAAATATAAACGACGCAGCCGCAGTCGTGGTGAAGCGATGTTTTTGGCTGCTGCAAGTCATCGGGAACGTTGGGCCGTAGGTTAAATCAATTAAACAAAAGTTAACTAATGTTATGTTATACCATTGAAAGTGTTCTTTTTTTTGTGAAAACCACAGGTAATAATTGTCCTTTTTCTAAATAACGGTACGGAACCCATTTTGACTCCGTGTGCCCTTTGACTTAGCTAGTTTTTGTAATGAACTATTAATTTCTCTTCTAGCTGGAATGCTAGGAGTTAGTTCGCCTCATGGAAGTAGGAATGCCCTACATCATTTCTCGGTCGACTGCTCCCACGCGCATAGAGGACTGTTCGCTGGCATTCTTGTTATCGTGCTGACGATCATATCCTTAATTATGTTCTTTGTTTTGGCGCATAATAGTAATACAGTAAATGTAAGTGTTAGCTACATCTGTACTAATTTTATATTATAAAGCTGAAAGTTGAGTTTGTGTAAATTAGACCATTGATCGAGGAAGGCTGTGAGACATCGCGCTGTGACCATTAGGATTGAAGAAACAGTGGGAAATATGGAAATAAACGGGGAAAGTTATTCATCTTTCCCTCGGACCTTTCAAATACCCAAAATATAATAATATAGATAAGAAAAAAACTATTCCTCTTTGACCGTTTCAATCCGGGATGACTAATATAAATTTTTGGGATAAAATCAGTTAGAGAAATATGTATGAAACTTAAAGGATTATAGTTTTATCGATTATAATTTCAAACACAAGTTAAGTAAAATAAAACTAATATCATTTTCTCTTTCAGGACGCCATCTTTGAAGTAAACATTTGCGAATTGATTTTGTATACACTATCTATTATGGCTACTGTGGTAGCATTATTGCAAATGAGAGCTTTGCCGTATAAAAGAAAATCTCAAGGTATTTTGTAGATATTTCATTATAATGATTCTTATCTTATAGTATCATGAGCTTGTAGTAGGAAAATTCGAGATAGTAGCAATATAAGGAACTAGACATTCGGACTTCGTCATGAAATCTGTAATATGAGTAGTAGACACAGGGGAAATTTCTTTCGGGTCGCACACCACAGTGTACAGATGAAAAAGCTGTTAAGTTTAATAGCGTTTTGGTTTCAGTGTGTAGATTTTCCATCATCCAAAGGTAAAATACATCATCAGCGTGGAGTATTTTACCTTCCATTAAAAAAACCCTGCGTTAGTTTGTTCTCCCATCACATGAAAGAAACGCAAAATATATCAACATTACTTAATATATATTACAACTGAGCACTAACCGTAAGCACGGCTGTTTTAAAACATTCAAAACTTGAGTCATTGTTAAACACATGTCAACTAATATATTTCACGTTTTAAACGGTTAAAACTGTTTTATCACTGTGCACCAGTTGTGTTTAACGCGTGTGTAATAGCACAAAATTAGGTATATTTTATTGTCTAGCTGTACTTGGTTTGGACACATCTCTTCTAATTTTGGCGCAATCTGGAATGTTCGTGTACTGTATGTTCAGTCTGATAGGCTGTCATCACACCTTGAACAAAGAAAACAGTTCTGGGCTCACGGGATTTTTCTCCGAGTTCTTATCTTTGAATCAGGTAATTTCAACTGATAGTTAGTGAACTAAAACGTCATACGATATTTCTGTATATTTAATATTGATTTTTTTTCAACTTATTAAAAAAGACATCGTTTTAAAACAAATCTTTTATTTGCATAATATCGCCTCGATTTGAACACTGGGCTTACAATGCAATAATATAGCTTTATTAATTTTTATGTAATTGAATAAATGTTTTGTTTGTAAATTTTTCAGACCACGCTACAATCTCTGTTCATAATAGACGCATGGTGGCGCAGAAGCAGTACATCGGAACAACGAAGGAATAAGCCGGGAAGGCAGCTGGTCACGTTCCTTCTTGTAGCCAACATGGCTATGTGGGCTATTAATACCCTTGAGAAGGTAAGATTGTCTTCAAACATACAACAAGAAGCTAAGAAATATATATATTTTTTTAATAGGACGGACAAGTATGACGTTCACTTAATACTAGGTGAAATACTCCCGCCATACAACATCTAAACAAGATGCCCTGTCGATCTATTTTGGCTTTGGTTGCTGTGTGTATATATTTAGTGTTTGACACAAAAGAGTGTCTTATAACTTGATTAAAGACTCAAAACATGCAGTTATAACTTTCCCCTATACTCAAAATCACCTTTATTTTGTTAATCATATATAGCTTATATAGAAAGCAAATTTTTTACTGTTTTAATTAAACACTTTTAACGGGTTAAAACGCGAATATATTAGTTAACCTATTTGCAATTTATTTTAACCACGACCCGACCTTTCGGATGCGTTGCAGCAGCCGTGGTCACGGAGAACACGTGACTAAGTTTAAATCTGTTAAAAATGTATTATTTGATTGTGTACCCGCGTATAGTATAGACAAGACTTAATATTTTTACTAACCGTTCTGCAAAAGTACACTCTTTACACGACTTTTTTATCATTTTAAAGATTATTTTATTAATCAATCTTAAAAAAATATTTTTCCAGGTTTTAAATAATTAAGGAAAGTACATGCCAATATATAAATGGTTAATCGTTTTTCAGAATCGAGCCGAGTTCAGACCAGCCCATTTGGATTTCTATGGACCCTGGGCTTGGACCATAATCACCCACGTGTCTATGCCACTAGCGATATTCTACAGATTTCACTCAACCATATGCCTCTTCGAGATTTGGAAGAATAGTTTTAAAACAAAACCGATTTATTTGAACGTTTGATAATGCAATAAAGTGTTAAAGAGATCTCTTTATTATTTTATCTTTGAAATCTATTTAGTTTTTATACACACGAGAGCTGATACAAATTGAATTTAAGTACTTATCTCAATTGGTAGAGTGACGATGCTACTCTGTCATAAGTTCGAATCCTGCTCGTTGTTTTTCAAGACCAAAATATTTTTCAACTAAAATCTTATTTCGATATTCTTCATAAATAAACAATAAGACAAACTTTTCATTTACGATAATTACGTTTTTAATTGTTAGTTATAATCAAGTTAGATTATTATACCCGCGGAGACTTCAGTACAGTACCTTACCTGTGGGCAGTCAAAAATATAGAAAACAATTTGTTATTTCTAACGTAACTTATAACGCACCGACTTTAACTAAATTAGTCCTCAATATAATGAAACTTAATAATATTACCAAGAATCTCTAAAGAAAATTTTAATGTCTACGATCATTATTTTTGGCATAGTTTAAATACGCATTGTTCTGGAAAGAAAATAAACTATTTAAGCGTAATATATATCTTTATTTCCTAACAAAAGTATACCAGGCGACGTAGTTCGTGATGGCGCGCTTAACGCACTGTACTGTGTGTCCTTTGTCACGACAAACAAATAACAATACACCACTAATTGTTTGCATTTACTCTGCGGCTGTGTAATTACGTCGTGAGCTCTGAAAAATCAATTCCGGTTATTTTCGTAAATTAAAAACCTATTCCGGTTCAACGTAATCTTTCGAAACTAGTATAAATTACTTTGTATGTTATTCACAATGATTAGAAATCTCGTATAAGATACTTTCTGATAATTGATGTCACCTTCCATTAGTTACAAATTCGTTACACTTTCGTTTAATGTAAGACCATTAAGGTATGACCAAATTTATAAGGTTGGAAGTACTTACCTACATACATACAACAAAAGTTGTTTGTTATATATTTAATATGTTATTAAAAGATTGTTTTACTAGAGATATTTTTAATTGGCCGAACAAAACATTAAAATTTTTCAAATAAGTTTAACTAATATATCGCGTTTTAAACCGTTTAAGTGTTTTATTTAAATATGTACTACTCGCGTAAACTATAGGTAGTATTAAAACGATTGTGTTAATTACTACTAGTTGTAAACTTCCAAAATTTGTCTAAATAACTTTTGACTTACTGTGTTTCAGTGTCACGTTGATTTAGAATGACTCACAGTAAACTAATTTTATTATTATCTTGTAAGACTAGGTACACTATTATGAGCACCATCAAAAAAATATTTTTTCATAAGCTAGTCAACCAATCTTATACCCAAAATGTATTGGGAGCTGGTTTAGTGGTATAAGAAACTGACTTCTATCTTCAAAGGATCACGAGATAGATCCAGGATCATGCATCAACATATTATAAATAGATAGACGTTGTTTGTCTGTACATTTAATCAAAGCATCAAAAATGGAATGTTGTTGACATAGAAAGGCTGACAAAAGGAAAAAAATATTTTAAATAAATCCACCCATGTAAAATTTATTTCCATTACATATAACCCGTGTTTATTTTTAATCGGACGCCAGAGAAATAAGTTTACAGTTTCTGTATACGCCCTAAATAATAAGGGTGCAACAGAACTGAAACGACTAATGTCTATTTGTCGTGCATCTAGATAAACGTATTCATCGATAAAAAGTAGTATAGCTAATAACATTTCAAACGCTTTGATTAAAAATCTTGTAACCTCTAGGATAACTTTTTTAATGAATATCAATTCCCCAATTTTTAAAATTAATCAGGAAATTATAGTTTTTCTCGGTAAGCCAGTTCGGTAAATATTTGTTAAAGAAAACGTTATGTCACACATTATCTAACAATAAGGCTCAAAGTAAATACACTTAAGGATTTGAAAGTAAGAATTTGATTGACTTGATAAAATTTAAATAACATATCAAATGTTTTCATTAGATCTAAGTACACATAAGGCAGAAATGTCAAAATCTGACGTCATCGTTTATCTCACGAAACCGCCACAGCTTTACGGGAGAAAGATAATATCGCTTCAGATCTTTTATCATAATCAGTACTTAGCCGATGAGTTTATCAATAATGTTCAACAACGCCGGAGATACAGCACAAATTAATGGAGTTAAAGAAATTATCGATCTATTCTTATTTAAAATGGAGGATACCATAGCAACGGATATTGTTTGGTACGATCTTTTATTATTACTTATTATACTAATTAATAAAAATTCAATAGTCTTTATTGTTATTGCAAGTCCGTAAGCACACTCTGTAATTTACGCGAGTAGTATATAGTATAACTTATTTTAGTTTTAAACCGTTAAAAGCATTTCTTTTTTAGTCAGTAAGTGGCTATATTAATCTATTCAACTTTCTCTTAAATGGACTACTAGTGCTAATCAAATTCAACAAAAATAAGATTAAAGTATTATGTAAACTATGTAATTTAAAAATCGAAAATAAATTGAAAAAATTTTCGACTCGGGCAGGACTTGAATCGGCATCGTCAGCGTTTCGTGCTGTTGCTCTACCAATTGAGCTACCGAGCCTGCCCGAGTCGAAAATTTTTTCAATTTATTTTCGATTTTTAAATTATATAGTGCCTTCATGTGCAATAACATGTAAAAATTAATAAAGTTTTCAAATGATGTAAACTATGTTTTTTTATTAAATAGTGATTCAAAACCATCCACGAGCTACGAGCATCGTAATCACCATCTCCATCACCCACTACGTCAATCATCTACCAGTTTAGAAAGAAAAATACGTCATAACATAAGGTATTTAAAAGTTGGACTTCCTTTGAAAATAAGACATCACACTCGGATAATAAAGTTAGAAGATAAGTTTCCTCCTATCAGTTAATATATGGACGCAGTAAACTGCAACTTTCCGTTATTTCTTTGTCTGATTATACTACAGATAGATAGAAATAACAGGACTAGCGAACGACGTGTCATACTCGAAGTTTATGCGGGAGGCCTATGTCCAGCAGTGGACGGCTGAATCGAGATAGAAAAAATATTTTTCTTTTTGCACATTAATAATTAGGAATTTCTTGCTGAATGAAATTTCAGATACTCTTTATACATAACTATCACCTTCCCTGACTGTTTCAAACAGGAATACTATATACATTAAAACAATTCACGACTCGGGCAGGACTTGAACCGATGTCGTCAACGTTCCGTGCTGTCGCTCTAACCAATTGAACTAGCGTGGCCTACATGTCACCCGAGTTGTAATTTTGTTCAATTTATAATCGATTTTAATTTTTATAGTGCCATCGTGTGCAAATATTAATATATTTAAAAACACTCACTTTTTATTATAAAAATGTTTAAATAAAACACTTCAATGGTTTAAAACGCGATATATATTAGTTAAACTTATTTGAACATTATTTTTAACTTCGGTCCGACGTTTCGGATGTTTTGCAGCAGTGGTCATGGGGAGACTAGAGGATGTCTCTGACGTCAAAGTTAAAAATATTTTTCAAATAAGTTTAACTAATATATATCGCGTTGTAAACCATTGAAGTGTTTTATTTATAGTTGTGTACTCCTCGCGCAAACTACAGACAGTATAAAAAAAGTGTTATAAAATTAAACATTTGTAAGTGTGTGTAACAAAAACATCGGTTCACCGTGACCCGCGCAATATATAATATATTTCGAACACAATGTATCTAAAATAAGCGTTAAATTCCGGTACTAAGTAAATATGGAATGTTGTCTGCTTGAAACGTTACACATACAACTGTTTATTTTTTCTCGTCAATTAAATGCACTAAAGGTTGATCGAGCTCAAGGGTAGCTTAGAGTTAGACATCTAATTAATCGCGTACCGTGGAGATAAGAAGAAGCTGAAGTGGGGGGCATGTGGCTCGTTAGGAGGGCCGTCTGAATGTGACACGGACCGCGCTAATTATTCAAGCTGTATTTAAATTATTTAATGCAGATATTTATCTCCAATTCAACTAGCGAACTTTTAAAACGGGAGCCACGATAGCCAGTTAAACAATTTCCCGATAAAATTATTAAAGCTAATTTGATTAACTGTTACACATTTTCATACATAAATATTGTAATTAATAGAATATATTATGGGCTAACAGAATAAAGAGGAGGTTGACATTTGTGATTAAAAAGTCAAAGCGCAAACATTGCGCATACGCTTTTAAAAGTCGGTTAAAATTAGACTTATATATGCCTCTTCACACCCCGTAGCCCTATAACAAATTATCAGCAACTAATTCTTAGTACATACATGTGTGCGAGCGCAAGTGACGTAAACAGTTCACCAGACGCATCAATTCAATTCACATCTCTGTGGTTACACTACGATACTCTGTAGAAAAAGTTAACATTTAAAATTAGGTTCGAAATTTAAAATTGAACTGCCTGCATTTGTGTTCGAAATTCAATAAGTTGCGTCGCCTACATTTGAATTCGGAATTGCTACGTAATTATTTTACGCTTTCACTTTGTAAATAGTTAATTAAAAGTTAATGATGACGAAAAATAGAGAAAGATTAAACCAAAGCAAAGAGAGACGGGAGAGACTTGAGCCGCTGGTTGCCGTACCTGAGGATGAAAGGTGAGTCCGCAAGGCGCTTCATTAAACAACTGTTAGTCGATAAACGATACCTGGAATAAAACAACGTCTAGGTTTAAATTTTCCATTACGCACACTTACTAAAGGTATAGGTCTACAACCGAGTCTTATATTTCTTCATTTAAAGTCCTATAGATTGTAATTTATAAATGAAAATACCATTTATGAACTGAGAAGTAAAATTAATAATTAATATTACATATCTTCAAAAAGTTTATTAAATTTTAAGTCATTTAAATTTTATCATAGAAAATTTTGCAATATTTACAATGTACTTCTAATACTTTAGTAATATATAACACTTATGAATCAGTATGTTTACACAATAATGAATCATGACAGGTGTGGGGCGATATTACCAGAATAACGTGAAAATATACAACTAGGTAAAATGGGGTTTATTATGTATTAAGAAAAAAATAATGTACGATGTACTGAATTAACATTGATTTTTGTATTTATTACAGAGACAACAACCCCCATTTTTTGCCACGACTAAGCGTAGTGCTACCAAGAAGTACCAGTTCGAGTATAGAACAATTACCACCAGAACCTCAAAGACCGCGGTTGTCACACGGAGAGTACGTATCTTTTCTTAAGTCTGTAGTTAACGCAACTACTACACATTTTAATAAAACACTTTACCTGTTTATAATGCGAAGTAAACTACTTTATAGTATATATAATTTATTTCAATTACGGCGCGCCGTGGTCACAGGAGGGCTACACTTTAAACGTATATTTCTCGCAATTTAAACCGTTAAAAGTGTTTCATTGAAATTTGATTTCTTATTTCGTATTCAAATTACTTCCTCATCGTATCTCTAGTATGTCCCTCTTTAGGATTCGGGTCTTTGATGAGTGTAAATTATATAGCTTAAATTTTGCTGGTCGTGGCTTAAACAACACGCTGAAACATGCTTAAACTAAGTAAATGCGTGTTGGCAGCTGACAAATTTCGATTTTTTAATTCTAACTTATTACTCAAAGTTATCCATCTCTAGTATCTAATTACCAAGCTACTTGTTATCAGAAATATTCAATGAATACTCATATTTCATCTCTTATGGGTATCACAACGTAAGAATATAAATTTTAACATTTATTGCCACACTTGCGTATTATACATTGGAGTCAAATTGTTTTAAAATCTCCTTATTTGATTGAACGAATTTAAATTTTGATTAAACAGCAATTTCAGTTAAATTGCTGTTCAATTTATGTATCCTTCATAAACCGTTATCACCTACATTATTTATCTTTTACCGGCTCAATAGCCAAACGTGTCGCCTAGTATTCCATTAAGGTGAGGCGGTAAGGAAACCAGGAAAACAATAGAATTTTCAGTCGGACAGGGCCCGGAAGTCTGATTAACTATTAGTAATTAAAACCGATCAGTGAAACGGACACAGAAATATGTTCGCTGAATTTAGGTATTAAAACCTTTTTAGTATAAACTTGCGTAAAACTATGGTCGCATAAAACGTACATTTGAACAAACTGAATAATATCGCTTACCAGTTATCTGATCACAAATATCATAATAGCATTCAATGATTCTAATTTACTAAAATTATGCGGTCATTACATTTAACTAATTAGTCCGATATCTCATTTAATTTCAGTGAATCAATGACGGTTGTGCTGTCTGCGTTCTATGCGAAATTGTTAATCGTTTTAGGTTTAGCCTTGCCTGTAACGAGCACTATACAAAATGAACTCTACACTAACATTTCGTCAGATGTAAGTATTACCAATGTTCTCCCTGGCTTCAACAATTAAGAAATAATTAGATAATTTACTAAAAATCTTTGACGTACCAATTTTTGACAATTATTAACTGCCGAAGCTAATTCAATATAAGCCATTTTAATGGAGCACTGAAAGCACTATTTCGGCCTAATTCATAGTTAGTGTGAACTAAGAAAAAATTGCTGATTTGAATTTTAATATTGGTTATACATATTGTTAATATTAGACACATATTTTCAGATCTTTACAATGTATTTGTATGTTACCAGTATGCTTTTCCTTGCATATACATTTTACCATTTGCGAATCGCAAAAAACTCGAGAGAAGGTGAGTATTAATTTGAAATAAACTTGTTTCCTGACTTAAAAAACGAAAATAATTTGAAAAAAAATTCGACTCGGGCAGGACTTGAACCGGCATCGTCAACGTTCCGTGCTGTTGCTCTGCCAATTGAGCTACCGAGTCCTACACCTCATCGTCGACTCATAGGATGCAATTTATTTTCGATTTTTAAATTGTATAGTGTGTGTAAATAATATGTAAAAAATTTAAAAGTATTCCCATCTCACTGGTGTCACACGCCATCTCGTGTGTGTCATTGATGAAAAATTATGTTAAGCACGTTAATTACAAAATTTGAGTTTTTTTAAATATTTATAGACCTGTAATAAAATGATTTTTATGTTTTTAGATAACGTATTACGTATAAGATACGGAAGTTTCTATTTACATATGGGAGTGGCGGGATTTAGCGTGGGGTCCATAATTTACTCCTGCCTACAGTTTGGCGAGTACTTTGATCTTTCAGGCGACTGCCAGCTGATTATCGTCGCTTTAAAACCCGCGCTACGAATACTTTTTATGGTGGCTCAAACCATTTTCATCTTCTCATATACAGATGTAAGTAAAGTATTTAGTAAATCTTATCATATATGAATCACGATTATACAGGTAATAGATTTGTGAATTGCTAAGCAACCGCTAAGTAAGCAACCAATCCAGACATACATTCAATTAACTCATAGAGAGTCAGGATTTAGAGCCGGGGCAGAGGAGCCTTAATGCACAAATTTTATGACTTGCATTATTTATATTTTTATAGTCTAAAAATGTTAATCTACAAGAGCATAGTGACAGAAAATTGTTAACATTCTAACACAAATAATAGTACACATTCATTTTGGCCTAAGTTAATTGCGCATTTTTATTTTCCTTCTTATTCAAAATCATGTTGTTTGTTATTAGGCCACTCTGCCTCTAGCAGCCTCATAGAACCTAGTTCAAGTCCTATATAGATTAATTCTCGTCGAAAGGACGAAAAATAGTAATATGTTTTTTACGGAATTTTTCGTACCAATTTTCAATATCAAGCTTAAGTCGAGTAAAGCGACAAACGAGTGACTGTATGTTATTTAATAAATTATACTATAACTACAGAATCATGATTTCATTGAGTAAAAAGTTACAAGATCACTGTTGACACTTCCAATTTTATATACTTCGTAAGCAAAAATCAAGGGTACATTATAAAGGTATACAATCACCTATTTGCTATGCATCTCGGCTAATCTCATTACAGATATTAAACGCTATATCACGAATCTCATGGCATTTATACACATAATAAATATAGCTATTACATAATATATAAACATATTAATAAAGTGCCAAATTTGAATAAAAGTGTGTTAAATTAAAAATCGATTTTAGATTGAAAAAAAATTGGACAGGGCAGGATTTGAACGGCCACAGCGTACCTGTTACTCTAACCAATTGAGCTATATTGTCCAAGACGTCGTTGTCGTTTTTTTTTAATATAAAATCGATATTTTAATCTATTAAGTGCTATCGTGTTCAATAAAATGTGAAAATATAAAAGGTTTAAAGTTTAAGGTTTAGGTTGTTGTTTTTTATATTGACTGATGCGGCGTTTAATAATTTTCAGATTTTAGACCCCATGCGTGGAGTAGTTCTTGATAGATTCGGACTGATGCATTTAATCGCAACAAACGTTTGTGAATGGCTTAACGTTGTAATACAAGAAACGAGAGACGATATCATCGCAGTAGCTTATGATAAACCAGCGCTTCTTCGGTACACCAACATAACGGGACCCCCGAAAATGGTGATGAAGGAAGAAATAATTACAAATTTAACCACAGATAAACTTTTACAATTCAACAACACAGATCTTAACATAACTGAAACTATAGCACAAGCAAATATAACTGCTACTATCGAAGAATGGACTTGCAACGTATCCGATATGATCACGCCACTTATACGATCCATGAATCCATATTTAAGGCCTTGCGGTGTGGAATATAGTTTGCTGTGCTCCATAATAATAGCGGTTATATGGAATGACATTTGCACTGTTCCTGGATCGGTGAGTTTTTTTCTTGATGGATTTGTATAGGTGTTGATGCAGACATGAAAGAGATACACATAAATTTGTAGAAGTTTTCTAGTGGTTTTATTTGTAAATTTAAATGAAAAGAATACCTATGCGATAGAATAGTATAGTACAAAGTAAATGTTATGAGAAATATTAACTCTATTTATACTGTACTTCAATAAAACTTTGTCGTACTTAAAAATAAAGATCTTGGTAAATAGGTACATTTAAACATGTAAACATGTAACTTTAATATGTGCTTTTTCAATTCGTGTTTTTAAGTTATTGCGTAGTTGTATTTTCTAAGTATTGTAATGTTTTAGTAGCCCAAGTTCTTCTATCATAATTATTTTCAGAAATCAGCGAAACCATCGCCAATTAGTGGGTTAGAAGAGGACAGGTGTTGTGGTCGAGTAAAATCAAACACACATTTCTCAGTAGACTGTGGTAGCGCTCACAAGGGGCTATTCATGGGTGTCGCGATTTTAGCGGGCACCATCGTCAGCCTGATGCTATTTAATGGACTATTCCAGAAGGAAACTCATGTGGAACTTGCTTTATTACAGGTAAGGTTTGGTATCGTTACATTATCACGCGAATGGTACGCGTTAAGTACATCGCTTAATAGTCCTCAAAGGCATAATAATGTTTAATAATTATTCGTGTTCAATCCGGAAAATTTTAAAGAGAATAAAAAAACAATTTGCATTGTAGATTTTTATAGTATTTATAACAGTACTCATATTGTGGACGGATAGAATTACAATTTTAGGAATTACCAAGCCTAGAAGTAGCCTGAAAACTACATTCGTTATAAAACATTGTAATATTTTTCACATAATGCAATTATATTAAAGGACACGTTAGCTCAATTGGTTGAAGCTGTAGTACAGAACACTGTAGATGCCAGGTCCCGCTGGTGGTGTTAAAACTTTTTCAATCTAAGTGGAATGTTAATATACATACATATAATTATTATATAAAACAAGCTAGGCTTTTTTTGCTGGTATTGCACTGGTAAATTACTTATTTGTATTATGTCTATCACAGTAGGTCTCACCACAATATTATGTTAAAAGTATCGAGCGAGTTTCGCAACATTGTAAATGTATATCTACTTATTTATGTTTAACACATTCTTTTGGAGATTGCAATATATTGAAATAGTATAAGTAATTCACGGTAGACGGTAGCTTAATTGGTTAGAGCAGCAGCGCGTAAAACTGTGGATGCTGGTTCAAGCCCCCTGGTGTCGTAATTTTTTTTCAATCTAATTATTTATTTACAACATTTACACAATTTTACGTCAATATAGATTCCGCTACCTCTTTCAGATTAACCTTTGGGAGACAATATTATTCGTAATAATGACCCTGTCATCTGTAGCGTGTCTTTATAGGATGCGTTCACTGGCTTTACGAAGGATGACAACAGCATTACCTTTGGAACATGCTCTGCTGCTAGTGACACAGTGTGGTGTATACCTTTACTACCTATTTCAAATAATAGGTGCCTCGTTTCATTTGCATCAATATCCTGAAGGAAGAAGAGCAACAAGGTATACTTATTACATCACATCGTTTTAAGCACTGGATGATGTTAATCTAGTCCTTGTCATTTTTATTAAGATTCCCTAAATGTTTAATGTTTCAAAAACAGTAATAAACATAGGAGTAAAAATAAAAATAAAGGAAATAGAATTCTGCGCAAGCGCATTGTGTACCTAGAAAAATATAAAATGTTTCGTAATTTAACACAATAAAAATAAACCATTAGGTCTTAGTCACTAAAACTTTACAGAATAATATCACCGTTATGTGCCATTATACAAAGTTCGTGTCAAACACTTTTGGTCTTGGACGCATGGTCTCGCCGCTGCACGAATCCAGGAAAGCGACCCGGACGACAGTGGGTTACGTTCCTCTTAGTTGGAAACTTTGCGTTGTGGCTCCTTAACAGAGTTAAAAATGCTAGAGCTGAATTTCACCCACTTCAGGTAATATGACTACAAAATACAACTATAAAAGGCTTCTTATTTATATTATTTTGCTTATATTATAATGTTTCCCTTTTCATTTGTAGATGCAATTTTATGGTGTGTGGGCTTGGACACTTATAACTCACGTCTCCGTGCCACTATTAGTTTGTTATCGATTTCAAGCTACTGTGTGTTTTTATGAGATATGGAAAAACTCATATAAAGGAAATAAAAACGCTGTAAAGGATTTTTTACTTGAAGATTTGGAATTAAAACATCATGTGGCGTGAAAAATAGTTTTATTTTGAAAATCCTTATAAACAATCAACAACGATATAATATCTTTATAAAGTAGGTACTGAATTTTACACATTATTTTATAAGTTTATCAACTTGAACTAGTTTAATATAATGTATTTCGTTCGCATAAAATCGGAAACAGGCAGTAATAAAACGGATTTTAGCCTTCTATATTATATATTTTTATACATAGATATAATGGCATAGTATCGAGGCTTTTACGCCAATTTTAGTCTATGGACGAAAGAAATTATAGATAAAAAACACATAACTGCTTGAATGGTATGGACTATGGAATGTGGTTGTCAAAGTGACGTAAATTTATTTCGTACAGCCGACAGCGTGTGTTATCTGTCATTTTGGAAACCAATGTCAATAGCCAATGAACAAGTTCAACTGCACAATAATTTCCTACCTACAGAAAATTGCAGTTCTTAAACATTTTAATAATTTTTTTACATAAAGTACGGTAGTTTATAATAATAATGGCATCGGCAATGGATGTTGACGACGAAGAAGTCGAAATGCCGTCGTCCAGCAGTGGTAAAGGGGATAAGAAAAGATTCGAAGTTAAGAAGGTAAGAATAACGCAAATCATCCTTTCTATGATGTCTACGATACTGTTTATGCTATTTTTTAAATATAAACCTGGCATTAAATGTGTTTATTTATATTTCAGTGGAATGCTGTTGCGTTGTGGGCTTGGGGTTTGTATTTACTTATTGTTTATAAACAAAGCTAACCTTAATAATGAAACAAAGGATTACATATCAGTATGTAACACTATAGCTTCTTAATTAACTTTTCAGATATCGTGGTGGACAACTGTGCAATTTGCCGTAACCACATAATGGATCTCTGTATAGAATGCCAAGCAAATCAAGCATCTGCCACTAGTGAAGAATGTACAGTTGCTTGGGGAGTCTGTAATGTAGGGTATACTTTTATCTTAAGTTTCTTCTTTAGCTAATACAAAAAAATATTAATAGAATGGAACCAGTATTCATATTTCGTGATGATGTAGATGTCCTATTTAAAACTTTACTTTTACTTATAAGATTGTCTGTCATCATTTTTTTTTTAAATTTTAGCATGCCTTCCACTTCCATTGCATTTCTCGATGGCTTAAAACCAGACAAGTGTGCCCATTGGACAACAGAGAATGGGAATTCCAAAAGTAAGTAACAGAATTGGCAATATTAAATATTTGACATTTTATAATTACTTTTAAAACTTTACAATACTTATTTTTCTTTTCCAGGTATGGGCATTAGTATTGCGAATCATCTTGAACTCATCAGAAAAGATTTTGTTACAACAATTGAAAACACCAATGTCTTTATACATTAAGAAACAATAAATTACCTACAAGTTCAATAATCTCATTATTACCTGTTAAACAAAATTGTAACAAAGTGAATGTAATGATTAATAAAAAAATTAGCAAACATCCAGCCTGATACGTAATATTTATTTAAAAGTACATAACTCTGTACACTTCCACAATCTGCACATTATAATAATACTAAGTTCTTGCAGCTTTTAACCACGAAACATGATCAAGTTTGAGCCTAGGTAAATATTATCATTACACCTGTGCCCATGTCTAAAACAACACATTTTATTGATGATAATCACAGTTAAGGCAGTTGAATGTAAACACTTAATACTATTGCCACTAAATCCAAAATAAATCACAATACATTTTGAGGATTTGAGGCATTGAATTACACAAAAGAAATGCTCATTAAAGAAGTATTATAACAATAGCTTCCTTATAACAAATGTGCATTTTATTACAATAGATCCTCTGTATCATTAATGGGATTCCTTTTGACAATATCACAAAACTAGTTTTACTAAATATTAGCTAGTTATTACTTTATACATTTTTACATTTTCAACATATGCATGCAAATGTTAATAATAAATTACAATTATAGATTTACTAGTTCATATAACATTTTATGTTGTCTGGTTTTATAAAAGCTGGGAGACAATCAGTGTAATCAAAATACATAGTAGATTTTTAGATACTAAAAACAGAAAAACTTATAATGAGCAGTTACTTTCATATTGATGTTGAAAAGGTAAAATTTTATCTAGTGCTTAGGTAGGCACGGTACATGTAGTAATATTAGGCAAGACACATGGATATTAAGAATTTTCAAAATTAAAATATAGGCTTCTTGGATCCTTTTTAATACATACTATATTTCCAAAAATATTTTATAAGGTGGGTTTTTTAACTTACATTGTATGCCATAAATGTACTTTATTGATTAGGGAATCTAGTTATTATACATTATATTACCATATTTGTTCAATCAGGCATTTTATAAAATTATTTAATTATATATACACGTCTACGTACCGATATAAGCAAAAGTATGTTCATTGTAATTTAACTGTTTATTTATAATATAGACAACTTTCCTATGAGACTTTTAATTTAATGAATTGGATAATAAAGCTACTGTTTATATGAAATGAAGCCCTATCCACTTTTTATAAGTAAATTTTAACAACTGCAGAATCCCAGGAGTATTCACATTATTAATTTGCTAGTCCTTATATTCCAATGTTTGTTCAAGTTAGCACACCCTTTAGGTACTTATATTGATAATGCATTATAATTAGCTATAATTTATTTACATGTAGCCAGAACTACAAATAAAATACACTTAAACAGTAAGTCTTGTTTTGCTAGTTATGTAGTATGAAGTATTATATATCATCAATCAATGATTCCACTTGCAAAGTTTTAACAGAGGAAGTAGTCATAGGATATTTTCTAAAGAATATTATTACTCTTCATTGAATTAAAATAGTATTACTTACTAGACCTCTCGTTTACATAAACACTGGGATTTGAATGAATCTTTGGCCTTTCTCTTACAAGACAATACCATTAGGTACCATTTGGTTTTGACCCACGTAAGTTATAATGCCTTGAACAAGCTCAGATACATACCTACTCATAAAACTAGGTATTTCTTAATTGCGTTTCCTGTAAAAGCTAAGCTTCCCCCAAAAGTGACATTTAGATTAACTTATTCACATTTAAGTGTGAAATTCCGTTACCCCTTCGTGGGGCATGAGGCGAAAACATTTCATTGTCCGTTTAACTAATCCGGCATTTAAAGTATTGTTAAAATTTGAAGAACGAAAAATAAATAGAAAAATGACTACAATCATGTGTCACTAGACGGCCATTTTGAGTGAGATCTTTCAGAATTTTTGCTATAAAGAGGTATATAGACAGATTTTGTTAAATGGAATTATTTAAATAACACCAATCACACAGCATTTGAGTCCAAATCTCACATTAAATAAATACCTAGTACATAAAATAATCCTAGTCAGTTGAGATATGTAATTAAACTAATAATTGAATATAAAGCGGTGGAGATATTGAATAGACAAGAAAGTTGCGTCTGTCAGTCTGCCATTATGGCAGGAGGTAAATCAATAGTACGACTTTCGTTGCCAAAAATTAATCTTAAGCGCTTCATTGGAGGCAGAGGACGGATAGAGTTATGTTTACGATGTCGTTCTTTAGATCGACGCCTCTTTTTAAGACGCCTCGCCGTCTCAGGATCAACACCCTCCAACCTTAATACTTCATATTCAGGCGGTTCACTTGTACTTCCACACTCCATCACTTCCTCTACAACAGGACTTCGTTTCACACGTAATGTCAGCTTTAAACCTCTCCGTGGAGGAGTGCATGGACATTCACTCTTTTTATCAGGGTTGTCTGCAACCCAAGGAGGACCAGAATCTGATCCTTTTTTAGTACTATTAGAAATACCCTTTTGATGTTTGTTGTTATTATCATTAGAATCATTTGTTTTGATGTTCTCTCTAAAATCACATTGCTCACTTTGTTTTTCTAAACTTACTTCTTCTTTAATGGTATCCTTAATTTCATTGGGATGTTCTTGGATTTCAGGTTTAGTGTCTGTTAATATACATTTTTCAGTTTCCTGTGTTAGAGATTCCGTGGCATCACATTTGCTCCCAATATCTATGGTTTTACAACAAGTGTCCTCTGCATTAATCTCAACTGCTCCTTCAGGTTCCTGATGCTCCTCTGTGACTGGTTCAATTTTGATATTTTTACTTTCTTCTAAAGTTGGTAAATTTGGTTCTGTTTTTGGTGCCATGTGATTTCTTGCTAACTTAGCATCTGAAGAGTGTTTGGAATGACTTCTATTTTTAGAAAAAGTAGCTGGTGAACCTGTTGTGTCCAAGAGGCGTTTATGGCTTCTTAAAACAATTCCTGAATGTGAGTCATTGCTACTGCGTGAACTTGTTATACTACAACATCTAGTATAGATTGTTTGACTTTGAGCAGTGGTACCATTTAAAGTTCGGCCACTATCTCTACGTCGTCTTAACCTTTCACTTCGATTTGAAACTGAAGACTCACGGCTGCCTTGTGTTTCTTTTTGGTCAGGTCTGTCAATTACATCTGCAATACAACCCTGAGCAATTAAAAGCTCAGCATCATATTTTGTAAGACCTTTTTGTTTCATTTCTTTCATACTCAGAGGTGAGACAATATTAGGCACTTGCCGACTTGATATTCGAGGTTTATCATTATTTTTACCATTTACAGGTTTTTGTATGAGTTTTGCTTTTGTCCTATTAATCCTATTGTCTGTTTCTCTAAATCTATACCTTGAGGCTTGTTCGTCATTGTGTGGGTTTTGAACAGAAAATGCACCTTTACCTCGCCTTTCACATGTTTCACATTCACAGTAACAATTTCCATTTCCAAAAAAATCTTCTCCATAGTAACAAGTGATTTCCTCCCCAACGTCAATGTCTCTCAAAACTCTAACAAACGCTTTTCCACGGTCTGTGGCTTCAAATGTACAAGTAGGTCTACAGTCATGATTTATATAAGCAGCTGGGCCCAGCCATAACTGAGCACAATTTTTTCTACAACTATACATTACTGAAAAGTCATTTTTCCCTGGATGAAGCAGTTGTTTTTCCTCTTCTTCTGTCATTTCAGCAATACAACCAACTAAAAAATCTATTCTTTCATGCTTGTAAAACTTTTTTGTGGTTGAAATCTTAGCTCCAACACGTCCTTCCATTGAATATCTATAACATGGCTCAATAACAAAACCAGCTTTCTTGTCAAATATTCTTAAGTAACGGTATATCTGAAAAGAAAAAAATTGTATACATAAAACAAGTTAACATGTTTTGGTAACAATTTAAAAAAACGATATCTACATGCTCTCTTAATTTGTTTTGTTGATGTTTATTTTTACTGAAATGCCTTGGCATCCAATCCCCATTTGCTAACTTGGAATAAGCCTTATTATAATCCTGTGTTTGAATGAACTCCTTGATTATATTCTTTAGCTCTTCCTTATTAGTTTTCAAAGGCCTATAACGAATATTCATTTTATGTGTCGTAAACCCGAGATAGGGATCTATTATGAGTGCCGTGGCCAGGTCGTCGTATTCAGAGAGCTCCCTGGGTGTCATGCCCATTGGTTGCATTTTGTGGAGCACTTGCCTCCCTGGATATGAAGTAGATCCAACAACCATTCTGAACACCTAGACAAAGACGCGAAGATCATCAATGAGTTTATTAACAATAGTATAGAACCAAAGCACTTAAATATGAAAATAAATCAATGTGACAGCTCTGTAATCTAGCTATGTAGTAACAATTAAGAATTTAGCCACTTCCAAATAAATATCAACATAAAAAAGAATATAAAATTAATAAAGCACAAATATGGCGGCCGAGCCTCAAACTCCAAATGCGACACGTCAAACATTTTTCTTGTTTTTCTATAAACTCATCGGTTTATTCTATACTAAACTTAAGCACCACAATGCAGGAGATACCGCTTATTAAAAAAACACTCACTTTTGTTAGTAAGCTATTTAAAAATCATGATTATTTTCATTTAATGATTCCTTCTAACTTATCACTTCACGATGTAAATTTTACTAGGTTATTATTATTTTTACATTTACTCAGATAAAACTTAAAGTTTCTGGCTGCATTTATACTTCATTATAATTATGCTAAATCAAATAGGTTTTCTAACTGAAAGACTAAAAAGAAACGCTGAAAAACAACCATGTTTTTGTTCACTTCATTCATATAATACAAGACAGCATTTTCAATGCCATAGATGCATGGACACAGTCCACAGATTAATATTCTGAAATCTTTATTGGATATAACATTTTGCCTTATTAACATTGGGCAACAACCTTCTTATATATTAAAAGACATTAATATTCCTATAATATAAATATATTTTATTGATGAAGATTCATTTACTTTAAATCAAACTTTTGTCAATATTTTAGTAGCCGGTCGCCTCAAACACAGAGATGAGAGGGCTTGTCAATGTTAACTAATTTATTTACGTGAACAAAAGTGTTTTACACATTACACTCTAGGACAATAGAATGAGTATGAAGGTCTAAGAAGAAATCTACCAAATATTTAAATCACTCAAATCAAAGGTCATGTATTTCTGATTGACTGCTCTCAGCCGACAATAACATAGACACCTAATAATGCTCGCTGTGTTTACACCACCAGTACTACGGTACACGCTCGAATCTATGAATATACGATAGCGGAAAACCTTAGGAATGGATAACCCTGGCGCGAAAATTGATAAGACGTTTTCCTGATTACTTATCAATTATATTCATAGCTGTGATACACTGACTGAGCCATCGTTTAGAGTAGTTGTCTCCTCTTACACGCGGCATAGATACCAGCTAGAAATTAAACGTTATATTTTACTTATTTATTTAAAAAGGGAAGATTTGTGTTAACTTTAAAAACACGTGAAAAATATTAATGTAAGTTAGTTGATATTATTGTTACTACAATAAATGCCACTAATGTAGGTTAAGTCTCGATACAATAATACAAAGTAAATGCTTGTACAATCTAATCTTTAATCTACAAGACATCTAATTTACATTTTGAATATTTAACTTAAATAAAGTTTATAAATATATTTTAAAGATTTACCATAACCTTTTACATAAATTTTTACTTATGTTGCATCATTTTTATTATAAGGTACTTTGTAACTTAGTGGTTTGTTTTTTTACAGAATTTTCAGTAGTGACACAAAAATGGCACACTCAACAGGTTCAGGGAGTACCTTGAAAAGTGGTTTAATTGATTTTACAGCTGGTTCACTTGGTAGGTGTTTCTATTGTATATACCAAACAATTGTATTATGTATTGATTAATTAATTTAATGTACTGATCATTTCCTTGATTATTTTAGGTGGAGTAGCGGTAGTATATGTTGGACAGCCTTTAGACACAGTAAAAGTGAAAATGCAAACATTTCCACATCTTTATAAAGGGATGTTAGATTGTTTGAAACAAACATTTCGAAATGATGGTATAGTTAGAGGACTGTACGCTGGGACAACCCCAGCGATTATGGCAAATGTTGCTGAAAATTCAGTTCTGTTTGCAGCTTATGGTTACTGTTAAAAAATTTGTCTGTACAGTTACTGGAACTGAGGTAACCTTTAACTATAACATATAATAATTTAATTTTTTTGCATGTTAAACAGATTTCTTCTCTATTTTGTATTATACTAAATACACATTTCTTCAGTTGGCACTGACCTAGCATAACTCTGTCTGTTTTACAAATCATTTTTATCTAGTTATATTACTTGCATAATATGTTGATTAGATCCCTGTGCCTTAGCTGATCAAAATAATTTATCTTTTCCTTGGGTTCTGATTTGAATCCAGAACCCCATAGATCTTACCAAAATATGAGGCAACAGGCTGGAAATTATATAATGATTATTGTTATGCTAAAAATATTCATATAATTGAACATCATTCATTTAATGAAACACGGGATGGGTCTTCCATAATAGATCTATTTAAAACTATTTAAAAAATTTAAAGGTCACTTATGTAAAACATAACATTATGTATTGTTTTAGAAAGTTGAGCAGCTCTCAACCATGGGTAATGCATCTGCAGGTTTCTTGGCAGCATTCTTCTCCTCGTTTACACTCTGTCCAACAGAATTGATAAAGTGCCAGTTGCAAGCTATGAGAGAAGTCAATGTGCAGGGCTCCCAAACAGCTGTATGATGCTTCTTAATTATTTGGGTGATTTTAAATGTTATATTAACTTTATCTCTTTTCCATGCTTCTTGGAATTATATAGTATATTTTTAAATACTTACTACCTTCTGAATATATGTGAGATGTATTAAAATATCATTATATTTTTTTACAATAATGATTACTCTGTTTTTAATTACAGGAGGAAAGTTTAGAATACATATATGAATAGTAAAACTATTGTTACAGATGAAGATAACTCCAATACAATTAACACAGCAAATATTTAGAGAATATGGTATCCAGGGTTTGTTCAGAGGACTAGTTCCAACAATCATGAGAGAAATGCCTGGCTATTTCTTCTTTTTTGGAGGATATGAAGGTAAATTATAATCCTTACTTATAGTTTAATTGTAGTTTTTGTAAATAATGAAACTTTAAGAAAATTGAAAAAATAGTGTTAAATAGCTAGCCTTCTTACAACACGAGTGTGTTTCATGTTTAGAATGTAGTAGATTATTTGATCTTTTACAATTTGAAACAGTGTGTCCATGGGATTTCCTAATCAGTAGTCTATTAAATACAAAAACATTGTACAAATATGATAATGATAGAGTTGTAAAGATAACAATACTCCGATCAAGATTATGAGTACATTCCTACTTCAAAGGTAAACAAATAATTAAATAAATACAATTACATCTACCACTTGTTTAGTTAACCCAGATTTAAAAATTATTTATAATTGCCTTGCAATAAATAATTAGGTTTAATGATTAATATTTCCTTGAGTAAATTCTTACAACAACTATCTACTACCAAAGTACTGTTTTAGCTAATAATAAAGCTAGAGTCGGGCCCTTCCGCGTAGCTTAAATTTATATAAGCCTCCAAAATTATAGATATAGACAAAAACAATTAATTTCAAAAAAAGATCTTTCACTCTTATCTTGTCAGAGTTGAGCTTATTTAGTTATTTAAAGTTAGAATATTATAGAAATAGGTCCTCTCTAGCCCTTTAGAGATTCACCGCCACCGCCGTCTCTATGACGGAAGGTCATAGAGACGGCGCTGACGTCTTCTGCAGCATGTCGTCACATAAATCATACTAACATCTTATTAAAAATAACAGATCTGTGGGACAATAAACTCTTCTTTCAATCTTTTTATTAAAATAATTGAAAAATTTTGAAACAATGAATGTATAGAAAATACATTTGAACTACATTCAGTTTAGGGTCTAAGGTTAAAGCTTATTAATTTAGTTTACGTTTCAACCTGCTTAATTTTCTTTATTTAATGTTCATCACTTGCATAAACTAAGGATCAATCTAATTCGTTTAAAGTCACAATAGAAACAAATTTACAGGTACAAGAGAGCTGCTAGCCAAGCCTGGGCAATCCAAAGAGGATATTGGCTTCTTGAAGACGATGGTAGCTGGTGCAGTGGGCGGCTGTGTTCTATGGACAGTGATATTTCCATCGGACGTCATCAAGTCCCGCATACAAATATCAAATAAAAAACAAAAATTCTTAACTGTTGGAATGGACATTGTTCGTAACGAAGGTTCGTAAATTTTCCCCATCAAAGGCAATGAAAATAAGAAATATACTACAATAATGAACATAAACTAGTAATTGCATAGGTGACGTGTTTAAACGCGCTTATCTCATGAACTACTGGTTCGTATTGAAAAAATATTTTTGTATTAGTTAGAGCACTTATTGAGGAAAGCTATAAAACAGCGCTGTGATTGATAGGAGCGAAGAAATAGCGGGAAATGTCGAAAAACTTGATACCCAAAATAACTATTCTACGCGTACGAAGTCGCTGACTCAGCTAGTATCTAATAAAACAACTTTCTAACGTTACGGGCATATGTACATTAGACATTTACATTATGAATTATTAAAAAAGAGGACGTTATAAAAAAAATACATTTTTTAAAATAAAACACTAACGGTTGAAAACATTAAAGTAAAATTTTGCTATGCTAGCACTACGCTAGCTTACTTCGACGTCAGAGACATCCTCCATCTTTAGTCTCCCCGTGACCACGGCTGCTGCAAAGCATCCGAAAAGTCAGGCTGAAGTTAAAAATCATCTTCAAATAAGTTTAACTAATATATCGTGTTCTAAACCGTTAAAGGGTTTTAATTAAATGTGTACTACTCGCGTAAACTATAGACAGTATTTAATAATAATTTTCTTTGTATTCCAGGTGCATTGGCGCTGTTCAATGGGTTGAAACCAACGTTAGTAAGGACGATACCAGCAACTGCTGTTCTATTTGTCATCTACGAGTACTCAAAGAAGTTTATGCATCAATCATTCGGCGATTGAATGAGTACCTATCAAGGAAATAATTTAATTGTTATGTACATACCCGATTTTATATTCTTAGGTTATTATTATTAAATAAGTTATTTGTTTGGCTTGCCTTTTATTCTGTAAACCGATTGCAAAAACGTCTCGAATTCAATTTAATAGTTAAAATGTTTTTTTTGTCGCGTCTGTTAGCCCGGAGACTTAGGTGGAACAAGGGCGAAACCGCCTTGGTTTGCCGCGGACGATGTGAGCCAGCGTCTATTCTGGTATTGCTTTATGAGAACAGTGAGTGTAATAATATACTTCACCACTTAATGACGTCCTTATACATGAGGCCGAGCCTAATAACAAAAAACATGATTTTCATGGCCTAATAACGTATAAAATAAAAATGCACAATCAACTAAGGCGAAATTGAATTTGCACTAGTATTTGTGTAAAAATTATGTTAGCAATTTTCGGTCACTGTGCTCTTGTAGATTAACATTCATGTATGTGTGTTAACTATGAAATTATAAATAACTCAAGTCATAAATTTACAGTTAGGCTCCTCTGCTTCTAGCAGCCTCGTAGCAGGGCACTGGGTAGCTCAGTCGGTTGTAGGTTCAAAGCTTTAAAAAATTCTATTCAATTTATGTCTCCTATTCACCTCTTTTATCTGCACCACATAGGTATATGGAAACAATAAAGAATTTTTGATTTGTTTTTTACTGATTCATGCAAGTGATGGCATGTAACTCTAAAGTATACTGAGGACCCCTTTACAAATTTGTTAGTAAGATAGATTTTATATTTACTTTTCATGTTTTTTTTACCACTGCTGTCCTTAATGATATAAATAAAAATATGCATAACTATCAGGGTAAAATAAAAGCAACGGTTTTACCATTAAATTAATTTATTCTAATCAATACTTGTGGACTAATGTTTCTTTTCATATAAAATTATGTGCAAAGAAACATTACAAATTCAATGTTAACATTCCAATGTAAAAAAGATAAAACAGTATAGTATGCTGCAGAAGTTGTAAGAGTTGAATTACAAATACACAATAGAACTTTTATAGAGACAAAATTAATTTTTTATCTCCCAATAAGGCCTAAACATCAATTTAAATTTTCATACAGCATCCATTGTGTATTGTACTGTGACTGTATAATAAACTTAAATAAAAGGATACTGCTATAGTCATAAAATAGAAACACTTAACATTCCAATTTTCAGAAAAGACGCTATGTGCTGCTTCAATTCACCAATTATATTAGAAGAAAAGTTTTTCTTTACATAAACAAGTGCAGTTCAAAATTTATAACATATCATGTAACTATGATACAACAATATATACCACTGCCTTGAAATTAGTCAAAAAAGCTAAGATATTTTAATGGCATTAGTGGGCCAAAAAGAGAACTTATTACACAATGCTCATTTACTAAGTATTTTTTTTTCTTTAAATAGAGAAAAATACAAGTTATCAGGACAAAGCTTACTTTTCTTCACACCATTCATTCTCTTTACGAACTTGCTCTTCTTCAGCAGCAGTAAAGTCATTCTTAATGTTAAATGTTTTACGAATCTCCTCTGGTGTTTTTCCCTTAATCATATTCCCTACAGTTTTACATGTAACATCCAATAATCCTTTTATATCTAAGTAATTTGCTGCTAAAATTAACTCAAAGAGTGTACCTTGGTCAACCTTTAAAAAATCTGCATCCCACGATGATATATCATCAGTACGTTTTTCTTTGTTTTCATCGTCTTCTGGTAAAGGAGGGTCATCTTTATGGTAGGTTGCCCACTGAATAACTTTCTTCAATATAGCCGAATTGACGTTTGGAAGTGGCACAACTTCTTCCTCATCATCATCCATTCCTAAATCTTCCAACATAGTTTTTATAGTCACAGAGCATTTTGCTATTTCAACGTCGACATCGAATATCTCATTATCAGATGATTGCAACTTAATGTTAGGCATCTGAAATAACAAAACATTGGTACATAAATTTCAAGCGCCATCTTAAATTTAAAATAGTATCATCCACATTGCGGAAAGCGCACCGTTTCTGTTTTAAATATTTGACTGCGAAATATTTACTTTGATTATTTAAGGTTGTACGAAATCCAGCACTCGTAATTAATAGTTAAAAATGAGTTATTGTTCAAATGTATCACTTTGTATTATGTAGAAAAGAACTATCACCTTAAATTTGAAATGTCACAACTACAGATTTGTTGCCAGATAAAAGCATGAGGATACGCCAAGTTTGCCAAATATAAATATTTGAAATGATAAAAATAATATTATACTTTTTTTTACTGTAAAAGTTTCTTTTAATCTAAGTTATAGTAACTGCCCATAAAGTACAATTTAGTGACCCAATATAAATCATAATTTGTTCAAAAATACATCTGTAATGTTATTATATATTTTTACAAGTAAGTATTGTCTTTAAATTATATTATAATTTAAAGACAATACTTTCTTGTAGACAATATAATTGATATATCGCAAATACTATCATTAAAATATTTCAGATCTATTATCTGTGGTACAAGTAAAGGGGCATTTTCATTTGTCGTTAGTATTGCTAGTTTACGTTTATATATTGTGCTCTGACGCCGTTTGACGAATGCAAGATTACGAACCAATTCTACACCAACCATGATATTATAATGTGTTGCTGAGGTCAATTCCGAATTGATTGGCATTTAAAGCGTCGATTTCTTAAAAATCCAAATCATTTCCTTTTGATAATAAAACTAAAAGACTAGCTTAAAATATTGTTCAGTTCCCACTGCTATTTTTAAAGAGACAAATAAAACAAGTTCGTATAAAATTCTTGACAATTCTGTTTTTCCTACACAATATTTGACACAAATAAAGCACACATAAAATGTATTGAGTACCATACTTATTCCTAATGTGAAGCATTACATTAGACATACACTTATAGTGATAACCTTATACATTATTAAGATAAATAAGTCATTTACTTTATCACCAACATGATTATAATACAAAGAGCTCTGTCATATATTCGAAAACGAATTATCAAGAAAAATTCATTTAGGTAACTACATAATACTTTTACCAACAGTAAACCTCCTCTATAAAATTTTAATAAGTTATAAAAAACTTCTTTAACATTTAGCCTATTTTTAAATTTGCGCATAAGTAGCCTTTTCTTTAAAAATATTTTTAATAAAATATAATATGAATATATATAAAAATATGATATAGTTTGGAAGAAAGCTGAATTCTTAATACAATTTTATCCTATTATTTTATTTTAGTGATTTTTTTCATTTCTCAGTACATGTTATATTTATCTCTTTTGAATACAAAGATAACTTAATACCAATTTAAAAAAAGGCACACTTCGCAAGGAAAGGATTCATAAATATTGGAATTTATAATGTAGGTTTTGGCACTCATTTGAGAAGCCACGCTGTAAATCAGGAAATAAAAGTAGCGTTTCAACTAAATTAATATTAGAAAATGCTATACGATAAAATAACAAACAAAACCTGTTATAACAAAATTAATTTGGTTTCAAACCCGCTCAACTATTTAAACAAATAAAAAACAAGGAAACATTATATTACACTAAAAGAATACGCATCAAAAAACAAGCCTCATTATTACTTGTGCAAAGCTGTTATTGATATCATCATAGTGCCTAATAGTTGGAATTTACATACCCTAACCTTTCTTTAAGGCGAAAATAGACCTTCAAACTAGGACGAAGAATTGTAAGTATAAGAGATGTAAGGACTAATATAAAGGATATATATCTCAAAACTTCACCAAAAGACCACCAGTTTGAGAAATTTCCCAATATTATTGTAATTACTCCGAGACAAAGTGTAACTGATCCTACAGATGCATGAAGCATCTTAATGTAAATAGGAGCAAGGTAATCTTTTAGTTTTAAACTATAAAGAGTAGTTAAGCCTCCCAGACTAGTTAAAAATGTAAATATAAACGCGGCTAATCCAAATTTGGCATGTAAAGTAACAAAATGTTCTTTACCATTGATTATCTTATTTGTTAATATTATAATGAAACCTGTAAGAATAAAGGTTGCAGCTACCAGTTGCAACACCCAATGTCTTGCACTGCGTAGGCGGATAGGCATCCATTCGGTCGCAAAGTCACCAGGAGTAACTGCATTGACTGCAGTGCACATGAATATTAACCACTGAAATAAATAAGATAATTCTTAGTGATGAATATTAATACAAAGATTGAGATAAATATTTTTTAGAAAGTTTGAATACTTGAATAGTGGCCTAGAAATCTGGACATTCTAGTAAAAAAATAAATAATTTTGCTTTTGCTTTTGATTGCTTATCCTGAAGCACACAAGTAACACTACACATGACACAGTGTGGCCTCAACACATAATTAAACATTGAGACTTACCCCAATAGACATAAGTATTGGATGAAACGAAAAGAGAGATACTCCATCGCGAAAACAGCAGTATATAATTATTCCATTAAATAGTATCGCAGCGAAATTATTTATTAAATTCATGTAGCTGTAATTGGCGTTGCTGCTAGGAGGTACGAGTTGCGACGTTTCAGATGAACCGTCCCCAGCCGGCATAGTGAAATTATCTTCACTTGGATTAGGAATAGTTTCAATATTGAGAAAACTTTCACGAAGTTTTTTATTCGGAAAAAAAACTTTCGGCTGTTAAAACAACTCGGTCCTAACAGAGGACAGCTATGATACAATTGTGTATATGTTAGTACCACCTGGCACTGAGCTTTATTGATTTGCAATATAATATTTTGCACGATGAAGATATAACTATAATCACTATACCGCCATCAGCCAATGGCACCGTTGGTGTACGGCGCATATTTACTTAGCGCATACAATGATACAAAATGAGTCGAAGCTTGATTGAATAGTAAGTCAATTGTCATTGTCAATACGCAATTGTTGTCATAAGCAAACAAACAAAAAACAAATGTGGACATATGACATTAGTCGACACTACAAACGTTTTGAAAAAGAAGAGTGGCATATTATATTTATCAAAATTTTAGATATCTATAAAAATTAACTTAATACAAAATATTTATAAAAATGAATTGAAAATTTAAATTTTATAAAATGATAAAATAAAACTATAATAATTAATAATATTTTTTATTAATGATTAGAATAGCAAAATGTAAGTTTTCCGTCATGTAAATTATTAAACAAAATGTTGACTTTTTATGACAACTTTACACCACAAACTCGCTACAGATGCTGCACGCACGCGGGTGCGCACAATCATCTTTCTCTGTTGTATCTTTAAAAATGATAAAGGATAGAACATGTTGAGCATGTTAAGACTTGTCGGGTATATGCAGTTGTTTTGTTTACAAAGACAACTGACAGTGTTTTTATACTTCGACTTTAGACTTTAGAGTACTTTTCGTATTCGCTTGAGACGCACGCGTTGTGTTGTGTATTCGTAGATTGTGCGGACACTTGTTATTATTTTATGATCTCAGTGTAGTGAAAAAAAGTGTTTGCGAGAATTAAGATATTGAGTATCTATTTCTTAAATGCTACCTGTATGAACAATGTAATTCGATTTATCTGAACAGGATGTCATTTCAGCAGAAGTATATGACGAAGCGGTAAGTAATTTTTTGAGTATATATGTGTTTGTATATAATAATAGATTTCTGTGAACAGACGATCATTAATATTTTAAAGTTGTTAATATACGATTACGATGTTTTAATTTTTTTATATTAAAAAAATACATGTACACACAAGTAGTTGCATTTTCGTACCAGAAAACTTGACTTACATTTCATACAGTACTGCATTTTTTTACCATTTACATCTGTATTTTGCAACCTTCTTTGAAAAATTAAACTAAATAAAACCCTTTATACTAAGTAGTCTGTCAATCTAAAGTAAAAGTATCAAATTTAAAGATCAAGAAAAAATGTTTTATAATACAAATAGGTATAAAAAGTAGGTAGGTATTACAAATAAATTACCTAACTCAACAAGAAATATATGCAAGTCTAAAATTGTATTCTTTTTATGTCAGTTTTCATGTGCCTGTAAGAGTATTTTAATAGAATTAATTATTTTATTTAAAAAAATAGCTAAAGAAGATACTGTGGTAATAGCATATAAACTAAATATCATGCTATAATTTCAAACAAAATAATAAATCTGGTAATTTATAATTCAAGATAACACAAATGGAAAGATCTAGATTTACCTATGTACTTATCTTCTCCCTTAAAAACTAGTTGAGCAATTTTGAAAATGAATTGATTTAAACAAATTGAATGAATTGTTTGTTCATTCATACACCAGTACACCAGGGTTAATAAGTAATTACTAACATTATTGTTATTTTACAATTACTTACAATAAACTCATAAACGCAACAAACTAAAACTAACAATAATTTAAAAATTGTATCTATGACAGAATTAACACTTACATATTTAGATTTGTGATTAATTTCTTTAAAAGAAAGATTTCTTATACAGTTTAAGTACATAAAAAATATACAATGTATCTAGTACATTGTATATTTTTTATGTAAACTTGTGAACCACTTTTAGAATATTTTAGAGTACTACCAACATTTCAATAAGAACAATATTAAAAAGCATATTTGTTTCTTGCCTCATCTAACTGCAGTACATGTATAAATATAACATTATCATTGGATATTTCAATCAAGTTAACTATTTTATCAGAGACTAATTTTTTTAATTTGGTAATAAAACAAAGAGTGTGCAAAAGGCATAATAGGTTTGCATGCATATACAGGTTTTGCTGCTGGCCTCTAAGGAGGTGTCCTATATAACCCTGACACTCCAGATATCTTTTTCTTCAATCCTTTACTAGCAAATTCTAATAAAATATAAATCATCATCTCAAACATTTTCATATAAAAATTTAAAAGATAAAACCAAGAATTTATTTCATCCCATCAAATCTATGAGTCAGTGGTTTGAGACGAAAAGTTTTATGTTGTTTATGAAAGGTTAATCGAATTTTGGCTACATTACAATAATTCCCTATTACTTAACTGGAATTAAAACCTAATAAATATCATCACTAATAAAACTACAGCATACACATAAAGCTTTGTTTATCTGTCTCAATACCAAATCAGTATTGCGTCAGCATCACACTCGTTATCCTGCGCTTTCCCATATAAATGTACCCTTCAACCTGCGCACGCGGCGCGCGGCGGCTAACGACATTTGAGTTTTTTTATTTATTTTGCTCCTATTCGAGATCCCCGTGCTTGGTACGGGCGAACCGGCAAAGGATGACTCATGCAACAAGCTTATCATGGGCTCAGACTAAACTTAGCGCAGAGATAGCAAAAAGACTTTCGTTTAAGAAGCTGTATTTTGTTTACTATGAATGTAAGTAAGAAGTAAATAGTTGAATTGATGTTATGAGTCTATTTTTTCTGTTTGGTAGTACATATTATGCAATAATATAGATGGAGTTGACCCGACAGTTTAAAATTCACGCGAAAAGAATTTATCCTAAAGAGACAATAGGTATATATGTATTAAATTATAGTTACGTATGTTTACGTCATTATTCTTTATACGACTGCCATGAATGGATTTGGTTAGATTTATTTTGATAGAGATTATAGGTTCCTCTATACCTTATTTCTCTACGTGTTGCTAATAAAATGAAGCAACAGAACCGGATTAGAATCGCACCTAACGTTCTTTACACGTTTGTGGGTATTAAAGCATATTTGACTATCGCTAAAGTATGTTATACGTATATATTAGTTTATTATTAGTTAGTATTTAGTGGTAAATTGTAGGGTTTCACACTGAAAGGGTAAAAACGGAACCCTACTTAAAAGACATCGGTGTCTGTCTGTCTATCATCAAGCAGGTTGTAGGTACCTATCTTCAACCGCGAAGTGACAAACTAACAATAGTTACTAAAAAAAATGGTGAGTGGTGGAGAAGGATGGCACTTTGGACTTACAAATATTACATTGGAGAATTAAATGTAATTGTATTTTAGTCTTTAATAAAAGACAGTTACCTAAGTAATACAAATGTTGTGAGTGGTATAAATAAATATCAATATGCACCTATATTATATCAGTTTATCTATTGGCAGAGTACATACATTGATGCATAATATCAAAAGAATGCAAAATCTCAGGTGGCCTCTACTAACCAGTTCATTATAAATATTCCGTGAATCGTAAACCATATTTTGGTAGGCCTCCCGCTATGTTTATTGTCCTAATATGATGTCTATGTATGGTTGCCAAGGTTACGCATAATTTGTATTACTTATTTTTATTACATGCCATTTATTTTTGGGACTACTTAAAGCTGCATTAATATGTAACAATATTCCGATATTGCAATAAACGCGATACTTATTGTATTAGTTAAACCAGACAGGTGACAAGTGTAGGCGAATGAAACACAGCTGCAGGTTACCCGGCTATCGATGTTTACGACAAGTTTGAACTTGCCCTAAAAAGTTATTAAGCAAGCATTGTTTAGTTAGGACAAGCATCGCACCGTTATCGATTTTAAGATTGTTTTGTTATGTTAAATTTTGAAATGGACGCATTTCGGTAAGAGATTGTGTTTTTGTAGTGTTGGTGATTAATTGTACACAGCTGAATAGTAGAGAATGAAAAACTTGGTGCCATATTATAATTGTAGCTTTTTTGTAGTTTTTTTTTTGTGACATTATTACTCAACTATAAATACTATAATGTATATTTAATTTTACTTACAGACGGTATTGCGAATGATACCTTTATAAAAATTGTGAACACCAGTAAAATATTATTATTCTATAATAGAAGATTTCATTAATTATTTACAACAGGGATATCTTTATTCTGAATTATGAAAAACTATGTTGATGGGTAGGATATTAAACATACGTCCAGTAAAGTAAACAATACTTCTGAAAGCTGTACGCAAACAAATTGGTCGCGCCGAGCGTCTTTGGCGATTGCATCACCAACCGTTTCGGTATCTTGCGAAAAGGACACGTGTGGATCTGTGTAAATTAAAATAGTGCAGTGAATAAGCCGCCCGCGCCGCTAAGATCGTCGACTTGCGGCCGGCCCTCTCTCACGCGCACTCCTAGCATATTTCTCTCTCAGCGTCTAATCGTCCTTTTGCACACCTCTCCGTTTCTATTAGGTGCTTCTGTTTTGTTTCCTTTCGTTTGTTGCGAACCACATTTATCGTCATTAATCCCCACTTTAAAAGCTGCAGTTTAACGATTTTATCAATCACTGAGTAATACCTAATTACGCAGTAAGCGAAAAAGTAAATAGAATGTATTATACACATAACTATACATATAATAACGATCTGATAACGAGAATTGCATTGGCGTTCATATTTATCGCCAGAATGATGCGTAAGCGTCGTCGTTTCTCGAGTTCATTTAATACTACAAATAAAGGATATCTAAATTTAAGAGTATGAATTTAGTATTAAACATTGTTTAACAATAATCTAGGTATCTGTCTATTCTGTGATGGTATCTAACTTATAATAACTTGATACTAATTAATCTACACTTTGAATGTGTATACACACACTCAAATATATGCAAAGTTTTATTTTACATAGGTACGTGCCGTTTTTTATATTCATTTTATATGTAAAAATCTGGTTTTGTTTATAATAAAAATATGAAGCGTAATGTGTTCGAGCGGTTGTGGATGATTTTTTGACACATATTATAATGATGTCGGATACCAAATCGGTCAAGTTCATAAGTAATCTCTGTTTGTGCAAAATTCATTACTTACATAAGGTGAATAATTTTGTATTGTTCTTGTTATGTGAACATAGCAAATGTAGTAGGATTTGCGAACAAAGCAAAGAAAAAAAACATCATAAATGATGTTTCTGTTCTTTAATCTTCTTAATTGTTTAATCTATACTCGTTAATTATAGTTTAATTCATTATATAGTCTGTAGGAATTACTGTGACTTTAAATTATATACTTATCGTACTGCTACGTAATGTGCTATACGAATTAAAGAATTATTATGAACTTTGATTTTAAGTCAAGGGTTCATACTAACAGCGTAATACTTTGTTTCAGGGTCTTCCTAGCCTGTTACCTGGTTAGTGCGTTCCTATACCAAGTAACACAAGCTCAACCAGTAGAGTGTGTCATTGACGACGAGTCTGATGGGGTGAACCAGTGCGAGAGCGGGTACTACTGCGTACCAGAAAAGTACGTCTGCAGAAAGTGCATCGATTGTGAGGAGCTGAAGCGTGAAACACGGGTCGGTGCACCAATTTGCATCCAATCCGTGGCGAACTGCGGATCATGTCTCAAAGGGTAAGTGGTAACCTAATTTGAACAAAGTTAACTACATAAACGCCACTCTACGTAGACTAGTACAATAAGACTAGGGGCCACTCGGGCAAATCCTGAACTGATCCGCCAGGAGTACAGTGCTCTCCAAACTTTTTGGCCGGGCTGAAGCTAGCGCGGGTGGGTGCGCAGAACGCAAACAGCAGGTATCAGTTGAGACTAAGGGGGTGCGCGGGTGTGGGGGATTCGACTTTTATGCTTTAAATTAACAGTACCATGGGCAAGATGGCGGTCGCGCTAACTTCAGCCCGGCCAAAAAATTTTGAGAGACTGTATAGGTAATTAGAGACAAAGAATTGATAATAATGTATTACAATTGAAAAGAATTTGTTAATTCGAGCATTATTTTTGCTGTCAGCCGGCCACCAGTATTTGACCGGCAGGTCGCGGTCTGTGCATCTCTGTTAAAGGCAGTAATTATCCATATTTTAGTTAAATCTATTTTTGTTTATGTTACTGTGCGTGTACTTCTTTTGAATACTAAATAGTTTATATCTACAGTCAAGGCCAGTCTAGGCCTTGACTGTAGATTTGTTTGAAATAAAAGTTCGAGTAAATTTCGGTTTGCATGTTCAGCAATCTAAATTCTAAAATAACTACAAAATCAACAAGCTTATAAATATTTTAACAGCAACAAAAACTTAGGAACTTATCGTGGAAGCTCAACGTACACAGCAATAATATAAAACAATGAGAGTACGTAAAGCTTACATCGTATTATCGCTAATTAAACGGCTTGCACTTGGTCTCTAATGACACCTGATGCCATATTGCGTTGTAGCTTGTAAACAGACCATATGACTCACGTAACTTAATAATTACCATTAATTATTACATACTATTTTATAGTACATTGTTATCACACATGCGCACAAGAGATTATTGACATAATTCATAATATAACAGAACTCAGAACTAAACTTTAAATTCGTATTATAATTACCTATTTTCTAATGAACAATCAAATTATGTAATTTATTATTTGAAGACGTTCTTTTTTGAGTTCCCGTACTCATCGGTACGAAATGGTTTTTCGAACGCAAATACGTTCGCGGATATTTATTTATATCTTTATACACATAAAAGTGTTTATCCTAGTAGCATTCCAATATTCCAAATATGCTATTCTTACTTATTTAAAGTACGCGATCGGATAGGTACTTCTGAAACTCATTATACCCTAGATAAAAAAAAATTGTAATATTATTTCATCAAATTATTTTAATATGTCCAAATTACCCAATGTCTTATTTTCAAACCCGTTTTTACTTTTTTAGGTTAATACCAGATTTGGGAACCGGCATCGAATGCGTGTCGCCCGATTCGGCTACTCAAGATGGGTTGCCAGCTTATGTATGGGCTGCGGTTGTCGTGGGACTAATACTCTTTTTGCTGGTGGTATTCATCGTGGTCTACGTGTTGCGTAACACCTACACATTTAAAATATTAGCCTGTGAGTAACTTTGGCTTCATCTTATATTATTGAAATTGTTCATTTTAGTATTACCCTAAGTAATTCCTCATGATGTGTGAAAGAGTGTAACAGATCCAGCTTAAGAACATAATGAAAGCCTTTGTTCTTGATAAAGGCTATATTTGAAGGCAGTTTGCACTTGACTCAGTTTTATGACCGTGGCCTAACAAATAATCAGTGACCCACTAACATTGCGGTGAAACTCTTAAAAAAGATGTTTTATTGCGCTTGAAAAATATTTACTTTGTGGTCGTATGTGTCATCTGTGGAATTCGTTACTAATTTAAAGAAATGCATCACTTTATATTATTTTAAGGACGCATTCATTATTACAGACATAAATTACCTTATAAGGAAAAGAATGTATGACGTATAAAAAGATCTCGTCCCACAATCTTCATTATGTGTAATAATATTTATTTACATATTTATTGCATATTATATACGATATACTGTACTTAATCTACATGTTTATATTGTATGGGTATTACGACGTTTAGTGTTTCTATTAGTAATTAATCAGTTTAATAGTTTTTATATCTTTCCAGCAACTCGTACTTCAGTACAGTCGCCATGTAATAGAAACACCAACGGAGCCTCCGCCCCAGAGGCACCGCCCCCATATAACGCTCTGTACACGCCTGTGAGGCCTTCATCACCTCCTGGCGACGTAGCTCCAAATAATGGTGAGTTTGTAACTTAGAAAACCGGTATATATTCTTACAAGCGATAATATAAGGGTCAAATTTTAATCGTGTAATAAGACACTTCGCATTGTTCACTAGAAAAGTTAGCATCATATAAATTGTTTACATTAGGCACGAGAGGTTTCGCTCGGTGAGACAATAAAGGGTTCCGCGTGAGTGGGGCATATCCATCTGACCACCCACATAAAAAAAAATAATTGAAACTGAGGAAGCCTGCCCTGTCAACAAAACAAAATTTCGTTTAGAATTTAATTTAAATTGTTTATAATTATTCTTATTAATTATATTTATTCGACTCTAGTCGGCAGTTAAAAAGAATAAGTGCGTCAGATAAATATTGTCTTAAGGTGAAGGTCATATTACATCATATTGCTCGTTATGGCTTGCGTATATAGAAAATGATTACTCGAATGAAATATGACTATTCGGCGTCTTTATGTATATACTATATGTACATATATTGTTAAACGTATCGAGTGTTTTATTTATTAATGCGCGTTATATATTGAATGGTATCTATACAATTGACTTCTTAAAACATCGATAACGAGTGTAGGAAGTAAAAAAGGATAGCAGACGGCCTCTCGGAATCTTATCTGCCTAATGACCTTGCGGTTTTCCTCAGTGCAGCTAGCCTGCACAGGATAATACACTGATTAGCTAAATGAAAGTGAATCATTTCGATTGACGTACTTTTGCACGAATCTTTGTTCGTTTTTTTGAAGCTCACATTGAACGAGATGAAGGTAAGCAATGAGTCATTGTGTGCGCCGCAATTAACATAAACTGGTTTCTTTGAAAGGTCAAATGTGTAAACCCCCCAACAGATGTATTGAAACGAATTTTATGAAAATAACATTCACGTTGATAAGAAAATAAACCGTTACTAAATGCTTTTGATGTAAACGCGGTTTCAAAATATTTCGCACGCGTAAATTACTATGGAGGTGTTGATAATAATAAAAGTGATATTTTAATAATTTGTCTGTACTTATGTACAAAATTTAAACGAACTAAACAACTGACAAAAAGTTACATTTGCAGTTAACACAGAGGCTACTTTTTCAATACAACTAATTGAAACAGTAAACTTTAATACATTTTTGATCGCGTCTCGGATGCCTATCAGCTGCCATGTTACCTGCTGAGTTCGCGTATCAAACTGTTTAAAGTCTATTTCAGGGACAATGTCATTCTATTTTCCATTTGATACGAATGATGCTTAATGAATATTTGCAGAACCTTGGAGCTACGTGAAACGAGCTGGTAGTACCCGCATCGGAACGGAAGGACGAGAGTCAGCCGGTAGTCAGGCGGCTCGTGTCTTCAGCAACCCTAACTACGTTCGTGGAGCGCATATTCCAGACTTGCCCAGGTAAAATTACAGTAGTCCATTAAAGAACAATGGCCAAAATTGTGTATTGGACCTGACTAAAATTTTTCGCGAAGAGCAAAAATAAAATAAATACCACCCTATACGAAAACGTTTTTTTAAAGCTAACATAATTTGAATCAATAAATAAGTTTAATTACATATTTTTCAACTGCAGCATGTTAACGAGCTTTTTCATTAAGTATTTGAATAGAGATATCATTGCACGTATTGCATTGCAGCACGTACCGAAACAAAAGCAATAACAACTGTCAGTTATCCGAAATTTAAATCGATCTTTAACTTGCTCTTAACATATAAAAAGAAAAAAAAACAATAAATGTATATACATAATCATTTATATTGGTTGGTGTCAGGTAGGATTTGGCCACTTGCACAAACTAAACTGAATGTAAGATCTTAGCTTACGGTCATCGTTATTTTTTCCCCTACAGTTACGATGCAGCAAGTGAAGAGGAACGTGATGTGCTACCCCACAGTGAAGATACTATGGAGAGCACTTGGACTCCGGCCGCAGACGACAACCATAAGTAGGTTTAAGTAATTATTATTTTCTCGTTTATTTTTTATTTCATATTAATCTCGACTTTTGCACATTTTTTTTTAAACTATGGCGTGACTTAATGATTTCATTCGCTTTTCAAGTCCGGTTTCGGTGTCGAGCGGAGGTGGAGAGCTATCAACTCTTCTGTCGGCTGCGCGAAACACCTCGCTGTTGCGTGCGCCCCACAATGCTACACAGCACTGCGCTTCACAGGTACGTTTAAACTGGAAAACACATTAATCGTTTAAAACGCTAGATATATTAGCCGTAATTAAAATAAATAAATTACGGCCCGAAGTTTCGGATGCTTTGCAGCAGCCATGGTCAGGGGTCTCCCCTTGACCGCGCTATTATAAGTTAAGTTAAAGTGTTTTATTTAAAGTACTCGCGTAAATTACAGACAGTATTCATATAGTTGTTCCTAAGACACGAAATAAAATGCGTGTTTCACAGACGACATTCAAAAGTGAAAGACGTATTGTAAAGTGTACAAAAAGTATAAAAGCGATTTAATGAAAAGTGTTATAGTTTTTTAACACAGGAGAGACGCGAACTAACTACACGAGCTACCTTGTCAAGTTTAAACTTGTATTTGTAATACAGATAGTATACGTTGAACGTATTTTCCTACTCTGGTGAGCACAAAATATTGAACCAAATAGATTCAAATTACATTAAAATCAAAATAACATCTTTTTAATGAGACTCATTAACCGGCTTTTAGATATTGCTTAAAAAGGACCCTTTCAAGTAAGCGATATTGTGCGTTTCCATTAACAATTGCTTTTGTTTCCAGGATACAAATAATAACAGGAGCGCGGGGGACGGTCTCGGCGCCGCCGAGAGCGCTCCCTCCAGCAGCGGCCCTTCATTCATCATCAACGTGGTGCAGAACATCAACGCGTTACAACAGCAGAACGACGTCACGTTATAGTTCTGTGCGCGATACTTTGCTCAATTAATACGTGAGATTAAAAGCATTTATACATTTGAGATTATACAGAATTTACAGACTGTATTTTAAAGCTTTTACACGATTTCTAATGATTATTAAGACAAGTGATTTGAACTAAGGTTACTTGGTAGTGGATTCGGTGCCTTGTATTTATTGTGGTGTTCTTTTATTCGCAAGGTTACTTACTTAGGTCTAGTGTACAGTTACGTGGATGAGGGAATTCCTCACGCGAACTCTACTAGTGTTACGTAGAAAATGATTACTGCCATTCATGCATGTTATCCTAGCTAATTAAGAATTTTGCCCTAAATGAGAAAATGAAAAAAAGACTATAAATATTTGTAAATATTTTATCTTGAATTGCGTCAATAGTTTATATTTTTCATTTTTAAAGTTTGCATAATTATAGATTATACTTTTTCCATTTATATTCTAAGTTTTTAATAACATTGCTCAAACCTAGGCTCAAATTGTAGCGAATGTGTTATTTAAAACTTTGTCAATATTGTGCCAGTTGATCTGAGCTAGATCTCGCTATATATAATTAATATTATTTTTTTATGTTTGTCTTCCTAATCTGCACAACGATTGTTTAAATTTTAGATTTTAATTGCTCGTCTTCCGTATAAAAGAATATTTAAGTAAATCACTGGGAATATTAAAAATATCATTCAATGGTATCATTAAGTTCAAATAAGGGTTACAAACATTTATCGGAGTTCATTTCGTTCATGTCGACTTAATTGAAGATAAAATAATGGATTTACCTTCCACAAATTTGATTTACAATATACTGTCCCAATGTGATTTAATATTATAATTTTTCTAAATAGTATTATATGGTTAAAGGTTTAAATTACTTTCACCTTTCATATATATTTATGTAAATTAAATGAACAGTTTCTAATATTCCTGTACATAAGCTTAAATATTATTTTTATGAATTACTCGTCGTTGGTGCTGAGCAGAACGCGACGTGTTCAAAGAATTGCTTTCAGTTAATATATTTAAATTAGTGTAATAGGTTTTATGCTTAGCAGCTCATTAAGTTTATAGGATTCCCTTGTTTTAATGTAGTGCCATTTTTTCCTGAGATTTACTTTCCATAAAGGGCACAACCATTTTGTAACGAAACGACCGATACGAACGATATTTCTAGAGTAAGTTGTAAATTGTTATTTTTAATTTTCACTGTATTTTTAAAATTTGCCGACGCCTAAAACCGGATATTAGATAATCAAGTGCCTTATCCCGATGAACTGGCTGTGATGCACTTATTGTGAAGCAATTTTTATTGTTATATACTTTTAGATGTCGAATGTAAAAATCTTCCTTACTAGCGAAAACGTATCAACAGTGACCAATGCCTCTAGTCAGGTCAATATTGTTATATAATACCTTTAGGAAGGAATGTTTTTACTAATAAAACGATCTTTATAATTTTTGTTTTATTTGGTACTTACAAGAATATAATAATGTGATCGCGTTTAGTCAACTGGAGAGATAAAAAGTGCAGCTGCGTGTAACGTAGCGGCGTTTGCAGGAAAATGGGGTGCAAGTGGCGCACGCACCTCGCACAACAGTGCTGTACGCGACACACTACCGTAAAGTGGAACCTCCGCCCAGCGTAATTCCTGTTACACACAATACATACATCAATCAAATTTGTTTGCGTCCTGGACACAGACATAGATTATGAATATTATGAACAATAATCATTTCGAATAAATGATTCACATTCATCAAACACCTGGTTAAGTCTGGACTTCGTATACACGAGTCAAATGAAGGTCTACACGCCTATTTTTTTCATCAAACAAACGCGGCGGTGTCTATAAATAAGAACTGTAATTTAATTAATTTGGTATAAGTCTTGGTTCTTTAAATCAAATTAATCTGGTTTTAACACTGTATAATTACAATATTTCAAGTTTACCTGCAAAAGCGTTTCCCCGGTGGGAACGTATTTAAACGCCAGCGGTGGTGCAGGGGTGTGTGGCGGAGCAAGCGGTTGCGCCGGAGATAGGGCTCCGTTGTCCCATCGGCAACCGCTCAATTGTAAACCAGTTACAATCAAACCGCCTTCGCATTCTGTATAAACACGAAATAATCTTCCATAAAACCCTTAATTGTAATACTACTATAAGAAATAATACTTAATGCGCAACACGGTTTTAAACATTACATTTTGCAAAAATTAAAATTATTATTATCCTCAGGAACTCTTTGTACTTATCACGAAAATGTAATATTCTTTTTCAAAAATTTAGAGTCAAAACGATATTCTTGCGTCCGTCAGTAACATTAGGCAAGTTTAAATTATGGTTATTAAAATGACGTAAATCTTATGTATCATTTTGAATCACTTACTCAAGACGTCAGCCGTTTTGGTTACATTAATAATTTAACATTTTTTTTTATATGTACATTAACATGATCATTCTAATATATTAAATTTCATAAGATCCAATCTATATATTATACATGTAGCATGGTGTTAGTACCTTTTTTGGTCCCAATGCACAGAGAGTCGAAGCTCGTATGGCGAACACTTTCTTTGCTCTGCTGTGTTTGCCTGTAACGCCTGCAGCAAACGTCCGGGGCACAGCAGTGATCGAATGTCTAATACTGGAAAATAAAAACATTTGAAATGTTATTACAAGGGCTTATTCTTATAAAAGTAAACCATCATAAGACTATATATAAAAACATTTGTTACATAGGTAATTATTTTTTATTGATTTGTAAAAAAAAAACTACTGGCTCACATCACACACTCACCCTTAGGTAAATAATTGTTAGAGATTGTTTCCGTAAGACGATCAGCCGCGGCGCGAGCTCGGAAGCAAAATTCTCGAATATAATCATCAGGTTTCTCTGGCCCGGGCCACAGTAACTGCCATTGCTCCGGTACCTGATATTAAAATGGACAATTATTAAAAAAATATGTTCGCGCAAGACGGATTTTTTTCGGCTAGACTACTTCATACGGATATAATTATTTTAATCTTCTATTCTACTCCATAACACTATATAATCTTACGTTTTGAAGTGTAGAAACTCTATGCGATTGGTAACGATGAGCAAAGCTCGCGAGAGCCCGATGTAGTACGCGAGTTGAGCGGGCCGCATCGCTGGCCTCTCCTGCGCATACGCAGCCCCACCAACCACTGCCAACCTAAAACCAACATTGTGTATATACATTTTATAGTGACACACATATAATATTGTGACAATTTACTCTGAACCTAATGAAGCGAGTATTAAATAAAACAATTCAAGGGAAGTCGTAGTAAAAATGCGTACGAACAATAAAGAAACAAAAACTACCTTATCAACCGTGTATTCTGCCTTCACGAAGGGATTGCCCGTCATCAGTTTCTTCCACAAGTTAAGAAGTGACTTTATTGGAGCAATGCCGTTATTTCTTGTGGGTGTTGTTGAAGTAATGTCTACAAAATAAAAACAACAAAGTATATTAAAAAAAAAATCGTGAGTGTATAGAAACAAATACAATAAAAGTACTTAATTAAGAATATTTTTGGACAAATAGGGTAATCTATTTTTGAGATTGACCAATCAAAAAGCTATAAAAATGCATGCAGGTCCTTCGAGCCAGATTGGATGCAATAGTGTCTAATAGGTAGTACAAGAGAGTTGATAATTATCGTTATAACCTTTTAAGCCACTGACGATGTCATCTGCTGCTTTCCTCTCCCAAGCTAGGCGACAATTCTGTGCTAAGCCGAGCAGTTGCGGTGAATCTAATTCAGGTAAATTTTCTATCGCCGAAATATAATCCTGAAATTATTTATCAGTGTTTCAATGAATTATCGATTAATGACAACGATACAATATTTAACAACAATATGACAACTAATCATTGAAAATAAAGAAAACTAAATTGTACATTATACGTGTCAGGTTACTAAGTATTAAATGTTTGTTAAAATTTTGAAAGTTTTTGGTACCTGTAACCTGTCAGTATACGGCAAGGGCGCCTTCAATCCCGGAAGAGTATAAGCATGTGCTTGTGCTGCATCGCCGAGACACGAAGCGACGAGGGCGCGAAGGAGACGACGATCCGCTGGCGACGGTACACGTGCCCCGTACATAGCTTCGCATAGAGCACTACATATGCTCGACCCAACCGTATTTTGGGACACTGTACATGCGCGCATCATACTGATTTCACCCCAGCCCCATTCGTACCACTGGGACCAACCTGTTGTTTCAAAAATCAACCTTTTTTTATAATAATGCCTGTGATGCCTAATAGTAATTTTTTTATTTATTCAGATCGTTAATTGAAATCTTACATGCTACATAATATTATACAGTTTCATTTTATATAAACATAATTTTAATTTAAGGTAAACACAACTTGTTTCACAGTGGAGAACATAATAACTGTTCAATTAATCCTTTAATACAACAGAGTATTATAACAATTCAACTTTCTAAAAGTACCAACAGATAATTTTGCTTAGATTTTTGAATGAAATACAAAAATATACATTTTTTCACTAAAGGTAAAAAAAAATTATAAAATTGGTGAATTCAAAGCAAAAACAATTCCACGAAGGGAGGTTATGGGCATTCTTAGGTAACACAAACCGACTTAACAATTATTGATGATTAGTTTTCTTATAAAATGAGCACAACTTACCCAAAGGCACATACGCTCTTCGCTCCAACGCAAGTGCATGAAGCATAGCGATGTTAACGAGGCGTCGTGCAACAGGCGCAGTGTGGATGCCTCCGCTCCACGCACTCAAAGTACTACAAACGTTGCGTTTAACACCTTCTGCACTCTGAAAAAAGGGCACATTACTTAAAGCAGGGAATTTCGAGATATAAAGGGTGTTTCAAAGTTTATTTCAGTAAGAATGACGAAATGTTCACACGGTAACCTAATTTTGAATAACTAAAAGTTAGAATTATCTGTAGTTTTATTAACAGCTAAAAATTTACCTCAAGTACTACGTTGACGCATGATCCAGAAATGACAGCGGGAATTTCGCGATCCTCCGCAATGATCCACACGCGAAACTCTTCGCTGAAATCCTGGAACTAAAATAAAAATAACTCAATAAAAAAATAGATCTTATAAATAGAAAATAATGTATTACAGTATTGTATTTGTTTACCGAGCGATTTCTCAGTTCGTCAAGGAATTCTCTTAGATCTTTGGAGAAGGGGGAAGCACCGACATTTATAGCAAGCCACCCCCCACTTCGGCATTCTTCTACGGCGTCGTTCCAAGCTCGTCGCCCTTCATCGATTCCCAACTAGATACATGAGTGGTTTAAATTCCATTAGAAAGAAAAATACAACATATTTGTAAAAATTGTTAATAACATAAGCAGATAAAAAAAACCTGTTTAAGAAGCCTGGGATAAGCATGAGCCTGTAGCTGATCAGCAGCGTGGGTGCCCAGCAAGAGAATACTACGCTTTGCCGATGACCAAATTTGTGCTCTACGAATTGTGTCCCCACCACACATAACGCCAGTACCTACAATATCGCAAATTATAACTGGCTCGAAGGACCAGAAGTTTCACATAAATGATATCTTACCTAAAACGTTATCTACCAAACTAATTACAGCTCGATACAAGCTATCTGGTCGCAAGGCGGAGACCGCAAGGACAGTTTCAAATGAAGTCAGATTTAATTTATTAATTGTTTTAATATCTCCCGTCTTAATAAATTCTAGCCATATTGTATCATCCAATGATAATTTGATAAATAGTTGTTCGTTTTCCAACTGTAAACATAAAATTTAAGTAAAAAAATCTTTAAAAAACTTCGAGGAAATACTGAAAATAAAATACTAACGGTTTGAGACGCGAAATATATGAATTAAACTCATTAACAAATCATTTTAACTACGGCCCGACGTTTCGAATACATTGCAACTGCCGTGGTAGGGAGGTAGTCGGGGAACACAGTACACGGAAATAATATATTTCGCCTTTTAAACCGTTGAAGTAGTTTTATTTTAGATGCTGAAAATAATTATAGATACCTTAATCATAGTTACTTTCTTTAAGCATTCGTCAGGAATCCAATTGTAACTGGTCTTCACTATAGTTATTTCACGATTATCAACGAACTCGTAGCTTGCGACAAATAGATTCCAAAGCTAAAATAAAGTATGAATTATTCAACTAGCTAACTTGAGCCAGTTTTTAATATACTTAAAAATATATTTTATCTTACGAACCTTTTCAGGTATCAAGTCATCGCACACTTGTCTCAGCAAATGTAATACAATTATGTACTTTTCTTTTTTATGTAAACTAAGCAAAACTCTTTCTATTACTCTTCGTAATAAATGTTTTACAATATCGTTGCTGTTCATGGTCTTAATGTCCTACAACAAGGAACAAAGCTGTTATATATGAGGCTGATAGAGGCAGAGTGGCCTAATCGCAATGGTGTGCTAGTTGCAAAAGTTATTATAATATGTATTCAAGAAAAAACCACATATACAGAAAACACCATAGCCATATAGCTATAAATAAAGATGGTTATAATATGATTACGAAAACAAACGTACCTATTCCTTTTAAATAAAACACTTTAACGGTTTAAAAGCGATATATTAGTTAAACTTATTTGAAAATATTTTTAACTTCGGCCCGACGTTTCGGATTTTGAGCAGCCGTGGTCACGGGGAGACCTATTCCTTAAATAATAATTATAGAGAAGACCTAATTTTTATTAACGAGTTTGGCCTAAATTGTATAAAGTAATGCTGGTGTATTATTTACAATAGTAGTGTAAGATAAGTTTACGTCAGCATCAGCGACGGGTGAAAGTTCTCTATATTTTAATTTATTGCAACAAGGTCTTAAAGTTGCGCTAAGCTTTTCGTTAAGATATTGGCAAATAATATCCGTGAAGAACATACAGACATAAGCGTGAACAATGTACTTACAGACTAACAAATGATGCTATATTCTATTGTATTATTTCACATATTTTTTGTATAATTGTACGAAATGCACTATCAAACTATTTCGATACCTCATAATAGTAAAGATTACCTTAACCCTTTTAACAGCTTCAACATAAACATCCAACATAGTCTCAACAGGAATGGAAACTAAAGGTTTTCTCCCAGCCAGTTCCTTAACAGCCAGAATCAGATGTGCTGCTTTCAAAGCACTTTCTTCATACGCTTTGCATGAGAACTTAAATTCCTCCTCAATGCTTTGAGCAGACTTGAGCGATTCAGAAATAGTCATGCTCGTCTCTCGGGTTTTGTTCAGCGACGCTATTACATTGGCGTCGTGTAGTATATCGTTGTTGCTCGAGAGGTCTTTTAATAGATTTTCCTGTAAAATGGAATTTTTTTTAAATTGAATTATAATATTTCTTTATTGGGAACCCCAATTTTGGGGTGGCCCTTTTGCCATGTTTCTTAAAATGGCATTGCACAGGTACTCGGAGAAAGTTTGCACTATAAGATTCGTTGATATGACCCTCGATCTTAGGATCGCGTAAAAATCCGATACCCTGCTTTCAGGGCCGGATGCAGCCAACATTTAAATGATTTTTTGACGGAACTGTACCTACCTGTAGTTCGTAGAGTTGTTTCTGTAACGTAGCTTTTTTCAGCTTAATCTCCTTTGCCTTTTCGTTCATTTCCGGGTTTTGTTTTTGCATAGTGTAGTGAATCAATTGATCTGGAAAGTTTGGCATGAGATTTATAAATTGACTTTGTCAGTTATGGATTTAAATAAAACACTTTAACGTTTAAAACGCCATATATTTTACTTTGTTTTTTAAGACGGTCCGACTTCATCACGATTACTAAAATGTCTAAGAAGCAATTTAAAGTAAAAACACCATTCATAGGGAGATCAATTACAAACTGTCCCATATTAAATTGTCCCAATAACAGCCAAACCGAGACACCGTGTCAATTCTAGATGTTTATCCAAATACCAACTTCGACGGAACAGATGGCCTAGAGTAGAAATTTTTTACTTTGACGTCAGAAATCCTCCATTTTAGTCTCCCGTACCACGCTGTGCAAAGCATCCGAATTTCGGGCCGAAGTTAAAAATCATTTTCTAAGTTTAACTAATATATGTTTTAAAAAGTAAAAGTTTTTATTTAAATGTGTATACTCGCGTAAATATATACTATAGACAGTATTCAGTTATGGATTTATTTAAAACAAAGGTACGCAAATCTTTAATATTTTTGACATGTTATTGTACAAAAATACATTTCATCAAATAATAACTTTTATATTATAGAGGGGACTTCAAGCGGCATCCACAGTTTTACGTGCTATGGATATGTAAGTGATAGATGTGTAAGTGTATATTAATATGATAAATATTTAATTTATATATATATTTTATACATAAATAATGGTTTACCAAGTAATGCGTGTAGCCTCGCGGTAAAATATAACGGGTTTAGTACAGCAAGTACATAGGCAGGTAATCTTTGAGGTAGGGAGGTGTCGCGCGACAGAAGCAACAATTTGCCACCGCCAACAACATTACCGCCCCACCATGATGCGTGCACGCAGTCCACATCGTAAATGACAATGAAACGATTTAGCCTATAAAAATCAATTATTAAAGTCACATAAAAAACAAAAGCAGGCAACTTATACACAGTATGGCCAATACGATATATGCGAATACTGGTAGAAATCGAACGCTTGACCATGTCAAGGTTCATTTCTACAGATCTAACAAATTTGTCATCATTGAAAATCATCATGATCATTAACAATTACGAATTAAGTCTGGCTTTTGCAAAAAAGCAATTAAATACAAACAAAATAATTCGACAGTACACCTTCTTTAGATGTTATATGACTGGAGTATTTTACCTTCAAATATTTTTTTTGGTATTATGACTGTAAAAAACCACATTTGTTACTTATGTATGCGTGTGTGATTTTAATTTATATAGCAAAGTTATTAATATCGATAAATTATATTATAAGCAAGAATTCTCACCTAACAGCATACTGTACTGCTGTGTGTATTTTATCTCTGTTTTGCGATACGAACTCACATGGCACTGTGCCATTGAGGGTATTTCTAAGCCAGGACAAAGCTTCCCCGTCTGGGTCTATGATGAGAGGTGTCAGACCACATCTGCGGGTATCTAGAATCTATTAACAAGACATGGAAATTTAAATTAAACATAATATTTTGGTATCATCGTGCCAGTGACGGCTTTGTAAGAGATCTTAAGTTTGAATACGTGCAAAAATAAAATAGTCCCCAAGCAAATCAAATATCATTATTGTATCCATATTAAACCTACTTGACTGATTAAAACTGCATTTTTCAGCGCGGTTTGATCTAATGGTAGGCCATCAGCTTCCCATTTCAATTGTTTTTCGGGAGTAGAGAGGAAGTTTATGACCGAGAAATCTTCTTTTTCATATCCAATCAGCTTTGACCACTTTGTTATTTGAGTTCTGTACAAATAATAATAATTATAATTTTCACATATAAGAGTATATAGAATATGTATAATAAAATAATGTAGAAGAAACTAACACATACCGATGACGCCAAAAATATTTTCGCGAATAATACTATTACAACACAGTACCAATTACCCAACATAAAACCTTACTTTGACTGGGGTTCCGTGAGATCAGGAAGATAAACTAAGTATGCAGCGGCCAAAAGCGATCTTTGATTCAGTTCAGATATCTCCAGAGATATGTTCTGCAACTAAACAATAAAAAATGCTCTCAATCATATTACATCATAAAATAAAAGTGTCTCATGGAATCGTATGAGGCATGTTTTTTTTCTTATAAGTATTTTGCTTTTTTCATGCTTTCTTTTGAACTGATGATTTGGTTTAAATGTAAGAAATCATACATTGTGAAACTACTGTATTCAATAAATAAAGTCAGTAAGATGCCTTTTAGCATACTAGGTGCCTACGGATTGATCAAAAATAAAAATCTACTAACGTCTTCCTCCCACGTATCATACTCGTTAGCCAACTGTTGCAGCAAGTTGTTAGCGTGTTGTATTGTCTCTGTGGCAGCAGCTAGCCGCATCTCTATAGCTGCAGCGTCTCGGGTGTGCTGACCTAGCTGCTCCTTTAGTGACGTCACACGCTCCTCTACAGATGACATCCCACTTGATAGAGCCTCCAATTCGCTCTCCGCTTGCTGAAGGTTTCTGTATGTTATATGAATAAGAGATAGATTTCGTATCTTTGTTTTTGTAGTCAATAACTGAGAAATGTTGAGCAACCAGCTAATAAGACGCGAAGCACAATGTATACAAATATTATAAAGCTAATACAATTATAACTAATAAAGCTTGGACTTTGCTATTTACATTATGCAAAGATAGGAGCAAAGTAATAGTGAAAAATGTCGCATCCTTGAGGGCGTTGCGTGCACTGCAGAAACAGTTCAATTAACCAAAAATTATGTATGATAAAACGATTCCTCTTTTAAATATGTATAAAAAATGTCTACGGCGATGTCTATTTTTTACAATCGCCTCGCAAGAACGACAGGACGCAGACGATGTCGTGGGTTATAATTTGTATAGGTGGGGAGGTTGTTTGCAAAAATAACTGTTAATTCACATGAAATAAGTAGCAGACACAGCAAGCTATAGTATAAAAGTATAATTTAGGATTTATTTCTGAACCTAGGAACTTACTTATGCAACTGACGCTGTTGCTGTTGTAAAGGTTTGACTCGCGATAGAACCGCGGCATGAGCAAGGTTGGCACGGACCCACGCTGCTAACGGTGCGCAGGCGGCGCTGGCTCGACGCGCAGTCGCTTGCTCAAATGAAGCTCCACGCTTTTCCAGTAGACGCTCAACCGACTGAACTGCTTCGGCGCTTATTTGACTAGCATCTAAACATCTGCAAGGAGCAAAAAAGTAACAATTATTTCTTTGAAAGCAAACTTTATTCATTATTATAAGAAATCCCCAAGGCCGCTATAAAGAAAATACTTTTGTTAAAAATCGATTCAAGATTGCTCGATCACCAATCAAATAAATGTTGACACGAGCAGGACTTAAATCATGCAGAGTGTTTGTGCTGTTGTTCTCACCAATTAAGTTACCATGTTCTACAAATAATTAATATTTTTTTTATTTATCTATATGCACTTCTCGTGCAATGTAATTACAAACTTAGCACTTACGTCATTTATTTATGTAATATATTCTATCTTTCAATATTAAAAATTTAAGTTTTTACAAATCTTTAAAATATTAAAGGTTTTTTGAAAGCTTTAATATTTTGAAAGCATTTGCTTTCGTTATTTACTAGTCCTAATAACAAACACGTAACACAGTTGACCGTTACGCGACTGTAAGTAATAAGGATACTTTTCATACCGAATATCTTCCTTTACTCCGCGTTTGGAAAGAAAACTCTTCATGGAGTGCCACGAAGTGTCAGCGATGCCCATGAGCCGAAGCACCCCTTCTAGAACGTCGCGGACAACGTCGGGTGGCGCTCGTAGAGATCGCACCTTGAAATATAGTAAGTCAAATCAAAAATTATTTACTCATGTAGCTAGGTACACTTTTGAACGTCAAAAAAATAAAAACTAGAAATTCTAAATTGACATTTACTACCAGTTCTCAAATTAAGGGACAAAAAGAACCGGCAAGAAACTCTTCGGTTCTTTTTTTATAGTTAAGTTTTTGTTACAATCCTTACACATTTAATAAGTAGGTACATCTTCTTCCGTGTTAGTGCGGGTTTCTGAACCCCAAGCATTGTTTTCATTTCAATATCGATTAATAGATTTACAGACGAATTGTAATAAAATAAAAGAATTAAGAATGCCAAACAACATGCAGGCTTTGCTTCTTCTGTCGTATTTTTAGCCAAAAGAAGAACTTACTTCACTTAATGACTCCGGCTTAATATCGCCTACGGCGGCTCGTGCAGTGGCAATGACGGGTTCTACGGACGCTAATTCTTCTTCTATTTCCTTTTTACTGTAACAAATTACATATTTTATATTATATCGGCCCTTATACAGTTCTAATCGCTGTGAACGCCAGCAGAAGTCAGAAGGTACATAGAAACAAAACTTTATTGCAAAGCAAGACCAAAGATCGAACCTTAAAGACTAGTAAACAAACAGAACTGGTAAATCTATTAACCGTATTTGTAGCTTCTCGTTCTCTAATTCAATGTTCTTCTTGAGAATTTGCATCTCTTCATGCTTGTCTGTGTTCGCTCTTACAGTAGCGCTTATTTGTTCTAGAGCCTTGTTGGCTTTCTCTCGTTTGTCACTCAGCGCCACCTCTTGTTCGGCCGCTTGAGTTTGTAGCACACTTACTTCGCTGCGTGCACGGCGGAGTGCGTCTACGCCGGCCTGTAACCGTGTGCATATTTTTATGTAGAGGTAGAAAATTTTGTGCAGAACCATTTATTTAAAAAATACCATGACAATTATATACATATAAATCCTAGAATTATAAAGGTAAGTGCGAAGCATTAATAGATCGACAATGCATCTTCTTTTGATATTATATGGCTGAGATATAACACCTTCTAATATATTTGATTTTAAATATAATAATATACCGATAACATATTGTAGCGTTGAGATAGAGTAGTTTTCTTCTTCAGCACAATGTTGTAAAAAGATTTAATGAAGCAAATGTATCGATATGGGCTTTTCAACCAATCTGCTTCCAAACTGTTATAGATGCTTGTTATTTCTTCTAACGGAATTGCATTTTGGTCTTCTTTCCATGCGTCACTTCCATCTTCTTTTATTAACCTGATAAAGTTCGTACAATACTCAGTAAAAAAACATAGTAAGTAAAACAATAATTATTTTTGCGTTTTTGGGAAAATTAAAAAAATATAGATAGAATACTGTCTATAGTTTACGCGAGTAGTACACATTTAAATAAAACACTTTAACCCCGTGACCCCGTGACCACGGCTGCTGCAAAGCATCCGAAACGTCGGGCCGAAGTTAAAAATCATTTTCAAATAAGTTTAACTAATATATCGCGTTTTAAACCGTTAAAGTGTTTTATTTAAAAAAATATAGATAGATCAAATAAATATATGTATACAACTACAAAAAATACTCTACCTTGATATATATGTGCAACGTGCTAAACCACTCTAGGTGCATTTTCATACAAAAAAATACCTCTGAATGATCAAAGTCGGCATCTCTCTTATTGTAGATTCCGACCACCTTTCGAGCCATGTCAACTGACCAGTTGTATGTAAAAACGGGTATCTATTTAGCAGTTCGGATAGATTTTCTTGGTCCTTGTTGAGGCAGATTAAAATACCAAGATTTTGTTTCATGTCTAAAATAATGAAAGTTTATTTTATTTGAGTATTGTAGATTTTGTTGAAGACACGGTCCGGATTTGAATCCACGACCTGTAGCTAGGTCAATCTACAGTGATACTATATCTCGTATTCATATATACAAGACCTTATGTTGTTTATTTTAAATTGAATATCCTAGGTACAAATAGCACTTCACTCACTTATAAATACGTCTTCAGCATTCTGCCCTATAGCCGGCATAATATAAGACGGCAGTGCATATACGGATTGAGCACGGATGTATGCTTCTATTACCGCCAAGTTTTTCGCATCCGCCGTCCATTCGGTTACTAATAACAACGTTTTGGTGCCTTCACTAGCTGCTGTTAGGGCCTAAGTAGTTAGACAACACATAACCAATGGTTCATCAGGTCAAATAAATGTTTATCTTCAAAGCTTAATATTTTATTAATAAAATACAATTATAAAGTTATTTTGATATGAAAGAAAAGAGAATATAGCATAAGTAATGAATAAAATGTTATAATTAGTTCAATGCCACTTTGGCTCAAGCGGGTTTTATGAAAATTACTAGTCTCTGTAACCATAAAACGTGTTGCTATAAGCGAGAGGTCCTGCGTTCGTATCCCAGATAACTAATAGATAGTTTCGTTCAGACGGGGCACAGAAGTCTGATCTATAGAAAGAAAACGAATTCACGTTTAAATTAAGTGAATACACTTGCTACAAGCCGATTGTTAAAAAGTATTTTTTTTATTATGAAAGAGCAACGTTTGGCTGTACCAGACAAGAGATTAAGCAATATCACAGGCTAAGTACCTCTCAAGGTTTGCTTTGAATTGATCCAAATTGTACTCGCTTGAAAAGAATGACACGAAAAGATAGTTCCAATGACTACATAACTAATTTCTTAATATGTATATATATATGAATCTACAAACCGCTCTAAAGGTATTGGTGAAGTGTGAAGGCAGTTCAGCAAGTAGACATTGAGCAGAAAGTGCAGCGCACGTTAAATACCCCGCCTCCACAGCGCCGGCACCAACGGCACTTACACACGTCCTAATATTTCCATTGAGCTGAAAAATAGATCAAAAAGGTATTACTGTCAAGGTAATCTATATCTATACTAATGTATAAAGACAGAGTTTGCCTGTTTGTTAAAACGCGCTAATCTCAGAAACTACGGGTTCGAATTGAAAAAATACTTTTGTGTTGGTTATTTATCGAGGAAGGCTATAAAACATTCCCATGTGACTAATACAAGCGAAGATACAAGCGAGACATGTGGAAATTGGAAAAATTACTAATCATTATGAGTTTTCGAGGAGTACGCTGCAAAAACTTTTTAAGATGAAAGGGTTTGCAAAAACGAATCTTGATGCCCAAAATAACGATTCTCGCGGACGAAGTCGCTGACACGGCTAGTACATTTTAAAAAACAGTTACCTACTACTAAGAGAAATCAAAGATAGGAAAGCAGAAACAAAACACGACTTGTTACTTCTTCAAGTGCAAACTAATTCCGGTAAAAAGTGTAGGTAATATTTAAAGGCGCTGATCTTATAATAAATATGTTTGCCGCTCAGTATAAAAAAGAGCCTAGTTCATCTCCAAAAAAATTAAAAACGAATATTTTCACATATGATGCCGGTTCATGTCGTCTCGTGTCGTAAATTTTCAATCTAAAATTGATTTAAGTCAGTTATTTATTTGTATTTAAAAAATCATTGTTTTCTCATTAAATGAATGTGTATATTCTAAGAGACAATACATTTTTTGAATCCATGACTACCACTAAAAAAGGTATTACGCATTTGTTTGGAGGTAGTTTACTTGCTACATCAATAGTTTATATTAATATAATATAAATTAAAGTTATCAAAATAAGTAGTAACTTACCGTAAGAGCGATGGAAGGACATAAGTGCGACAGTTCCTTACACACTTCTAGGTTTATTATGTTTTTTTCGTTATCTGTTACTGTTAAAAATATAAATGAAAAATGATTAAACTAAGAAGAGTTTAAAATTGTAGACAGTATAATAGCTTATGATACTCACAACACTGGTTAATGAGCGTCTGCGTGTTCTGATACCAGTTGGCATAGTCCACGGTTTCCAAGTAAATTCCGTCACCACGTTGTATAGATTTATAATAAAATTCTTTGTCAATTTTGAGGCATTTCCTAACTATACCATCAAATGTTTCTTTCTCGTCCTCTGTTATGAGACGATCTTTGAATATTCTCTGGGCTTGCGCATGAAGGGCCTATAGGATTAAAACAATCAACTTAACTTCTAGTCTAATCTAATTAAATTATATTTAAGAGCCAAATCAACTAACCATTGTAATTTCACTGACATTTGATGGGCTGTACCATTTTACACTCTCACATAGTTGTTTCAAATGGGAAGAATTCCAAACATAATGTGATTTTGTATCAAACCGCTCGATAATCTAAAGAGAGTCAGAAATAAATACGTTTTTTACACAAACTTATCACAACGTAGTTAAATAAATAGCAACATTTGCGCGTTTAACTGCGACCCGACGTTTTGTCAAGTTTGTTAGCCGTGCATAGATGGCGCTAGCGCAGCAGATTTGACGCCCATTAATTTTACATGAGGCCAAGGCCACAAAACTTCGAATTACCATAACAATAAGTAGAGAAATATATTACGCATTTTAAACCGTTCAAAGCGTTATATTTAATGCGGACAAGCCTCGCAATCTAAAATGTAGTAGCGTTATTACACACAATATTACTAATAATGCAATTAATTACTAATGATATTTCCGATTTACACACCTCTTTGAACATAGATAGAATAGTCTGCGCCAAAGATATCATTTCGAGATCTGTAATATTTCTGATCATATTTTCTGTTAAGTAGTTTCTTACAAGTTCCGAGAGCTCCTCATCCGTAGGGTCTCTATAAAAATTAAAAACAGTACATACATACTTGTAACATATTAAATATAAAAAAAACAAACGTTTGGATCACTAACGGTATAGTAACATGCGCAAGCGCCGACGTCAGACGAGATGCGATATTGACTGTCGTTTCCGCTGTCACCACCACGCTGACACGCGTTGTACTGTGCCACTGGGACCCACTATCCTCCGAGCTCCAGAATCCATTGCCTTGAATTAACTGTCAACGCAGATCATATTAAAATAAGATATATTATTCATATGACAAACATATTGTATGTGTTTTAAGCTAATAAATATTCTTTTAACTAATATAGTTAAAATAATGTTTTATCTTCGATTCTGAATTCATGGTACTACGGGTGTTTCAAGTATTCTAATAAAATGATCATTTTCATGAAAAAAATTTAACGGTTTAAAACGCGATATATTCGTTTAAACCGTTAAAGTGTTTTATTTTAATGTGTACTAATCGCGTAAACTAAAGACGGTATTTAAAATGATCATAAATAAATGCAAAAATACATGTAATATTAATACACTTAACGGTTTATACACGACATTAAATATTTTAGCCACGGGTAATTTTTTCTTTTTTTATTTACTTTATCTGTAGCTTTATGACGCCAGTAATGTAAATAAATTATTAGCGTAAACTGCAGATGCTATGTCATCATACGGCATTCTTGTCCTAGACAATTTTCAAATAGACAGTATCAGAAACGGAAGTCTTCTAAGACCGTTTCTAGGTTTGGTATGGTCTTGCTTGATTACCTGAAGCAGAAAAGCATGAACAGAGGAGGAGCCCCAGGCATCCAGTTTTGCCCTGTGTATCGCGCGCACCAATAGAACGACATGCGAGTTCGAAGCCCCGGTTGAACGCACTACGTTTTTCTAAAAACAAGATATTAAATGCGATTTAAATTTATTAACATTATTTAACTTTTATTACAAACCTGCTCTGTAAGCTCGAGTAAGCTACGATACTATTTTTAACACATATAGTCTTTATAAAATCGCTCACAGCGCATATAAAAATGTCTATTTTACAATTCACGCTGTTAAGAATGCGAAGTGAAGTCCAGCTGATATTATAAACGTTGTAAGTGTTACACCTATTTCAATGAAAATTTTCATATATGTTTTGAACTTTCCAAAGCACATTGTATACAGAAAATATGTTAAGGTTGGCAGAATCATACATAACATTAACGTAACATAGTAACATTGGTCACGTGACTGCTATGTATCTCTGTATAATGTGTTTGTAGTGCCCGAATACGAAACAAAAGGGGAACATAATGTAACAAATCCTCACACTATCTGTAATCCAATTAAAAAAAAAATAATTAAAAAGAAACATATTTACCCTTTTGAGTTCAGTAATGATATCAGAAGGCTCTAATATCGGAGTGCAGTCTATAGTAACCACTGTCGCATCAGTTTCTCTCAAAATATATTCCGCCAAAGCACTGTAATTGTAAGGGATAGGGCCGTTGGTTTGATTCCATACTCTGGATATTTGTTTTATTCCTATACATATTACATTATAGAGGTTGAAGAAGTTGCAATAACTACACATAATATGATATGACTCGTTAGTATAAGGGTAGCATTGTATGCCTAATAATCGTATGGGTCGTAGATTCGATTCAGGTCCAACATTTTTCTGATTTACAATTGTACTAAAACATGTTCTAACTTCGTCAGGAAATCTGGATATTGAATGGATGGTAGAAAGTTTATTCGTGTTACGGTTTCAGTCTGTGGATTTCAGAATATATATATAATATATATATATAATTATGCTTACTATTTAGCAGACGCCTCTGGTCCGGAAATAATAGCGTGAGAGCGCGCATGCACTGCGGCGCGGAGGGTCTGCGCGGGCGCATCTAGTCTTGGCGACATTATTAAGGCTTCAGATACACGCTCGCCTATACCAGGAGGTTTATTAGGCGTTGGACCCAATACATCGGACATCTGTAATAAATCATTATCTATGAGTGCTAAAGTAACTTTTCAGGTACAAATAAATTATGATAAATTTAAAATGAAAAAAATATGACGAAACGAACGGGCTTCCATAACGAGCTCTAGAAAATTAATTTGCCTTATGGATGCCAGATTAAGTACCGCCCACGGTGTCTAAAATTATTCCATCTAAAAATAGTTTAATTGATAAAACGCCTCCGTAAAAAACAATTTTAACGGTCACTTACTTCTTCCTCAAACAAATGTATCGAACTTTCTTTGAGTAGACCCATCACGCTGTATTGCAGAGAGAGATAGATTATTTCTTCTGGTGACAAGTGCTTATTCGTATCCACATCTTGAATTATGTATTCGAGTTGAATTAATATTTGCTTTACCTAAAAACACATTGTCATCTTTGCAAACACTAAGATAATGTTACAAATAAAATAAAAACATAGTTCTTAGCATAGCATAAATATAAAAACTAATTATATATATTTTTAAATATCTTATAATCTTTTTGTAAGCTTAAATAGTCCCTTTACCTTGGAAGTATTGATAGATTGAACAAAAACATACCATCGAAGCCCTATTAGATGTCACGGCAACATTATTTTTGTGGCTAAAGAACCACTTCAAACACCTATCTATAACATTTTGCAGCGACGGTGTTACTAATCTAATAACTTCATTATCACGATCAGCTTTTCTAATCCAATTTTGCAGAAGCTCCTTTGCACAGCTGTCATCCTCGCTGCAATGAAATTAAAATAACTCTAGTGTATATTTTCTTTTTTTATGATACAGTAGGGCAAACTCGCATGAGGTTCTTTTTATAGGCGAAGAACCCGACCAAATAACATTTAAACAAGAAGTGCCTGTCGACCTATTTTTTCGTAATTCAGAAATGACTGAAAACCGAAACTGAACTGGTAGTTCGTAACCCGGACGGATTTTCGATAATCCTACCATCCCAATTCACATCCAGATTTCCAGACGAAGTCTAACATGTTTCGGAAAAATTATAAATTGATTAGAAATATGTTGGACATTGAATCCACGGCCCGTTGTTAAGTCATACTTTGCTATCATTACACCAACGAGCCCGTCAAATAATAGATACATTTGGAATTTTAAACGGTTAAAAAAGTGTCTAAAATGCATACTATTCGCATAAACTCTCAATACTCGATTGTTTATCTATACTAATATTATAAATGCGAAAGTAACTCTATCTGTCTGTCTGACCCGCTTTAACTTCGAAACTACTGAACTGATTTAAATGAAATTTGGTACACAGATATTTTAGACCCTGAGAAAGGACATAGGACTTACCATAGATCACTGCCTTAAAAGCGCCCTTACATAAATTATTAAACAGCCTGAATAAATAAAAATTCTACCCCAAGTCACTATTCCACGCGGACGAAGTCGCGGGCACAGCTAGTATATAGTAATATACGATATAAAATATTTATCTTAAAATATTCCTTTAATTTATAGGTATATATAGTAGAATAAAGTATTTTTGACTAGATATTCGCAAGAACGTGAAGCATTACATTTTTAGACTTCGACTAATCTCACCTGAACAAAATGATGCCCATACGAGAAATAGTAGCCGGCGAGGCATGCTCTAAGCTGTGTGTCTCGAAGATAAAGTTTACATTCTGTCCAAACTGTACCCGCCAACCCGAAGGTAGAGTTAATAGTCTATTGTCATCTAAGACAGAGTTCAGAGCTTCTATCCATTCGGGATCTATGTCACCGTCGCATACGACCCACGACCAAATGTCTGTAAGTTTTTGAACAGTTTGTTATGATTATTGTTATTTTATCAGATCGCAGTATCAAAATAGGATAACTTTATATTTACTTTGTATATGGGCAAAATTACTTAATTGTATTAATTTTAAACACAAGTAAAGGCGAGAAAGGGCAAACACAAAATTTGATCTTTTTTAAACGATAAAATATTCATAAATAGAAAAAAGAAACAAGAAAAAAAAGAAAGTAAAGAGTCAAGGTCTGTAAGGTTTAGTCCTTTAGGCGGCACAAACCTGGAGGCTGCTGGGAAACTTGCAAAGCCGTGGTGGAAATAACCCCATCAGTCCATTGACGCGTTTCAGCGTCAACATGCCCCAATAAGCACTCACGACTTACCGCCTTCGGGTAAATAACGTGTTCCATTATAGTCCTACCACGTTGAACTAAAGCCTGTAAAATATATCAAAAACTTTTAATGTAAGTAAAAATGTAAAACACCTAAATTATTAATAAGTTCAAATTATTTTTGATACGGACAACATGATTACCCGAACATTATTAATAGTGCCCGGCTGCATGTCCAGTGTTTGATTAGACTCATTTTGATGGACAAGATTTTCAGCACTTTAACTGTAGTGATGGATTGCAATTCAAAAAATACCCAACGATAAAATCGATCCAAATCCAAATCGGATTGCTTTTAAAAACGTAGTAACCTACAACGCGACCTAATATTGACCCTGAACAAGACTCAGTCGCTTCACGATCAGAACTAGCCTTCCCGTTGGGCACGAGATTATGTCTCATTACCGGAACACCCTAGCCCGACGTTATTTCAAAATAACCGTTTGTCATGACTAAATGTTTGTCAAACGTCAATGTGTAATGTGTTAGTGGACGTTTCCTACTAATACTTTTATTATATTAATATAACTAGTTTCAAAGTCTATAATAATAGGACAAATGTTTATATAACATAGTGCTGTATACTTACGGCTTTGAGTAGTTTCCTGATGGTTGTTTTACCAGAACCTGGTGGACCTACTATAACTACGCCCATTCTTTGTTGCAATTGCTCGAAAAGCTCCATGCATTTTTGAGTCTGAAATATGAATCGTGTAGCAGTGTTATACATAATTTTGTATTGTGTTTTTATTTAGAGTTGCTGATCAGACTTTTCTGCCTGGCCTCTTAGCATTGATCTATAGATCGATTTGTATGTAAGTGCTTGTTTAAAGACTACATCTGGGTTTAAATTACATTTATATACCTGTAACTGATTGTGTGTCAATTGTAACGGTTCAAAAGATGACTCAATCGATGCATGAATAGAATCTACTTTTGACTCTTCTTCGGGGATATCGGCGAACACTAACGATAAAATATTCTCAAACCTATAAGCAAAACAGGGACAATTTAAAAAATATATTTATTAACTCTGGTGTTACCGCAAGAAGTATTTTACCTTTCTGCGTCCGGCTTAGTAAGTTTAGAAAGATTGTTTAATTTAAGCACTTTCCGCAAGATGGCGCGCTGTGCTATTTCGTCTCGAGCGCTATGTGTACGCAAAGCAGCACCGCAACTGCCCACTGCTGCTTTTAGCGCTCGCAGTCCCCAATCGTAATGCCTTTGGCTGCTTAGAAGACTACTGTTGGAGAAAAGAAAACATTTAGGAAAAAAATGATTTTGATGCGCTGGTCTGTCTAAAGATTGCAGTTTATGCCTAATAAGTAACGGGCCATGGGTTTGAGCTACGCCGTGTCTTCAGACACACTGACTTTGTCTGGAAATAAGAATAGGAACTAGGAATGTGGATATTAATTGGGTTGTAGGAATAACGAAATTTCGCGCGGGTCACGAATCACCAGCGGAGAAGTTTAATTGCTTTCAGTATTAGTCTGTGGATATCCGAACAAACAAACCAAAAAAACGTCGCCAGCGCATGCTTGTTTAGATTTTATATGGCTAGGGTATTTCACGTACCATCAACTAAACCTTGTGTTTTCTCCTCTATAATAAAAAATAACAATTTTTCTTTACATGTTATCCACCAATGTAAGAATTTGAAACGTTTATAATTAAATATCATAGAATATTTCGGGGATTCTTTATTTTTAAATACATCAGATATACCTGGAAAGCATAAACACAGTGGTGAGATCGTGTGCTAGTCGTTCTGGCTGGACAGACCCGTGGGCAGCCAGGAGGTGGGTTGCGAGCGGCGCAGGCGTCGGTGTCGTCAACGCAACGGGACGTAACACACGCTGTAGCGCTGCTGGTAATTCACGCCGGCCTCCGTAACCACGGCCAGCCGGGTTTAAGGTAACCGCTATACCACACCAACGGGATACTTCCACCTAGAAAGTGTAAATATAAATTTCAAGTATGTGGTCTAACAAGAGTACAGAGTAGTAGTATAAGAAGAGATAACCATCATCAAATGAGGGACGTAGGACTTGGTGTGTCTCTTTTAATCATCGATTTTATTATCGGGTAGGCAAAGCTTTAAGAATTAAATTACATTACAAGGAATATAAAGTCATTGCCTAAAGTACATGGCATAAAAAATGTTTGTTGTAAATACGAATTAATAAAAAAATATGTGTGACATAAGAAATTTACAAAAAAAATTGTCAATAAATCAACTCACTTAGTATATACCGTTTAGATAGAGTCGTATAATAATAATTAATAAATAAAAATTCTCACTTGCTTTCCATTTAATAGGGCAGTCGTACTAGTATCAGACTTATGCAGCATCGCGGATAGTATAGAAGAGAACTGGTGAGACACGGTAGCCAAAGTGTCAGTGGATAGCCTGTTAAATTCATCAAAACATCCCCAAGCACCGCTCAGAGAAAGCCCAGTTAATAGACGGCCCATACATTCACCGTCCAGTGCCTGAAATCGAATCAAAAATCGATTAAATGCTGTCTATAGTTTACGCGACTAGTACACATTTAAATAAAACACTTTAATGGTTTAAAACGCGATATATTAGGGAGACTAATAGTTTTAACTAATATATCGCGTTTTAAACCGTTGAAGTGTTTTATAATGAAACAGCTGTCAAGTTTAATGGCGTTTCGGTTTTCGTCTGTGGATTTTCCGATACCCAAAGCCAATATGGGTCGGCAGTAAATCTTATGTAGATGCTATATTGCTAGGCTATCTTACCTACCATCAAGCGGACCATGATTATCTATCCTCCTTTATAATAAAAATATTAACATCAAGAATTATAAAATTACATTTACTGCCAGTTCTCATATCAAAGACGTACCAAAAAAGATTATGTTACCAACTCACTTCATCGCAGTTGAAAATCAACACCAGTCTTCCCAGTAATCCACCCAATGCTTTTACAGATTCAGTTTTGCCAGTACCAGCGGGGCCGAACGGATTTCCGATAAATCCGAAATGTTGGGACTGAAATGAGTAAACATATTAAAATTTTAGGCATCGCCGATATTATCTTTGTTTAGAATTTAGGTATCTGAAACCATACCTGTGTTAATATAAGAAAGCATTCCTCTGCCAACTCGGTACGCACAAATTGTCCAGTTTGATTCCCGAGATATTCATACGAATATGAAATTTCAGCAAGTCCCATTCTTGCCACAACTTCGCTTTTATTAACTAAATAGAAGCTGGAAACATTATACACAGCCTTTAACATAATTTCTCTGAGTATACAGACCAGACTCGTGCTAAAGTTGCCTTTATTTGTTATTACTAATATGAACATTAATAATATGTTTATTGTATTGTACAAATAAAAATGAAAAGCCTAGAAACAAATTATAAAATAACAATAACAACATTTTAACACAATAAGAAAAACCATTCAAGTATAAAAACAATTTATGTATCTGTTACCATGAATTATTTTTATTTATATGCAAAAAAAAGTATTGTTTATAACTGGATTTGAACATTGAACTTCATTAAGTCCAAGAATAATGTTTCGATGTTTTTGACGACTCAAACAAATTATCAGACGAGTCAAATAAATTAGAACGTTAAATGTTATTACTTCCGGATAGTGATAAACGGAACTAAGATTTAACAAGTAATAAATACTTCAATTACTCTCACCGTAATTGCTTTTGCCATAACCAATCAGCTGTTGAGACGACATTGTGTTCAAGTAAATAACTTATTACAGCTTTGTAATACGCGCATTGCAATATAAGCGCTTGTTTTTTGAACTTCTCTGCTTCATCTTCGAATTCCCCGGTCGCATAGTACTCGTTTTCTTTCTCGATCGCCTCTTTTAAACTTCGCAGTTCCTTGTTTGCTATCGCTTTTTCTGCTTGCTGAGTGAATCTGATGTTTTGCGCTAAGCACATTATTTGCGTCGGCAGCGAAAATGGATCGTGGTCTTTATTCGTACTTATACAATTTAATGTTATATTTTTCAACGACGTGCGTATTTCATTCTCGAGGTTTTTCAGCCATATCTAAAGTTTATTAAAGTATTTTGAATGTATGTATTTATGGATATTATTTATAAATGTAAAGTGAGCCATATTGCTTTTTCATAAATTATATGATAACAGTTGACATACATGTATAATTTCTTTTCCATACAAATTGAAGTAAGGTTATCAGTCATTGGCATATTTTGTTTACCCGACTCTACAGTTAAACAAAACAATTACCTCAACAGGGCAGTCGATATCTACTGGATGCTCGAGAGTAAAGGTTTCTTCGTAGTGGCAACAGAGAGTGGTAATGGATAAGCCCTCTGGGCCGAGGCCCACTCCAAGGATACCAGGAAACAGCTTTTTCAGATGAGTTTGCAGCACGCTGTCTCTTCCTTCTGCCCCAGATCGAGCTTGTCCCAGCAACTCCAAGAGATCATCGTCACTTAAGAAGTACAGTCTTGGGAATATCGAACGCTTATCCTGCAATTATTTATTTTTATGTGATTTATTCAATAATCTAGCCAATACACAATCAAATCAATCGAAAATTACTTAATCTATCTACGTTTATTCATGTAGGCTAGGTACACTTATGAACGTCAATACAGTTAAAATTTAAAAAAAAAATCCACATTTACTACCAGTTCCCAAATTAGGGGCGTAGAACAAATGAGAAGAACTGGCAAGAAACTCGCCGCTACTCCTTTTTACATCCACCAACAGACAAGCTTACCTTTTTTAAAAACAAACTTAAGGCACAATTACAAGGGTTAAAAACATCAATAAAAAAATAAAAAGGTGGACATAATTTCTTTGCAGTTAAATTAAGGTTGATGGCATAAGCTATAGACTAAGCCTTTAAGGTTACAGAATTACATCCGTTATGACAGTGCATATATGCAAATATTAAATAAATAGAAATTTTTATTAAGGACATCCAGGACTCGAAATCACATCTAGACTAAGGTTTCTAAGAATTTCGAATATGTCTCGAATATCATTCGACTTACGTCTATGTATTGGTTGAGAGCCGATTGGCAAGCGTTGAGTTGTTCTGAAATTCCATCCAGCATATGTTGAAGTCTAGGCGTTTGAAGTAGGGCCGAGAGACGCGGATCTGACTCAACAATACGCGCAACTTGCTTAAAACCTTGGTCCACTTTACGAAACTTCACCCCTAACTCTCCTTCGTCATTAAGTAGAATTGGTTCTAGGTAGAGCCATCTGAAAGATTATTTGCTAAATTTAAAAACAATTAGTCAGCCGTGTACGTCTCTGAAATTAAGGTAAAAATATAAAGGTCTATTGCCTGTAGTTTAGGCAATTACGAATAGTACAAATTTAAACGTTTTGCGAAATATTTTCGTTGATTTATTTTCTCTCACGCTGAAACACCGATTTAAATGCTTTAAAAGTGAGGAAAATAAGTGGCCATGGTAAATGTCGATTAATGATGATATTTTACGTTTGAATCTGTTAAAAGTGTTTTATATACAAAGTAACTTTATAAGTAAAATTACATGCTGAAGGATCCAGGAATTTTTAACTGTTTTTTTTTTCATGCTTTTCTTTATTATTAGAGAATAATAATTAGGTTACGCTGTAATGTAATAAAAATGTACAACGTAAAATAAATTGTGGTTAATATTCGTATAAGTATTCTACAAAGTTATATTTAAAATGTTGCAAGTCATATTATTATTTTTTATTTTCAATAGTTATTTCTTATACATTTTAATTATAAAGTCCTGAAATTAAAAATAGTATGGATTAATATATTTTGTAAAAAATAGTAAAGTAATTAAGAAATAAAACAACATGTAGCATAGAAAGAGTTTTATTAACAAACACAGTATAATATATCTACAATTAAGTATTTGTGCCTTATATCTATGCTTTAAATCTACACAATAAATGCAGTGTCTTAGAAGAAAGCAAAAATAGTGAATTAATATTACAATAGAGGGATATAATATTATTTAAACTACCTATATGGAAGAAACCACAAAACACATAAAAATTACTATGTTTAAACCAAAATTGGCACATCTACTCACACTAATAACATAATATTAAATGTATTTGTGAAATTAATTACAAATCTAAGATTTATTACTATTAAGGCAAAAATACTTAAAGATTGCATAAATTACCATTTGATTGAAAAATATTTAATTTAAGCTTATAAGTATACCAATTTATTAAAACTAAAGTTACTCTTTGGATCATTAAAAATGTAGCTTGCTGTTCGCTTTAACTTCCAATATACAAACTCGCGTTATATAAAGTACATGGTAGGTTCTTGCGGCATTCATACAATAATATTTACAATAGTTTAAACATAACTTGATGACAAATAGAAGTAATAATGTAATGCAGAATAGATATGTAGTTAGACTACAGAGATACTTCATTTTATTTATACATTCAGGGTTCTATGGCACTCAATCTTATTTTCTTAATCTTTATTACGTTGTACAGGATCTATAGTTGTCGGATCGTTTCGTTATTTCCGATAAGTAGTAATTCATTTGAGAATTGAGCTCACCTATTTCTTTTTCCAAAGTATTGAGTTGTTCATTATGATCATTGTATAGTTCCTCCATATTAGCGAGAAGTTTCAATTGTGTTTGTGTATCACTAGCAAGTTTAGTGGCTCGATTTAGTAAAAGTTGTGCTCGTTCCCTAGAGTTAGATGTCTGGTTTGCTCTTTCAGCGAGGGACATGTTGGTAGTTTTAAAGTCTTGTCTTAGCTGTCTCGCCTTTTGCTCAGCTGTTTCAGCCCTGTTTACAACATCGTTTGCTTCTTGCTTCACTTGATCAGCGTCGCTTTCAATTTTCAATATGTTCTTCTGTAAATCGGATAATCTAAAACGCAGTCCTTCAACTTCGTCCATAGTTTCATTAGCCTTCTTCTGCGCTTGTTCTGTTTCTAAAGCAATTGGTAAAAGATCTCCTTTAGCCGCTTCTATATCGTTATTAGCTTTGTCAATAGCATCTTCTGCTGCATCCTGTGCTGCTTGAGCTTCGTCTAATGCTTCCAAGACTTTATTTGCCATTTCTAAAGTTATGTTGGCTTCTTTATTTACGGCAGTCGCATTCTGTTTAAGAGCGTTTGCTCTGTCCAGGTCTGGTTTTGTTTCGGATATAATATTTTCAATATTCGTTAATTGTGATACAGTTGAGTTTATTCGTTGTGAGAGTTCAGTTATTTCTTTCGGTTCTATACGTATAGATAAGTTAAGAATATCGTTTGCGAGAGTTCTGACATCTGCGGGGGTGTTAGTGGTGTTTGATAAGAACTCCTTTAATTCTGAAGTTAGATCCACGCTGTCATTTATAACTTTTTCCGCTGACAATTTAAAGTTATTAGCCCTATTAAACAAATCATTTGCTCGCGAACGTACTGAAACAGTATCTTGTTTAACTTGTGTCACTGCTCTAAATAAGTCTTCAGCTGATAGCTCATGCTCCTTGATTCTGTGCTCTGTTTTGTTAGCAAAATCTAAAGCCTGTTCTGCTTTAGTAATCGCTCCTTGATCACACGATATTCCTCCACATTTTCCACATCCTGCACCACCACATATGTCACAAGTATCACTCTCTTGTCCACACATTATTTCATTTATTTTAGGAAACTCTACATCAAATTGAGACAAAATATCATGAAGTTCGTCGAGTTTCTTTTCGTTTTCATTTTGTGTGTTGTTAAAGTTTGCATATTGCATCTCAATAAGTCTATCAGTATTTTTTATTTGCCGATCAGTATTGGCAATTATAGTCTGCACGCTTTCAGCATCATCAGCTGCCTTCACAGCCCTTTCTTTAGCTTCCCGAGTCAAATTAAGAGCACCCTCAAGATTAGCCTCTTGTAATTTAGTTGCATTATTACCCAATTCTAGCGTCTTACTTTTCAAGTTTTCTATACTAGCTCTTAAACCATCTAAGGTTACATTTCCCAAGTTAATTTTAGATGTTATGGCGTTTAGATTATCATTGCTTTCTTTTATTTTATTATCTGCCTGGTTAAGATGTTCTTGTAAGCTTGAAATATTAGAAACTAGTTCTTTAACTGTGCTCTGTCCCAATTTAGCACTTTCTAAGGCATTTTCTACTTCAGATAATTTCATAGTCATCTCTTCAAAATCTCTTGTATATGCACCAGTTGCTCCGACAACTTTTATCTTACTAGCATTAGCAATAGCATATTCTGTTTGAATGCGTAGATTTCCAATCAAGAGATCCCAGTTATCAAAACATTCACCACAAGCATAACATTCGGGAGCTTCTCCAAGATATCCTCGTGCACACATGTCACATTTGTAACCTCCTATTCCCGGTTTGCAAGGACAAGATCCATTTTCTCTCATACATTGGAGCGATACAGAGCCGTAAACATTGCAATCACATTCATAACATTCGATGTTTGGATCTCCCCAATGATTTTCTTGACATTGATCACACTGTCTTCCCCCATGTCCGGGCTTACAATCACATTTGCCAATATAAGGATTACATTGGGCGGAAAGCGAACCTATAGGGTCACATTCACAAGGATCACACCCTGTTCCCAGGGCAATTCTCCAATGATTTTCCGTACATTCATCGCAATTAACACCCATAACATTGTTGAAGCAAGGGCATTGGCCAGTTACTCGATCGCAGTTTCCTCTAGTAAAGTTTGTACCTAATACAGAACAATTACATTTATAACATGCTTGTTCTAAAGCGTCTCCATAGTAACCGTCTTCACATATTTCACAGTTGTCACCTGCCGTGTGGTGTAAGCATTGTAAACACTTTCCAGTGTAGGGATCGCAGTTGCCTGGTTTTGTAATATCGATATTGCCGTTACAGTCACATTTTTCACATGTTCCTTTTATGGGATCGCCATAATAATTATCGGCGCATACATCACAGAGTAAACCAGCATAACCTTCTTTACAGTCACAAACGACATCCTTAGTTTCGGGATCTAGCTCACATCGGTCGGCGTGGCTGCTTTTATTCGGATCACCTTTAACACCCGGGCATGGGCAGAGACGGCAAGGAATATCAATTCCTAATCGAGGATCACCGTAATATCCTTCTATGCACCTTTCACAGCGATGTCCCTCAGTATAATCTCTGCATTCTCTACACGCTCCTGTTTTATCATCACATTCGATCGCATGTCCGTTACAGTCACATTGCTGGCAATTAGGGAAGTTGAAATAGCCTGGCTGACACAAGTCACACGCCCTACCGTAAGTGTTTGCTCTGCATTTACATTGACCACTAGTAGCGTCACAAAAGTTGTCCAAGGACCCAATGCTATTACAGTCGCAACGCTTACATCCAAATTTACTAAAGCCATACGTGCCTGGAGCGCAACGATCGCACCGCGCACCTACAATATTTTCTACACATTGGCAGTATCCAGTGTACCGATCGCATTGATGGCTTTTTGAACCCGAAGGGTCACATTGGCAAGATTCTGATCCATTTCTGATATAGAACCCGATACTGGCATGGTAGTTTTTGCAGATTTCTGGTACATTGTCTCTATTTAAGTCGTAGTAATATTGATCTCCGCAGTTGTATCTCTCAAATTCTTCTCTTGCAGGGGTGTTATTTGACAAAAATGGTAAATCATTGATAGATGGAATTAGAACAATAGAGTCGATTAATACAGAAGCTCTGCTATTTGAAGTGTGGCCATCTTGTCTCCCTAGATATATACGGACTTCAGTTTCTTTATCTTTTTCTAAGCATATTGGCGGGCGAACTAAAACACTACGCTGATTTGCGGGAAGATTTGTGAGAATAGTGTCATCTTGAGGTCGAACTTTAGCACAAGGTGAATCGGGATCAATCGGAGGACGTTTCACTAGTATAGTAGCTTCTTCCCAATTAGTTGTAGACTGCGGCTCATATCTTATAAGAACATTATAATTCATACTAGTTTTCAAATCGTTGATTACAAATACGAGAGTACTACTCTCGGGTAATTTCATAAAACCAGGCCCAGTCCAGGTCTCTTTCCTTCCATCGGGGAAATTCTCACGAATAACAACATGACATAATTGGCTTTGAATAGCATTGTCATCGATTTGAGAATCACATTGACTAGATTCTGCTTCAAAAACAATCGAATCTAGTGCGCCAACAAAGAAGTTTTGGATAGGTTGATCACAGCGTCGGCCTGTAACATTAGGACGGCACTTGCATTGACCAGTTATTACGTCACAATCTCTGTCTATTGAACCTCCTACATCGCAATCACACGGGGAACAACCGTCGTCACTATCCGATAGGCCGTAAAATTCTGGTAAGCACTGATCACAATTTCTTCCGGTGACGTGTCGTTTACAGAAACAATTTCCAGTGGCCGGATCACAGCCCCTTTCATTAATTGTACCTAAACTGTTACAAGTACAAGATTCACAGCCTTCAGGATTTGCCGGATCGAAATTCCAATAGCCATCTCTACACCGATCGCAACGGGGCCCATCTACATTAGCTTTACATAAACAACGTCCCGCTGTTTTGTTGTTAGCGGTATCAGTTTCATCATCACAAAGAATTTCCTTATCAGTTGTCCCTTCTGGATCACAATCGCATTGTTTGCATACGTCCGGGCTTTGTATATCAAGGGACGGATCCTTGAAGAAAGTCGGCTTACAGCGCTCACAATTAACACCCATTGTATTATGTTGACAATTATCACACACTCCTCCACTAATTTTACCCGTTTTGTTATATACTGCGGCGTCAAAATGACACGAAGTAGCATGATTATTACAAGTACATCTTTTACAGGCGTTTGAAGTTTTACCGACCGCCGGTTGCCAGGGTAAATCGTTGTAAAAGTCTTCACAGTATTCACAATTAAGCCCTCGTGTATTATGCGTGCACTCACAGCGTCCGTGGACCATGTTATTCTTTGATTCCACACCGGGCATCGGAAGGCAACGGGAAGCGTGGCCATAACAAGAACAAGAGCCCCGAACAGTCATTTCATAAATGGAATAATAATATTTTTCTTGAATTTCAGCTCTATTGTCGAGCAGATCATCTCCGAGTGTGTGTAACTTGGTGAAATTAATTCTTAAATTCGTCATTCGCAGTAGATTTTGCACTTCCTCCGAGTAGGGATTAGTCACGTTAATATTAGGCGGTAACACTCTAAATATCACTTCACCCTCAGTCGATGGCGCAACGCCTGAATAACGAGATTCACAAACAACTTCAGTTAAGCTCCGCTGCGTGTGTTTGGGCACAGAAGGGAAAGCTTCGTCGCAATTATGAGCGAAGTATCTATAAACTCGCCAAGTCTTGCCGAAGTCGAAAGACCGCTCCACTAACATAGCCTTAGGACGAAATGTTTTGAACTGTATTATCAAATGGGTAAGATGGAATTCCGCTTCCATATCGAGCTGTATCGTGACATTTTCTTTGCCATTTTCGGACTGCCACCACGACTTCGTTCGAGTGCCAGGATAGTACTTGTAGATAATATTTTGAATTCGATGATTGAGGTGTGGATTGTGCACGGTGTTATCCGTCGAGTCGCACCAGAAACATTTCTTGCGTTCTTCAAGATGGGACACTATACAATATCGTTCGCGGCCGTAGGCGCCGCAAGTCGAAGAGGCAGAGAGCCTCGCCTCTCGCCCGATGAGTAGATTTCCAGTAGCCGGATAGCAGGAGCTGAGTTCGCAGGCCCGGTCGAGTAGTCGCGGGTCGGCTCGTTGTCGGTCGCGATCCCTGTTGTATACGGCGCCGCCGATAGTGATAAGCGCGGCAAAGAATATACAAGGGAATGTAGCCATGGCGCGCACCGGCTCTCCGCGCGCCTCTTGCTGCACTGCCTAGTGTATCCAGCGAGCCGCCTGCGCTACTCTCGCGCCGCCCGCATCCCGCCTTCCCCCGCCACACATCACACTCGTAAGCCCTGCTTTGTTACGCTATCTGGGACGGACTCGGTAAGATTATATTAAAGGGCTTTTCAAAGCTTAATCCTTTTTAGTAGAAATACGTATTTGATAATTATAAATGATATTTAAGTATTGTAATTTAGTAAATGCTATTATTATATTGAAACTTACTTTAAATATACAGATCTTTTCGAAAATGTATATTGTAGTAACTTGGTTTCTTCTACAATCTTAATTTTACATTTAAAGTCATTATCAATCTTTAAAAAAACCTAAAAGACGTAATAATAGAAAAATAGTGTCTATACATTTGTTTGTAGAGTTCGTCCCTGGGCGAGGCGACGACCGCTCCCGCTCTCGTGTTCGCTCGTGCCGTTCTCCGAAACGGGCTCCACCAGGCAACAAAAATAAAGACACGTTTTGGGATGCACTTTTTGTTTTGGTCATTATTGCGCGACCTTTTCTATTGTAATGGCGAAAACGGAGCCTCCCTTACATTCCGGTCTTTTGTAAGAAGTAAAGCAGAACAGGTTTATGTAAATTATTTAAACGAATTTTCATTTAAAGACCAGCCAGATTATGCAAACTGCAAGGATAATTAGCGATTACAGCAACATTTAAAACCTCCGCAATTTTATGACAGAGGAGGAGAGACAAGTATGAGGTTTCCTTCATGAAGTATGGACCTTGCCCACATACTGTTCGATAATATCGAGCATACTTAATTTATTTTGATTATTATATGTTTAGAGAGTATTATAGTATGTGGACTTTTGATCCTATCGACGCGACACTATGATATAAATCAGGATATAAGCAGCGGTCATATAATAATCCAAGCGCGCTTGCGGCCTATTTTGGCTTTAAAACAGACTAAAATCGAAACACAGAGCTTTTGATCTGAGATAGGTAGTTCGTTACTCGAATGATTCCTATCACCCATTTGAAATACAGATTTGGCAGACGAGTCCGGTGTGATTTTGATAGACATGTTCGTAGGAATTTAACCCATGACCCGTTGTTATTGTGAGAATATCTAGTCCTTCAAAAGGTTGTAGTGAAGTGAATTTTTTTTAACAGCCAGCAAGTGACTCTGATATTGAAGCCGAGCCGCGCCAGCCCTTCCGTTCCGTACGTCCGTTACTGATAACACATTCGCGATGTGACCTAATGTAAAACTATAAATATAAGTACACAATTAACAACGAATCTCCTCAATGATGCTTCTTGTGATAGAGCAGGTGAGACAAGCATGACGTTGAGTTGATGGTAGACATCTGAACAAGACGCACTGTTAAAATATTTTGTCTTTGGATATTCGGAAATCCACAGACTGAAATCGAAACGCAATTAAACTTCACGACATTTTCACCTGTAGTCGGTGGTTCGTAACCCGAACGGAACTTCCCTACCATCCATTTATTATCGACCTGTTATTACGTTTATTATGTGCTATACATTGCTAATATTACGCCAACGAGACCGTCGATGGAGTTCCTTTTTATTATTTTAAAGCTAAGATCAGTGCAAGAGCAAGTGTGGATCATAGGTTCGAATCTCACTTGTGAAAACGTAAATCTTTCTACGGTACTAATTCAACGTGTTTGAATTTCGAATTTAAAAAGAAACTCGGTAATGGGACTGAAAACGTGTCTCACAAATCTCGGCTAAGTTGTTTAGCGATGTGTATGATTGCTCATTACAACTCATTACGCAATAATTAGTGGACTGCACACTACGAACTTTAACTAAATGCAATATTAAGGTGTATAATATTTTTACGCGAAAGTAGGCCACTGTGGTATTTCGCATAACCCTGACACGGCCGTTTTTCAATAATTGTGTGTGTGAAATCCCATATTCCATGTGGGGCATGGTAGTCACATGTTTGTTTAATTGATCGCTTTTATTTACAGGCTAGGCATCAGAGCTCTAAAACTATTATGCGACGAGATTAGAACCTACCCAGGGCTTAAAGTATACTCAATTTATCACTTTACAATGATATTAGCTAGCTAAAATAAAACAGTGGCCCCTATAAACCACAAGTAGGTAGCTAACATGTTATAGTTTGGACAACTTTGATAACCTCTTATCTAGGTATGACGAACTTATATCAACGAAATAAATAAAACCAAATATTAGATTACCAAACCCTTACAATTATTGTAGCACCTCTAACGCCCCAAGATTGATTCTTTTAAATTTTTTGGTGATGACCTCTGTAGCCAAATTGTTAAACGTGTTGTCTAGCATTGCCTTTAGGGCCAGAGGTCTTACGTTCGAATCCTAGGTAAACAGATTGTTTGGCTCGGGCATGGCACCAATCAATTATTTGCCTGTAAAGGAAACGATCAGAGATACGGACACAGAAACGAGGTTTAATTTTTTATTAGATAACATCTTAAAGTATTATAATAATATATGTAATATATTTTTATATAGCAGCAAGCCATTGACCAACATTTACACGTTTTTATTATATAGACGTAGTTTGATTGTTGTGGCCGACGCAAATGTTAGGCGTTTGAGGCAAAACGGTGATGAATTGTGAGAAATGACTGTTTAATTAGCAGAAGCAAAATAAAACATGTTACTTAGTAAAGTGATACGACTACATGTATGTCATCGCCACTGTGAATGAACGCTTTCGTATTGATAAGGATACACTTTTAAATAGCGGTTATCGTGTCAAAGTTCACGTGATAAGGCCGAATACTCGTGACCAGTTCTCGACGAGAGACACAGTTTTTTTCTTTGTATTTTAAAATTGTAATAAAGTGTACACTGAAATCAATTCGAAAATCAATCTTTAACAAGGTAAACGATAGCTATTGTATAATGTCTGTAGTTTACGAAAGTACACATTTATATAAGACATTAACGGTTTAAAACGCGATATAGGGCTGGCGTATTTTCTATGAAGTGACCCCATTCTTGTCTGGTCTCACCAATCACATAAAAAAACATCATTTTACATAATGACCAAGGTTTTAAATTTGGTTAAATACAGAAAACTGTTTAGGAAACTCAATGCTTCGGGGGTTGAAAGCAAATAGGTTATGTCAAATATACCTTGTCAGTGACGATTTCCGACATACGTAAAATATGGTTAGCACGGTCCGCGGTTGGTCAGCTAAATCTGGTTACAACGTCGCAAAACAGTTACTTTGATGCTATTTCTGATCTAATGGTTATTTTGCGTGGTTTTACTTGCACGGTAACTAAAATATATTAAGCGAAATAAGTAGTAAGTAATATTATAGTCAACGCTATGCATATAAGTTAGGTCCATAAGAATTATTCTTACTATGATTAGCTTAATGCTTAAATGTTTGTGTACCTGGTTTATAAGTTAAATAAATAAGCTACTAGCGCCGATTACGAATTATATAATCCTGGAAATATTTTTGATTAAAAGAATTGGTTATTTTTCGTTAAAAAGAACATACAAATAAATACACTATGGCATTTATAACATGAGTACGACCACCTTCTATTGTTCAACCTTTTGTGAATTTATTTCCCATTTTCTTCTGCTATATTTGAACACTTATAGCCTATGTCATACGTTTTGCTTTTAAGGTAATAAAATGTATCTTTAGCTCGTCGCCGTAGCATGGGATATTTGATAGTTCGGTGAACTCGAGTTATCAAGATAACTTTACAGTTTCATCCTGTAAGCTCGCGATTACGTCGGTAGGTATGACACTCGGTTATTTCATAATGTATTAACGGAATTAATTAAATTACTATTAATCTTGATATAAATAGCTGTCGAACAAAACGTAACTACGTACGTTAAATCTTGAGATCGTTTTGATAGGTAAAGAAGTAAGGTTACAATCTGATTTAAAAGAAATAAATATTAAAAAAAAGAGAATCAATTCAAATTTAACATTGATTGTGTAGATTTAGAAGATGTATATAGACAAAAGGACGATAAGTTTTATTAACATTGAAACTGGGCAAAGCAAAAGAATCGCCGAAATCCAAAACATCTGGCGAACAGACTGTGTTCGAAGTGACGTGATGCGATGCAAATTTTTAGTTTTTATTGTCATCTATTCAAAATTCACACGAGTTTGACTAGTTATAAGTAAGATAATGGTGCTGAAGATGCTTTTTATTTCTGTTTATTATAAATTAAAAATGTATTTCCATTTAAAAAAACACCATGACACGGGCGGGTCTTGAACCAGCATCCACAGCGTTCCGTGCTTATGTTTTAACCAATTGATCTGCCGTGTCACTTGGTTACATTTTTAATTTTTAATACCATCATAGTCAATAGTCATTAGAAATATTACAAAATAAAAATTGAAAGACTATTAAATATAAACGAATAATAACTTTCATATATGGCAATAAAATGTGTAACGTACGTAATAATCTCGAATATTTGATATTATCTCATATATATCACAAGATATTTTAGAACCACTGTACTTCTAGATGCAGATTTTATTAAATTCCCTTTCCGTACTAGATCTGAACGAGATATAACGACATGTATTAATAGTAACGTATGATTTTGTATATGGATCGACTGAACTAAACGATACATGTGCAATACCTTCTCTGTACGTGATGCGCAGCTCGTAGCAGATGGACGGCAGTACGAAGCTTTGCGTCCCACCCACTGCCAGTCCCGCCTAGTTCACCACCCAGAGACCAGACAACCCATTGTTGCTCTTCAATCTGAAGTTTCACACGTATTTAACATGGTTCAATGTAGCTCATACAAGTTCTTCTTATTTTTAATAATATTTGTTAAATGTTACAACATGTGCATTAAGGACTGACTTAGACGACGTCGACAACTGCCACCGGCCTCCCAAAGTTTTTTAAAAAGTTCAAGTAGATTAGCTAAAGAATGAAAAGTACTTCAGGAGTACCATCTAGAATCGTCGGGCAACATTAGAACCTAAACAACTTAGCACGCAAGGCGGGACCTCTTTTTTAATACTGATATACCTACCTACTCTTCTAGACAAATTTTTGTTTTGCAAAGGGAAAAAGACGACGGAAGTCCTTGCAAGACGCAAACCCTAATTTATACGTCTACCAGCGCCATTGTCAATCAGAAATACATCTGATTAATGTTTAAGCAAATCTACCTTAGTAAGTATATCCTTAAAGTCTTTGACGATCGGTGTGAGTTTCTTGGCCTTATCAGCGTAGTAAGTAATGGTTAATCTTGCGCCAGCGTACCATAGTTCTAGATCGCTGAGCGCGCTTCGCACAGCTGCCTCGCTTGAGGCGTTAGATGAGACTTTCTGTAAAAATGTGATCTTATAGGAAAAGTAATTGTGTATCCTTAGGAAAAGCGTACATTCATTAGTATTTATTTGTCAATACATATAAATTCAGTAAGGCTTTCTTTTGTTTTTTGATACAACATAAACACTATTTAAAGATAGAGACACACTCATAGCTAAAATATCACACTTATTAAATAAAATTTGACAATTTTCTGGTAAAATAAGGTAACTGTAGTAACTCTTTGTCCATTTGAACAAAAAGACCATGAGCATTAGTTATATGACAGCTAATAATTATTGGTTTAGAAAAGTAAATGGAATATAACTACGTCAAAACACATTGTAACTCTAATATTTAGGATAGAGACAATTAACTTTTTTTATATGATTAGAAGAATCTTCACATATGTAACTAATAAAATTACTAGCGCATTGTAAATTAAGTGAAGTTTCTGCTTCGAAATACTATAAGTATGTACCTGTAGAGCTTTCATTTGTCCCTTAACATTGCTTGCAACATTAAGAAAATCCCCCAGCTGCAATGTCTCTGGCTTCTTGTACTCCATTCCTACAAGACTGTACACCTCACGCCAATGTTTTTCCGTAAATTCCATCCCGCGAACGTACTTGAGGACGCCAGTTAAATCCTAAAAGTTGTGTGATAGAGTCGAATGTCCCATATCCCCTGTAGGGGATTAGATTAGATATAGGGGCTTGGGGCATATGACTGTGTTCGTTCGTTCACAGAAGTGAAACTTATTAGCCGCGATTGAAACAATATTTTTGTTTGAAAACTTTATTATTTTTTACATGTTATTGCACATGAAAACACTATTTAATGTAAAAATCAGGCAAGACTAGAGTCGGGTATCGTCAGCGTTCCGTGCTGTTGCTCTGCTGAACGCTGACGATGCCGGTTCAAGTCCTGCCCGAGGCGAAAATTTTTTCAATTTATTTTCGATTTTTAAAATAATATTTTTGTTTACCGGGGATTAAAACTAAGCAGATAGTGTTATTTTTAGAGTATTAAAAATAAGACTAAAATATCTTACAGTATATTTTTCTAACTCTTGTTGTAGGTATAGAGTGACCGGTGTAAACGGTTCCAAACGGTTATTCCATCGACAAACAAATTCTTCCAATAAGTGCAATTTCTTTTGAAACACTAACCACTCTTGGTTTCCCATGCTTTCATATTCTAAAAATTAATTGGATCCGATTTAGTGTTATTAATACTTATAATTAAAAATAAAATAAAAAATGTTTAAATTTGTACAGAAATAATAGAATTACATATTCTTCGTCAAATGTGAAGTTTCTCTGTGTTAGTTATAAACAAACCTTCATTATACTCGTTAAATATAGTCCACGTGTTCATGAGATAATTTTTAAGAGAATCAGCCTCTTTCCAGACATCATTTTCTTCAAACTTCATATTAAATTTCTTACATTCACACCTAAAACAATGGACCAATATAAAGTAGAAATCCAAAAACATTTTTACGTACATTCCTCGTATAAAAACCAAGAATCCTTACAATAAATCCTCCTTTTCCTTGGCAAGTTTATCAAAGCTCTGAATACCATCGAGTATAGAGCGACATCTTTCTACCATTTCCGGATATAAAAGACCGTGAGTATCTTCTAATCGCGATTTAGCTTGTGCCCAACGAGAGAGCCAGGCTTCCATGCCGCTACATATATTGTCCCATTCTCCGGATAAACTGGACTTCACTACTTCAGCCTGCAGAAAATATATAACAATAATAAACTTAGCTATTCATGGTTTTGAATTTAGCATGTGTCGAAATATAGCCCCCTAAACTATTTTCTTTACTTTTTTATGACAGACAAGCAAGAAGTTCACTAGATGCAATGTGCCCAACCATATATCATCTTGTACGCGCTATCAATCTATTTTAACTTTGGAGATTCGGAATGTGACTGACTGAAACCAAAAAGCGATTAAACTTCAAGGTTTTTTATCTGTGGCCGGACGCGATATTCCTACCACCCATTTTTTAAAATTATAAATTAATTACAAACATGCTAGACCGGATGGAAATCGAACCCACGGCCTGTATCAGCCAAACGTAGCTACTATTAGACCAACGAACCTGTCAATTTGTATCAATGGGTGACATAAAAATGACATTTTTAGTACTTTATATTCAAAGATCCTCAAAATTTAAAGTATAATAAAATTAAAAAATAAACCTGATGTTCAAACATTTGCTGATGTGCAGCAATTTGTTCACGAATCTTGTTCCACTCCTTCACACTGTTTTCCACTGAAGTGTCACCACCCCAAGTGCGCAACATATGACCTTTTTTCTTCAATCCGTCAACAAGTTTTTCCATCTGAAAACATATATATATGAACTCACTGAATACAAAAAGACAATAATATATTTTACATAAGCCCTAATATGTTAGTAAAAGAAGGGGACTACAAAGAATAGTTTATGAAGCATTGTTAAGAGACAAGAAGGGGGGGTCACGGAACGCGGACACGGAATCTTAGATAATCTCCGAAGAGGAAAATCTTGAACTAGTTAAATTTTTCCGCATATTATTTGATTTTTCCTCCGGCCAACAAATAGAGTATCAGAAAACATTAATATTACCTCAGGCATTTTCTCTTGGAGCCCCTGTTGCTTCGCGCTTATTTCTGCCAATTCTTTAGCACTCTTGGGAAGGTTTTTATTTTCCAAAAGAAGCGTTACGTTTGCCATATAAGAATCCAAAGTAGATACATCGTTGTGGCAGCTAGTTTGCAAGGAAGACATCAGACACGCCCACAAGTTACGCGACTGGGCTTCAAATTCGCGTCGCAACGAAATCGTGCCAACCGATATCCAATCAACTTTTTCGTCATCACTGAAACAGCAATGTGTTTTAACAGATTTGAAAGTTAAATAACATTAATAAAGTCATACATATTTAAAATTGATGGACTTTGTAATATTAGTAACATTATCCGGAAATATTAACTTAATTTATTAAATACTGTCTATAGTGTACGCGAGTAGTACACATTTAAATAAAACACTTTAACGGTTAAAACGCGATATATTAGTTAAACTTATTTGAAAATGATTCACCCGTTAAAGTGTTTTATTTAAATTTATTTATTAAAATGAACCACATTCATTAAAAACCTAGTATTTGCAAAAACAAAATAATTCTTCTCTAGCTCTACATCTTACGAAAATGTATCAGCTATTTAGTCATCATAGGGCTTAGGTTACTAAATTGGACGATAATTATTGGTGTACTGGTGCAATGTATGGCTTATAATCAACGGGCCGTGGGTTTGATCCCCACCGGGTCCAGCATGTTCTAATGAATTTATAGTTTTTGAAACATGTTCGACTTCGTCTAGAAGTCTGGCTATTACATGGTGGGAATATCGAACTTCCGCCTGTGTCAGAAATCACTGTCCACAGATGTAAAAGCCGTGAAGTTCAATCACATATTGGTTTCGGTCTGTGGATTTCCGAATATCCAAAGCCAAAATAGATCGACAGCGCATTTTATTTAGATGCTATATGGCTGGAGTATTTTATTTATTTATTAATATTTATTGTATTCTTTGTCTATCATAAAAAACTTACAAAAGCATTTTAGCGACGGCCTGTCCATACGCCTTACAAGCTTTGAAGTTAAGCTCCCAATCTTGCGGTTCGTGCAAATGTTCCGCGCATAGGACTTCAAGATCGGGCACGCACGCAAGTCCAGCGCGTACGCTCCACGTCTCACAGACACGTTCCAACGACGATAGAGTCGCTTCTATTTGGTGGACAGCTTTATTTCCGATCCAACTGTGCCTGAAAATTTTACAATATACATTAAGCGTATGTTATTTTCTCCTGTGCCTGGAAGGGATCGCTGCTTAGCGATAAGGCTGTCTTTTATTTATAAGTTACTACGTAAGTTTTTATCTCTTGTAGTTTTTGTGATATGTATTATGAAACACATTCGTCGTAAAAAAAAAACATTATTTCGAGAAATGGCTTGTGGTCTCATATTGCCGCATTTCATTTCACTTATTCACGTAGTGTTTAGTTAAAGTAAAAACCCATTTTAGATTGAAAAAAATACGATAGTTAAACCGGCATCCACAGCGTTCCGTGCTGTTGCTTTAACCAATTGAGCTACCGTATCCTACACGTCATCGTCGAATATTTTCCACCTATTGATACCCACACCTTTCACGCAATGTATTTTCAACCTTAATGATTGAAAATTAAGGTCATATAATACCATCAATTGCTATAACATGTGAAAAATGTCATAGTTTTGTGAAAAAAATATATAATATTGTCTAAAATAACATACTTATCTACTATAGAAGCGAAGATAGGTGGCGCGTCTAAAGCGTTATTGAATAGCGACGGAAAATGTTTAGGCAATGACACGAGCCGTCGTAATTGCTGGTAATGTTGTGCACGAATGTCCTCCATGGGTGGCTGCAAACGGACCGTGCGACTCCTAGATATTAAGAGTTTTATATTCTTATCTTATGTGTTAACTTTTAATATATGAGGCAGAGTAGCCTAACCGCAATGTTATGAGATGTATTGAGATTTATATTTTCATAGTCTAAAAATTGTAATCTATAAGAGCACAGTCACCGAAAACTGTTAACATAATTCTTACACAAATAATAGTATACATTCATTTTTTTTACATATGAAGACACGTCTTGGCTTATATAGTTAGTATTACAAAACTCGCATATATCATTAGGTGTCTCAAATACAAACCTAAGAATTAAGTCGACCCTGAGATGTGGAAAGTTGGTATGAAGAGAGAGTAGGGCCCGTATGTATTGGCATTCCATCGCTTTGTATATTTGTACCTCCCAATGTGTTCTCCACATGTCAGTGCTTTTGTAACCATTGCTCTCCACCTATGATAATTTAAAATAATGTTAATGAAATCAAAAGACCACTTGACAATGTATTACAAAACACTACCACTGTCATCTGAAATAGGCTCACTGTAAAATCTACAGTGCTTGAAAGAGTTTTGACGTGCAATGTAGCGATGTACGTCCAAAAATCAACGGGTCGTCGGTTCGATCTCCACCAGGTCCAACATTGGTGGACTTCATCTGGTGATGTGGTAGTCATATTAAATGGGTGGTAGGAATATCGAAATACCGTCCGGGTAACGAACCACCATCCATAAAATCACGTTTTGTTTCAGTCTGTGGATTTCCGCAAATACAAAGCCACAATAGATCGACAGCACATTTTATTTAGATTCTTCAGGCTGACATATTTCACGTACAATCAAGTGAAGTCCATGCTTATCTATCCTCATCTATCATAAAAAAATGATCGATATGAACAAAATACCTTTTCAATAATATCTCTAATGTCCTTAACACCTTTCTTCCACTCGTTCTGTTTAGCCAAAAGTTCCGTATCCATCAGTCTCTCAACAATGCCACGAATGACCAAGTGTTGACTGGTGAGGTAGGAATTCTGAAATTCAGCAAGTTACAATCAGACACCCGAGGGTTCCTAAACTTCACTTGTATAAAAACTAAAGAAAATATAACATCGTAAAGTTAAAAAATAATCAAATATATTACAGGTAACATGATAAAACTTAATATTATAAATTGTGTAAGGCTTTCACGGTATCGTTCAGCATAATATCATTATTTTTCGGGCTGTTTGGCCGACGTGAGCGAGAAGAGATTGTCGACGTTCCGCCATCACGAGCTGATGGCAACATCAGGAGATGTTGTTAGCTCCTCGATTGCATACTTACATAATTCTTCGAGCAATAAGTTTTATTATTAAGCATAACATATTTTAACGTGATGGTTTTGCATAAAAATCGATAGACTTTTTTTGTACCTGTGACTCCAATTTCAACACCATTTTCTTCAAATTTTCCGTGTACGCTGCGAGCTTCTCCTCATCGTTCCAGAATACGGGTTTTTGATTTTGAACAAGATCCGAGAGATCGAGAGCAGCTTGCAGCATCATCGGCCGGGTGGAAGAGAATCATTCGCTCCCCCAAGGTATTATGAAATGATGCAACCTAAGAATAAGTGAGAGAAATAATACATAAGAGAGATATTAACAATATGCCCATCGCTGTACATAAAATCATGTTTAGGGTTTTACATTAATGATGTTAATTCGCTGTATACAAAGAAACAAAAAAACTTTCTACATAACTAGATGTGGCCACGACATAGTCCGCGTAAAATAGTTATTTTGGGCAACAAATTATCTTTATAAATTTTAGTAGTTACCCATGACGTTATCAGCGTAGCACCGTTTTCGTAGGTTAATCTTAAAAAGGAATGATTATTAATTACACATGTGTTGGGGGGATTTTTTTCCGTTTTTCCACATTTTCCAGTGGTTTTTTCGCTCCTATGGGTTGCAGCGCGACTTATAGCCTAAAGCAGGGATGCACAAACTTATTAAGACTAGAGACCGCTCGGGAAAATCGTAAATAAAGACAATAAAAAATTGATAATGATATATTAAAAATGAAAAAAATTTATTAATTTGCGTATTATTTTTGTTGTCGGCGGGCCACCAGTATTATACTAGAAAAGCTGCAGTCTGTGCCATCTCTGGTCTAAAGTCTTCCTCGATAAATGACTACAAACTTAACCAACAAATAATAATCTTTCAAAATTTAAATACCTGTTGCAGTGCTCTCGCGTAACGCAGGGCAGTTGTCAAAGAATCAAGCGCGCTAGCAGCGGCCGGTGGTGGCAACCCCAGCGCACAAAGCGAACGAGCTTCAAGTTCGGTGCGAACGAGACGAGGATTGAAGTTCACCTCCATTAATTGAGTTTCTTTTGAGAACTCCACAACCGGTTTGTCTACTGACAGCTGTAGCGAACCGTCTTTTACTTGGGCCTGCATAAATTCAATGGGTATCAACGAAATTATGTTGGGTGACAAATAATACAAAAAAAGACCTAAAAAATAAAAAAAAGGAGACTGAAAAGTGATGATAGAAATATCTAGGTTTTCCTTTACGTTTATATGTGGCTGGGACTACCTTTGAAGCTAAGTGATTTAATCTGTTATCTAGCATTGCGTTAAGCAGTTGGGCATGGCACAGTCTGATTGTCTGTAAAAAAAAATTGGTGAAACGCACACAGAAATGTGTCCTCTTACTTTTTTTTACATGTGCAGAGAAATTGCATCGAAGATACTTTACTGTTAATGTCAATAAAACATTATTAACACACCTGCAAATCTCTACACCAATCCTCATGTAACTGAGTGTACATAGTTTTGAGGTCTTTCAACATTTGCGACGCCAGTAGCGACACCTCTGAACTTTTTTCAAACTCCTTCAAATAGTTGTCTACGCAATCTTGTATTTCCTTCACCTGAATATTTAAGCATGCTATATTAGGCGACGTTTGTCATTTATTTGTATATTGAATAATATTTTTTCAAAGGTTAAGTCACCCTTATATACTCGTAGTAGTTAATAATATTAAACAATGCGTAAGCCTATAGATTTTATTATATGTAGGTTTTTATTTCTGACATATTGGCGCAGTTATCCCTCTCATGTTAAAATAGGATAACATGTGTACAAAGATGAGTGACATCAAGTACATATTGAATTAGGTATAAAAAATACACGATTCTTGATAAATAGGTAAAAATAACTATAATACTTTTCTCAAATATGAGCGGGAAATTAAAACTAAGTGTTACAATTTAGAATTTTAAAACCAATGACGAATACTGTCTATAGTTTACGCGAAAAGTACACATTTAAATAAAACACAAACGGTTTAAAACGAGACGGAGTCTCCCCGTGATCACGGCTGCTGCAGAGCTTCCGAAGCGTCGGGCCGAAGTTAAAAATCATTTTCAAATAAGTTTAATTAAACCAATGACGAAGTAGAGGAACAACTAAAAGCAATAAATCTTTACCCGCTAAATTTTTTTTTCAATACTCAGATTTCCGTACAAGCCAGTTCGAAATCCAAATTGAACCTTTGATAAGTTACCTCTTTGGCCGCCATGTTGCGGAATAGAAATTGTTCCATTTTTAAATTACACGATAAATTTGATTTTAGAAATTTATCTGGCAGCTCAACACGACAGATATACATACAAATATTGTTGGCCGCTGTTTGACCAGTACGGCAAGTACGATTTATCTCGAAGAAGGTTGTCAAAATAATACTCAAGTTACCAAGCATGTTTGAGAAAAATATATTACTTAAACCCATGTTACCTTAGACTCCATTTGCTTAGCCCACTGCACGTGTTGAACTATTTGCGACATTTCTGGCGGTTGGTACATCTGCACGTCGACTTGGTCAGAATCAATTTGACGGCGTATGTTCTTTAACATAACCAGAAGAGATGACACAAACAATTCCAATTCATTGGTCATCGCATGTTTAATAGTGGGTCTCGTTATGAGGATTTTGTAACGAGTGAACTCGTACAACATCTGGAATAAAAAAAGAAACATGACATGTTCGTAAAAGTCTACCTATGGGTTCATACAAATGTACATAAAATACTGTTTGTAGTTTATGCGAGTTGTGAACATTTAAATAAAACGAAAACGGTTTAAAACGCGGTATATTAAAACTTATTTGAAAATTATTTTAACTACAGCACGTCGTTTCGGATGTTTCCGCGATCCTGTGCCGCAGCCGTGGTCACGCGTTTTAACCGTTAAAGTGTTTTATTTAAACAAGTGTATATTACAAAATTACAATTAATTACTTTTGTCTTGAGAGACGATGTGTGTCCATTTTGCTGATTTCAAAGTGATCAGGTCTGGTCCAACCACATTAGAAACCAAGTTCGAAAAGAACAAAATATATGGATTTGACATACATAGTCAAATATTCAACCGATGCGGCAATATCATGGGCAGCATATAATAAAGTAATATTTTTAAAACGAATATTCAACCTTACCTGTTTCGTAGATGTATTATGCAGTCTAGGCTTTAGTTTTTCAGCTATCTTCGTTTCAGCTGGTCTTAAATTAGCCGAGAACTTCGCCACAGCGTCGTCCCAATATTGAGCAGGCCCGTTGCAGATCCAAACATTTATTTCTGAAATAAAGTTATACATTTAAAGTTGTCTTAAGGACATTTTAAAGGCATCGATTAAGTAATTTTTTTATTAAAATTAAGTTTTTTTTAGGTATTATAACTTACTTTCGAAGGGTTCAAACAATTTGCCAGTATTTAATTCTACTTTCTCTGCTGTTGTTAGTAATTTACTCAGTTGGTTGTATATAGATCTGATGTCGTGGACCTGAAAAGTTACATCTTTACTAAATATGTCTGTTATCTATGAATCTTATAAAAGTATATTACAAGTACTATGCCATTGCTTTTATATGTGACTTTGGATTGTAACGCACCTATATACACAGAAAAAGAACTAATCTACAGGGTGAAACCGCAACGCATACAATTTTTCATCCCTGGAAAGTGGTTAGTCACCCGGAGGGAATTTTGATATTCCTACCACACATTTAACATCCAGTTTTCAAGGGGATATCCACCATATTTCAGTAAAAAATATAAATTGATTAAAATCCTATTGGACATGGTGGGGATCAAACCCCCTACCCGTTGTTTATTAGTCACACATTGCTACGGTCCCGATGATCATAATATCTACCTGTTGCAGTCTTCTTTGAAAATTCGCACACAACGTTGGAACATATGACTTTCCCTTCCACGTGTGTAAAGCGTAGTTAGGCCAATACGTGTCTGTAAGCCCCTTGCAAGCGCTTATCCACATCTGCACTGCATTTAAACTTTCAGATAAGAATATCAGAATTTGATTGTCTTTAAGTCCATCAGACGGTTTCCATATTTCTAACTTTGACACAGCTGTTTGTATAACGGAACAGAGAGAATGACCTGTAAAAGAGAAGAAGGTTATTTGAATATAAAAGCCAAATCTAGATTAAAAATCTATTTAGTTGAAAAGTACTGAAAAATTTAACGACACAAGCGGGATTTAAACCGACATCTATAGCATTGTTAAGTCAATGACTGGGTTGAAGAAATTCGACGATGACGTGTAGGACACGGTAACTCAGTTAGTTAGAGCAGAGGCACGGAACGCTTTGGATACCGGTTCAAATCCCGTTAGCGTCGTAATTTTTTTTCAATCTAAATAGATATTTACTTTATATAATGCTTAATATTGAATGATAAAAAATATTATTGTTTTCAAAGCCAAAAGCAATCTAAACCAACTAGCATAGTATGAAATCCGACCGTGTATGTGAGATTATACTTACCCATTTATTTTTTGGAGCATTACTTAGTTATTAACAAATTAATTCGCACATGATTTTTAGAAACAGTTCGTAGCATACCCATACAAACCGGTAATTTCATAAGTTTGATAATTTTCACTTACCTACAATATCAAAAATATGCACCATTCTCTCCTGAGTGTACAAAACGGGTGTGTACCTCCATACATCGTCGAGTATACCAGCTATGCTTTCAGAAGAATCGCGTATCTCTTGCATGTTACCGGATTGTATTGATCTAAACGACGATATAATACACCTTATATAGCATAAATAAGATGCCCAGAGAATTCATTAAGATAATATTTTTAATACTTTAAGCGCATAACTTATTCGGTGTTAAATATTGTTAAAGAAGACTAATTTACATATGAGGCTAGAGTCAGAGAAGCCTAACTGAAATTTTATGACATTAGTTATTTATATTTTCATAGTCTAAAAATATTAATCTACAAGAGCACAGCAACCGAAAAGTGTTAACATTATTTTGAAACAAATAATAGTACAAAATAATTTTTCCTATGTTATGTGCCATTTTTATTTTCCTCCTTATTGAAAATTATGTTCTTTGTTATTAGGCCTAATAATAAAATAGAGTGGCCACTCTGCCTCTAACAACCTCATACAAAGCAGTAGTTTCTAGAAATGTATATTTCTAAATAACATACCTTAGTTCTTCACAAACATCTTCAAACAGAACACAAAATGAAGATGCTGCCTCACGGTCTTTCTTTGTTGAATCTCTTAATTGACTGATTGTTTTCCAATACTCCACTTCATCACTTATTGATAAGATAACTAAAATAGGAATATTATATCATCGAAGATATGAAGACTACGGAAAAATTACCATAAAATACTTACCATTTGTTTTCGAATCATTTTTTCCCTGCGTAAGTATTCTCAAATTTGATTCAAGCTCAGTTAAGTTTTTCAGTAATTTGGTAGAGTACAGATCCTCTCCCTGGAAATGAAAAGAATTCCAATGGATTTATTTTGGTATTGAATTATTATAGAGTTAAGATGAATTAGAAATGTAACTTACTGTAGCAAGGAGGGGAGAATATATTTGTCTTATAATTTGATACAGTGATTCCTCTGCACTAGTATTAAGTGTAATAATATTAATGTTATTTATAGCATCATCATCTATTAAACTTTGTGCAACTGTTTTATAAAATATAATGCATTTATCCTTGTCAGTTTGTATCTAGAAAACAGTTAAATTATTGTGTTTTAACATAGCAGATAAAATGATAATTATTTAAACATGAGAAAACCTTCTAAAATATATATAATTTAACAATTATATCTATTTATATTGAAACGGGACCTTACTAACTTTGGTATGAAGCAGTAGCAATTCATTTTTAAGGCAGGTTTGAAGAAGTAAACTTTGGGAATTGTGAATAAAATCACTTAGACATTCTTCACATCTTTCATCTAAAGTTATTTTAGATTTATAAAAATGTTCTGTAAGCACATAAAAAAGGCATTAAAATGAATCTGAATAGAATTGTTGTTACAAAATAGTACACTTCATAAATTTGTACCGGTCGTGGTTATAATGAATTCTCGTATTCCAGACATTTTAGACCCTCATATAGGTTTACGCAGTAGATACTCTTATGGTAAAGGTTTCTGCATACTTTAGCAAAAAAATCTACTCTAAGAATAAAATTGTATTGTTGTTGTCAAGCCGTTGCTATAGCAACCATGACATGGATTACAATATTAATGTCTGATTTTCGCCGCAAAATATAGACTTCTATTAACCACAAATTGGCATTATCTGTGGTAAGACAGCAACTTTCATCACATAGACATCATCTGTATTCATGGCTTGACAGCTAAAAAAATTAAAACTAGAGCTGACAGCTGATGATAAAAATAAAAACAACATAAATTAGAATTTTGTTCTTCATTTGAAAGTAATATAAAGGCGCACTTTTTTATTACTGCTGTTAATTTATCTAAACATTTAAAAAGCAAATACAACCATTATGTTACGTGTACGTTCAGTAAGTAGTAATTAAATTGGTATTAAATTTTAACACATCAGAATTCTTAAATAACCTCTCTTTTTATTTCAGGCTTTTCGTAGTCTGAAATTATTACAGGCTAGTCGTTTTTTAAGCGATTCTACACAACATGTTGATACAACGTATATGGAAATACCTATATACAATGTGGACAAACCCCAAGAGTTAGAGAAACGAAAGGCAAGGTGAGGTGATTAGAAGTATTATTTTACTAAAAAAATTCAAACATTTCTAAGCCCTTATTATGTCTATTAACTTTCTTGGCCTCTAAAACAGATAAGTAAGTTATGTAAAATACTATTTAACATTTAAAAGATTAAAAGAGCTTTGCTAGTCATTTTTGCTTTAAGTTATTTTAGTATATTATATCTTCTATGGTTTTGTTTCTATTATAAAGAAAATAACATTGTACACAATTAAAAAGATTTTGTGAACCTAATATATGATATAATTTTGCAAAATGTTATGCAATATACTCTCAATTAATAGAGTAAGAAAACCCTGAAAAGAAATCCTGTATGTGACCACTGACGGATTATATTGATGAGGTAATTAGACTGATTGTCTGTTTGTCCTGCCTGAATATATTATTCTGGTATTCAAACCCAGAACCACTTACACTAATATAAAGCTAGTTATATTTGAACTATTAATACTCAGAAGCAGAAAATAACCACCAAACCATATTTATTTGTAACATTCCAGACTACACTACCAATCACGCAAACGGGGTATGCTGGAAAATGATCTATTGCTTAGTACTTTTGCTAAGAAATATCTAGATGGATTCAACGAAGAACAGACCATGATGTATGATAGACTTATCAATTCACCTAGCAATGATTGGGATATATTTTACTGGATCGTTGAAAAGCAGCCAACTCCAAAGGAGTTTGACAATGAAATTATGGATTTGTTAAAGAAGCACGCTAAGAATGAAGACCGAGTTGCTCTATCACAACCACCTCTTTACTAACCCACATTAACCAATTAGTATTAATATTTATTAGACATACAATATGACTCATAGTTGATTATTTTGTATTAGGATAGGATGGTTAGTTACTTAATTAGTAGTTTGGCTCCCTGCTTTACATCTAACATACATCTACATATAACATCAATAAATAGTCAAATTTATTATGTAAATAAGCTGGCCTTGGTGTCGCTTTTCTCTGGAGAGTGTTTAGATAAAATATTTTTTTTTAACGATAACAATTGTTTTAATTATAATCTACATTAGTACCACATGAATTAGATAATTAAATTGTTTCAAATTCTAGTAGTGTTTACTCTTGTTCTTATGTAAGATTACTATTGTTTAAAATGGAATTAAATTTCAAGGTGATTTATATTCTAATGTTTATTGTTTGGCTTTTATACATATTATAAAGGAAAATAATTTTGCTAACTTTCAGGTGTTGAAAAAAAAAGACTACAGGCAGCTTTTCCTTTTTATTGAAAAAGTACTACATATGTCTTCCTGTAAGAGTAAGAAATTCACTATATTGCTTATTTTTATATATGATTATCTTTATATTTAAAACTATTTATTAAAGATATAGTATTGTTTTAAAAAACTCTAATTGAACTTAGAAATGTGAGATAATTGCAAACTTGTATTTGGGGAACAGGAAACAAAGATATCAAAATGACTAACTATATTTTGTATTAGACATTAGTAAACACACAGAGAAAATAAGAAATTTCATGTGTGGAGAGAAAATAAAAAGGTTGTTCATAAGAATATCATCTTGTCATTTCTTGGCTATGTAGACTTTGATATCGAAAGTATTTACCTGAAAATCAAACTGCGTTAAAACATTGTTTCAAATTTTTCAGTATATAATGTCTTGATAGTAATTTTGACAAAGAGTAGGTAAAGCGATGCTTTCATACAATTAGCATATTCATATAAATGTATATGAACGTGACCCAACACGATCGGACGACCCCTCGCCGGCGCGGGCGCCTTCAGGAGCTGCGCAAGCGCAGTCGAGCTCCGATCCCCCACTTGTTTGTTCACTAGCGCCTTCCTCATAAATAAATGTGCGTAATCCCTATTTTGATAACTTCTGCTGCGTTATCAAGCGATGCTTTATAATTTGCGTTGATTATGAATGACTACAGCAAAGGTCAGGCCACAATCTTATCATTTGCTCTTTAAATATTTGTGCCGTGGAGCAAGTTAAGTCAGTTAACTTAGAACAACTGATGAACATTATTCAATTCTTCTTGCATACATCCAGTTGACTTGAAGAACAAGAAAGTGCTAGCAGTGTTGTATAATACAATCAGTGAGATATCCTGTGGAAGTCATATTATTGTAATAATTTTGTGAATATTTGAAATGCCTCTCCGTCGTAGTAAGGTAAGAAATCTTGCTTACCTTCTTACTTTAAAGATAAAAAAGTATAATTTTATATTTTGTAGACATTTATTAAATATTTAAATAAAACACTTTAACAGAAAATTATTTTTAACTACGGCCCGACGTCTCGGATGCTTTGCAGTAGCCGTGGTCACGGGGAGTATGTCCCCTGAAATATATCGCGTTTTATACCTTAAAAGTGTTGTATTTAAATGTGTACTACTCGCGTAAACTACAGACAGTATTTACTTAGTAAATATGTCAAAAATGAACCTCAAAACTAATCGGGTTATATAGTTTCACTCGCTGACCTGGCAAGCGTTATTTTGCCCAAAATTCTAGACATACTGTCGGTGACAATTTTTAGGTACTTTGAGTCATTTTCGGAGCACACGCAATGGAAAACCTCAAAAATGAATATTTTCCCCCGTTTGTCCCCAATTCCCGCTGTCTTCGCTGCTATCGGTCGGAGCGTGATGTTTTTTAGCCTTAAGCCTTCTTTGATAAATGCTCCAACCGGCACAAAAAGATTTTATTTAATTCGAACCAGTAGTTCCTCAAAATAGCGCATTTAAACTAATATACTCTTCAGCTTTATAATGTTAGTATATATTTAAAATTATGACAATAAATTATTACTAGTATGCGAAAATTATAATATAAAGATAGCAGATAGCATTTCTTCTACTTTCTAATACCCTTCAAATGACTTATTAAAATAATATCTTCAGGATTTAATCGTTTTAAAAGAATGTAATGGGCACTGATAACTGTGTTACCAAGTATTTGTGGATATTATAAATCAATTTCTTAGAAAGCTAATTCAAACAAATGATTTTTCTTTATTGGTTGCCATAAAAATATGGAAAGATGCAGTGGATGGCAATGGAAAGATATATCATATTGTTTATATGATGTAATGTTCCATATTATGAACAATTCATATTTATCTATACGTTCCTCTGTTTGATAAACAAATGCATTTGACCTAAATTAAAGAGCCATGGAATTAAATTTATTTCATGAATTGAATAAGCTGGAAAACTCATGTAGTTTTTTAAACGACTTTGTTTATATTTACTATAAACCGTGCTATACTCAAAAATTCAATGAAAATACAAATTAGGCTTTGATCAAAGGATGTATGGTACAAGTAAACTTTCAAAAGTTTTCGCAAAATCGTCATTCTTTGTTTTTTCAAAAACTTAGATATTTTTCACATGTTATTGTGTGTGTGTGTGTACACATGAAGAGACTATATAATTTAAAAACCGAAAATAAATTCATTGCTTCCGTGACGGTGCCGGTTCAAGTCCAGTCCGAGTCGAAATTTTATTCGAATTTATTTTCGATTTTGAAGTGGCTATGAGAGGGTGTATGTATGACCCTAATATCGATACATCAATGTAAATGTATTTGCAGATATTAGTAAAATGGATCTACGAGAACCAGCACAAGATGCAAACCCTGCGTCGCTGCAGCTCGACTCTCCGGTACAAGGAGTTAGAAGAAAACAGCGTACAAGCCACCCTAGAGCACGTGGCTCCCGTTGAAGCCGGTGCACCTACGCACCAACCACGCCCAGATACCACACCTGATATATCTTTCAAGGTAACTTTTAATTTGATAACGATATTCAAATAAAACCTGATTACACGTCAATCATCGCTAAAAGCCTATTTGCTTTATCTAGATAAAAAGTAACGCGTAATTGCGAAGTTTATTCATGAATCGAGTGGAATTATCAATTAATTATACGATGAATTTTAAATTTAAACATTACTTTAAAATTTCGCTTCTTTAAGCATACGAAGTCAACTTAGTATTACAAGTAATTAGAAGATAATTTTTTTGCGAATATCCAAGATAACGTCGAAAAGGGAAATCCCAAGATACCGATAAATTACTTCGAATCGTTTCGAATGCAGGCCCGTAAACGTTCTAATTAAAAGCTTTTAGAATATGTATACATGATAATAACAGCATTGTTTGAACGGGTACACTGTCAGGCACGTGGGTCGACGATGTTATTGATCTCGATGCGATATTTCAGTATGACGACCTCAGGGTGTCTCTGGCGGCGCCGTACCAGTTACAGAGGAAGCCGGAAGCTGTGGATTTGGGCTTCGGGAAGTACTTCACTGATCACATGCTCAAAATCAATTATCACACTGAGTTGGGTGGGTGGCAAAAACCGGAGATAACGCCTTTCGAAAACTTGTCGATACACCCCGCGGCGAAGGCTTTGCACTATGCCGTACAAGTATGTATTTTTTATATTTATAAAAATATTACTATTAATAAGATCAACTTTCTTAAAGTACACTTGCCTACAATTTATATATTATTTATAATAACAACATATGAAACAAACAAAAAAACTCTTCAGCTTTATTATAATAGTATGTAATAAAATATAATAGGTGGGCTGAATATGGTTTCAAAGTAATAAAATTAAAACGTCCTGCTGAAATAATTGTGTTTGTTTTAGCTATTTGAAGGATTAAAAGCATACCGGGGGGTCGACGATAAGATTAGATTGTTTCGACCTGAATTGAACATGGAAAGGATGAATTTGGCAGCAAAACGCTCGGGGCTGCCCATGTTTGATGGCGAGGAGCTGATTAAATGCATCACAAGATTGGTTCAGATTGATCAAGAGTGGGTCCCACATTCGGAGACTTCCACGCTTTACATCCGTCCCACTTTAATCGGAACTGAGGTAAATATTTTATGGTTATACACACTTCAAATGTTATCAGACTAACCCTAGCTTTATCTTTGGGGCAACTATTTCCTTTAGTAAATAATTACACTAAGTATCTAGATTAATCCCACTTCTGATTTTTAAATTTTGAAACGCCCTTTGAAATCGCAAATTTGTTGGTGCCAACTGCCTATCTATAATTAATTAGTGTGATAAGACAATGAAAACTGCGTGCCCATGCGCACATGCCCTAAATATCCGTCCTGTTGCGATTAGTTATTTCGCAATTAATTTATTATGACGTTAAGTCTGTACAATCGGCCGAATAATATCGAATCATTTGAATAACATGCATGGACACGTGCTGTGATAATTGGATAAGAATTTGTAAACAAAGCAACTATCGTTATGGTAGACCGAATTCGGTTGGTTAATAAATTCAAGTTTGAAGTGACAGCTAACAAAAAAGGTTGATTCGGGAGAAATTGACAGTCGTCAAAAAGCAGATTTACAATCTAATGATAAAATTTTATTTTCTTTTTATATATACCCGACAACAAGGCAAATCTTTGCTGTGTTCATGCATTTATGATTTTTTTATCTTGAGGCTTTAATGTTTATTAGCTATTGCACATAATTGCATTATATAGATAAAGACTTCAACCGGTTGCCGACACAAAATCCGCCTGTGGCCTTTTTTTTCAATTTAAATAGATTTCTAATTTCTATTTCTCTATTCAACTTCTCTTTTATCTACATTAAGTCTGCCTATTTCTCTTTTTGGAAATCAATTCGTCATCTACCCTACAGTTACAACAAACTTTAAATTCTTTATTTGGTATCTGAAAAGATAGAATATTTTTTGTTTATTAGTGCCTGAAAACGCTGTGTACAATATGTAATTTCTCAGCAAGAGTGTGTTTGTTAACAGCCCACCTTCGGCATAGTGGCGCCGGAAACGGCCATGCTTTTTGCGATTTTGAGTCCAGTGAGTGCCTACTACAAGACGAATTCGGATGGCGCCGTTTCAATATACGCTGATCCTAACGTCGTGCGTGCTTTCCCTGGTGGGGTGGGCAATAGAAAAGTTGGCTCTAACTATGGACCGACGATCGGTGAGTTTACTATAACAATTTAGACTAACATTTACGTTTGTTTAAATAGCTAATAATCTTTTTAAAAATATAAATAAGCATTTATTCCAATTGTCCTAGAATTATCTCTTACCCTCATAATTTTTTTTCAAGTCGTGAGATATCACAGACTCTTGGCAAAATTCATTTAAATTCGTAGGCCATCTTTAAAAATCTTTAATTATCTGTTATTTAATTGTGCTCTCAACTTAAATATAAGAAAGGTTATTAAGATAAAATAAACATCGTATGTTGTTTAGACTAAAAACAGTGTCACGTAGCTTTTGTTTAAAGATGAGATAATTATTTCTTAAACAGTTTACCTTAATTCTTATATAAGAAAAAAAAACAATACAGACCGATTATTTCTGACATCAAACTGATATAAAACTCGAACTAATTAATTTAAAGTGATCAATGATGGATATCTTTCATCCTTATTTTAACTTTACAATATAAAAATTATTACTATTTATTACTCGGTCGTTGATTCGGTCCCCATCAGCTCCAACATTTTTTTTATTTAGTTATATTGCTTAGTCATATTAGTTATGATTAAACATGCCAGAAACGTGTGTTTGTTTTGTGATCTCCACGTTCTTTTAGGCATATACGGGCATTACTCTAGATTTAAGAATAACAATTAATGATACGAACATTTCAGAGATAACGTCGCAAGCTTCAAAATTGGGACATCAACAAGTATTATGGCTCTTCGGGCCAAATCAGGAACTAACTGAAGTGGGTGCAATGAACATCTTCCTTGTTTACATCAATGAACATGGAGGTGAGTTATTACTCCTATGTCAGAAGTCAACACACAACTTAGATTGTAAATATTTAAGTAAATACAATCCTAGGCGAGAATGGATTAAACTTTGATCAAGCGAAAAGTCATGGGTATATAACTGCTTATCCAATTTTAGTTTCCTTCAATTGAGGCGTGTCTTTAAATTCAATTGCACACAAGTTCCTTGCAGAGTTAATTTACAAAAGTAAATATCTATCAATTCCTATCTTCGTGGTATTAAACACCTTTGGTATTTGTTTAGTATTCAAATATTTTTTTTAAACTTTAAATACTTGTGTAATAATAATAATTATTACAAAGTGTCGTCCACACATTGTCACGTTATCTGCACTAGCGACCCTGTGACCGGTAAATTCTCGTCTCATCTGAAGCAATAAACGAGGTCGATCACATCATTGAGATAATTCTAGATTTAACTCGTTTTGCGTCATAAAAAATCAAGAAAAACGGAAGAAAAAAGAAGAAGTTAAAGCCAAGTCAAAAAAGTAAAATTTAGGAAAGTAATATACTAAAACTGAATTCCTTTTACTGTGGTTGTATAATATGCTTCTTGAACTGAAAACTTTTTTTTCATCTTCACGGCCGGGTCTCGTTTACTACCTTTTAAGTTTCCATTGGATAACTGTTTTGTAAACAAACATAATTAAATTCCAATAATTCACTGACGTTATTAAATCCTTGACACGTCAATGTGTGGTGCAGATAAACAACTGAGCACGCCTCCATTAAATGGCCTGATACTGCCGGGCGTGACGAGGAGGTCCATACTCGAGCTGGCGAGTCAGTGGGAGGACATCACAGTCAAAGAGGAAGTCATGACTATGGACAGGGTTATAGAGCTGAAGAACCAGGGCAGGGTAAGAGTTTGATCTTTATTTTTTCTAACTTTCGAATAATTAAAATTTTATTAATGCTATTGTTATCGCGACTTCGATACTCAAGACTATATATGATCAAGACTACTTAGCATCCATAATCAAAGTCAAAAATATTTATTCTATAGGTAACTAGGTACACTCATGAACTTCAATACAGTTAAAAACTAAAGACTCTAAATTAGCTACCAGTTCTCAAGTCAAGGGCGTCGAAAAAAAGAGAAGAACTGGCACGAGCAAGAAACTCGCCGTTACTTCTTTTATCGCCAAGTTTCATTTTACAGTCTTCACGTATTTTAAGTGCACTTTTTTCTTGTTAGAAAGTTTATATGAAACTGTCAGCTTTGATAAACAAAAATACAGAAACAGTATTCTTTTATATAAATCTAATGGACTTGAATTACACATGGAAGAACCTCCTTTTGAAACACGTTTTAATGTTTTTAAAGCCGACCTAAAACCATGTCTTGTTGGGTCAACGGTTTATGATGTAACATCTCTTTTGTGTTGCCGTATCTTATCAATGTTTATTAGATGATTTAATAATTAGCAAATATTGTATCAAGCAATACTTGAAATTAACGGTAGCTCTTTCACGCAGTTGTTTATTTTTATTATTATCTGTTTTGTTATTTTGTAGAGGGCTTTCTTAACAGTTAATATATTACAGTTACTAGAGATGTTCGGAGCTGGAACAGCTGTAATAATCACGCCAATCAGTAACGTCGGTTACCTGGACAAAAACATTCACGTACCTACCATGAAGCAGAAACACGCTGTATACCAGCGGCTCAAGGACACGCTATTGGCGATCCAATACGGGCATATAGAGCACCCCTACGCCAAAATAATAACGTAGTCCCCATTTGAAGCCTTGACTTTGTAACAGTGAAATAGTGAAGTGACCTTGTATAGATTGTTTCGTGAGATAGCAGAGCAAAGATTTATTTAATTATGCGAGATCTCTTTTTGATGATGTCGCAGTAAATATGACTATCTCGTTGTAAATATTTGACTCGTTTTTGTGAGTTGTGTATTTGGAAAACACGCCGTACATTTTCGGAGGATTGCGCAATGTTTTCGATCGTCGAGTTAACATTATGTCACTATCGGGCTGTCACGGGCAAAAAGTAATATTATTACATTATAATATAATTTATCGTGATTACCGATTGCTGAAAACAATCTAGAATATAATTATATCGGTGATTAATGATTATAAATTGATCGATCGAATCGAGTCGAAGCCTTAAAAAAGGAAAAACATGTTGTATAGCAATAAATCATCGTTATTTTTATATCAGTGTCATACGATGTGCTTTTACGATTATTATTTTACGCAAAGAATCTTTTGTGGCACCGTGTGAATATTAAACGTTGTATTATATTCCTTAGAAACATTTTTAATTTCAAGATATCTATTTAACAGATATATTAGATTAGATTATGCCATCTGACTTAGATCGTTGAACTTGGTGAATGTCCTCTTGAATATTTAACGGATTAAAAAAGAAGTTGATTATTGAACTCTGCCGGTGTCAGGATGTTTGGAAAACTAAAATCTTGGTGCTTTGAGGTTTACGTGTAGACTTGAATGAATATCGATTCTATAGGTAAATATTTTTTGAACAAATGTAAAATCGAATATAAGAGTCTCCCTATCATTAAATAAAAAGGTTTACGACCTCTGACAGGAAATGCATACAATTACGATATTTCGGATAGCATAACTTTTCAAATTACTGGTCGAGCTAAATCGGAACTAAGCTGAATATAGTAAGTAGTCATTAAAATTTTAATGACATATACTCAGTAAGTCAAATCAGAGTCTGATAGCGAATTTTTTCACGTTCTCAATGAAGTTATTAAACTGATAACCAGCTATCGAATTGTTTTGGCTTAAAGAATTATACATATCATATAAAATGTTATGTTCATAGGTATGTAAATATAGTTACGTAATTGTTAACGTATTAATTATTATTATAGGTGAAATGTTGATATGAAATGTTTTATTCAACGAGAGGTCGAAATAATCTGATTTTAATATATTTTTTACTTATTTATGATACTTTTGCCTACTCATTAGTTAATAACTATGCGCATTTAATTCTGGGGCTTTTTACCATCGTGAATTTTAAAATATTTGTTATATTGCCTTTCATCAATCAAAGTCCATTTTTATACTTTATGGCCAAAAGAGGTAGTTGGATATTTTATTGTATAAAGTACATTTGTCTACTTCAAATTTATTTTTGTAAAAGTAATGTGATTGTTCTCTTACCGTCTTAAGTAACTTTCGATCAAGTTGTAAAACATAAGTACCTCTTAGCTGTAAAGATTAACTTAGTGAAGTTAAGAGAAAAAAAAAACATGCTGGTGTGTTTTCGTCTAGTCTAAGAATCTGTGTATATGTGAATTATTTATAACTAAATATAAGAATTTTGAATTCGGATGTTGTTTTAATTTAACACGATACCTGATTATGTTCTAGATATGCATGTAATTGCAAAAACTTGTTATTTTTTCCTAAGTAATTTGTTGTTGACTTTGGTAGATTTTCGGTGTTATTTAATTTTGCAAATCACAATGTGACGGAATGGAAAATTCGGGGCCGTTTCGCATCACTAAATAAATCATTAATATTCATTCAATATAATATATTGTGTAAAATTACTAAACGTTCGCTACTTTTCGGTATATTTATTCTGGAGGTAGAGGCAAGTCGTCGTCGAAGATATCCTTTTTCCTTCTTGACTCTTGCCTTGTAGATGTGCGAGTCAGCGGTGGCGTAAAGTCATTCATGTCATTTTTGTTCCTGAAAATATTTAATTAGATATTTCAGGTATAAAAATGTTATGCAAATCAATACATTACATCTACGTTTCAACTGACATCATGTAATTACGACGTAGAACAATTGAAATTCATGAATCGGAATAACCCGATAACTGAATGACTGAAGACCCTTTAATATTGATGAGTTTGACCCTCTGACGTCATAGTCGTGTCTGGGATCAGCGCCAAATATTTACTGCGCAGATACAGTAATGTATTTAAGTGCGCATATTTCATTACTTTTTGATTAAGTCGGTGTACGTCAGTACAAATCTATATTCATCGTATGCACTTTTCGGGCTTATAAACGTGTTCGTACGAAGCGATGTCCGAAGTAGTACAAAACGGGATACCGAGATAAATGTTCGTATTGTTTTTCCAGCTCTCACATTATCGCTGTTGTCAAGAAGTTAAAGCAAAACATGCATTGACGTCATTCGTGTAATCTCAGCTCTATATATTTTTGCAGCGCCGAAAGTAGGCGTTTCGTTTCTTCGAATCGCGCGAGGCAAGTGATTTGTTACCAGTATTATCTGGTTTTGCCTCTTTGTGTTATTTGTTTATGTTAGATTCTGAAATCTACGTAAGGCCATTACAGGCATGCCTTATTTATTTTGGAGAGCTTTTTTTTATGGCTAATCAACGGGTTCGATCCCCAACCGGGATCCAACATTTGTTTAATCAACTCTTCTGAATGATGTTGGACTTCGTCTGGAAATCTAGATATTAAACGTGAGGTAGGAATATCGAGATTCCGTGCGGGTTACGAACAACCGTCTGAAAAACCGGTCTACTTTAATCGCGTGTCCGCTTCAGTCTGTGGATTTCCGAATATGATTCCGTACAGCAATAATAGATTGACAGCAAATCTTGTTGAGATGTCATATGGCTGCGGTATTTCACCTAACATCAAGCTATCATAAAACTTCTTATAAATATTCGTAACCCATTATTTATTATATTGTATGTAGGCACATACCCAGTCACAGCATTAGGCCGAGTTTCGCTCGATCTGCGGGTTGCAGTGGCAGCGCTATCGCCTCTTGTAGCTGTTGAAAAAGCGCAGAGTCAGTGATCGATTTAAATTATATGTGCATGACCAGATTCCTGTGCCCTACTTGCTTAAAAATGTTTTTCCAGTATGTGAATCCAGGACATCGCGTGCTTGATGCAAGCCAAGTACCTAGCAGTGCGTTTAAACTAAACAAGGAGACGGTAAGAATAGGTTTTATTTTAAGTACGGTGAGTTACCCAATGACAATAAATCTTAATATTGTAATATTATGTACTGTGATTATTATGTGTACGCTTAAGCGAAAATTTGTTTCTCGATAAGTTCTAAATAATGTTGAACGCTAGCAACAAAGGACCTTTGCAATAGACAAAAACATACAATCTGTTGATTGCCTCAGAACGTTTTGAAAACAAAGGTAAAGGTAATTATGTTACTTAATTATAATATTTTTGTTAGAACTAGTGATAACATCAAACCAAAACCAGTTTGTACCGCCCTAATTTCTTGTGCAAGTCTAGTTCTTCCGATGGCGATGGTTTAAGGTTTATCGCTCAATAGTATTAATTTTCTGGGTCAAACTCACTGCTCAATATCGGAGACTGGCTCAGACCGGACGATATGCTGCTAGCGGACGTTACATTTGCTGCAAAGTAAATAAAAACAAGTCAATAAAATTATAATTTTCCTGGATTTTATCTCGAGATAAGTTTCTTCGCCTTTATATGTAACTATGGGGATATTATGAAGAAAATTGTTAGTAAAAATAATTTTTATTAATAAACCGTTTTTTAATTGAAGCTAATTTAGGGATAGAGAACTCCACAGAAGAGATTTCGTAATTGTTTTTCTTTACAAATTTGTTTTTTTTTTAAATTTAAACAATAAAATATTTTATTTGGTTCTAAAGTTAATGTTTTATTAAAAATTCAACTGAAAAAAATTGTGATCTGGGGGCCACAACTCCATGCGGTATATTAAAGAATTTGTTGTAGAGGAAATTTTGAATCAATATTAAATTGATAGGAAGTCTTAGTATTTACATACAAAGCTATCATAATTATTATTTTATGCCTAGAACCGTTTCGTTATTTAGATGTAAACAAACGCATTGCATCCGTCAACAATTAACGTATTTACCACAGACTCATACCTAGAAAGGCTTTTTAATATATACTAATAATTTTTAGTAGCTTGGCCTGTAATTAAATTAGCGCAATATTTTATTAGTGCTACAAATATCATGTGAAATAGTTACGGCAATAGATAGAGATTAGTGGCGTTAGTGGAGTTAGCCTATCTTTGGATCTTAATTTTTTAAACTCTCAATAAAATCAATACCTAACACAATAAATGTTGTCCTCATCCTCAATAACAAATGTATTCCGTTTAATTTTCAAAACAGGTTTTAAGGAATCACTTACGTCACAAAATAAATCAATCGTTATCGCGGTTCAAAGTTGGTGATAGCGTTCGGTAAACGTCGTGACTCGCAATACCAAAACATTTATTGAAAACGTAAACACAAAGGACATAAAATTCAATAGAAGTAGATATATGTAGATATTGATGACATGATGATAGGCAAGCCTGGGGTTCACATGATGGAAGATGATACCCCAGCCATTGAACATCGAATCGAGATGCACCGTCGACCTTTTTTGGTATTGGTCATTTATAAATCTACAGACTGAAACCAAAACTCGAATTTCCACTTTACTTTTAAATATTAGGGGAAGGTTCGTAAACCTGAAGAAGTTTAGATATTTCTAACGCGTATTTAATGTTTTATATAGTAATTAAATGTCACGTTCGAACCGGCGACCTGTTGATTAGTAGCCATCCACTGCTACTCGAGCCTGTCATATTTTATAATTAATATTATCACGTTAATCTACGACCTCATTTGAATGTATCAAAATGGTTGTAAATGCTGTTGTCCTTTTCGCTCAAATATCTAAACAAATTTGTTCGATAAAGACAAATAATCTATTTATATATGATTAAGTACACATAGTAACTGTCTTATTTAGGATTGTACATTTAGATTTACTAAGATGATTTACAGGAGATATGTGTTGGTAATAACCTCGTTCCTGCTGCTTAGCTCGTGCTTGAGCACGTTGTAGTTCCCGACTCCACAAGTTAGTTTCAGATAAACCCTGGTCTCCACACAGCTTCACTATTAGCTTTAAACCTGAGAAACAGTAAAAAGTATATTCCAATATAATATAATGGTTATGCATACATTTCCGTTTATCTATACAAATATTATAAAGCTGAAGAGTTTTTTTTTGTTTGAACGCGCTGGTTTGAATTTAATTGGTGTTTTAGCATTACCGAGGAAGGCATATAGGCTATAAAACATCGCGCTACAACAAATTGTAAGAAATAATTATTCTTCTTCTTTAAATGATCTAAAAACTGTCGGCGACAGTATAAGTCTATCTTTTAAGATTAACGCGCAAGAACGACGAAATGCGGACAACGCAGTGGGGTGTAACTTAGAAATAAGAGATTGTTATTTGCAAAAATAAATGTGATGCATAAAACAACTATTTCACGCGGACAAAGTCACAGCACAGCTATACTAAATGTATAGTATAATTCAAAAATCGAAAATAAATTGAAAAAATTTTCGACTCGGGCAGGACTTGAACCGGCATCGTCAGCTTTCCGTGCTATTGCTTTACCAATTGAGCTACCGAGTCAACAGCACGGAACGCTGAATGGATGGCGGTCCAAGTCCTGCCCGAGTCGAAAATTTTTTCAATTTATTTTCGATTTTTAAATTATATAGTGCCTTCATGTGCAATAACAATATGTAAAAAATAATAAAGTTTTTAAATATATAGTAATTTATTTTTCATACCCTCGTAAATGTATTACTAACTTATTAAACTGTTTCGCAACTCCTATTCTCTTCTCAGAAAATAATACAAATTATATTCAATGATCTATTGTTTATCGAAAGAAAGTCTTAAATAACAATATCAAAGAGCCACGAAAATATTTGCTCGCGATAACGAGACAAGCAGTCGTTTAACAAAACAATTCGTTTCTAGATGACCTACATACAACGCTATCGTTTACTGGATGTTCTGGATTTTTTTTGCGTCTGTGTAAAGTAAATATAAATATAATAGGCTTGCTGTATCAGCGACTTCGTCCGCGTAGAATAGTTTTGGGCGTCTAGAAATCTGATTAAATATAATATATTTAATCAGAAATAAAAATAATAAAAACTGCTGTGCCCTGTCCGATTGAAACAGTACTCTAGTTAAATACTGCCTATAGTTTACGCGAGTAGTACACATTTAAATAAAACACTTTAACGGTTTAAAACGCGATATATTATTTAATTAGTCTCCCCGTGACCACGGCTGCTGCAAAGCATCCGAAACGTCGGGCCTAAGTTAAAAATCATTTTCAAATAAGTTTAACTAATATATCGCGTGTTAAACCGTTAAAGTGTTTTATTTAAATAAGTACTCTAGTTTCCCCAAAATTCAAACCCAATGTTGTAATGTTAACAAAGTATGCTTATGACTTGATAAGGCCGTTAGAGGCAGAGTACCCTAACGGAAATTTTAAGACTTGAGTTTTTATTTTTTATAGTCTAAAAATGTTAGCAAGAGCACAGTAACCGAAAATTGTTCACATAATTCTCAAACAAATAATAGAACAAATTAATTTTGTTATTAGGCCACTCTGCCTCTAGCAGCTTCATATATTTATAAAATAGTAAAAAAGGGTGTAAACAGATTTTAGAAAGATAACATAATCTGTAGCTTACACTGAACGTTATCCGGAAATCTAGCGTTGAGTTTCTTGTATAGATAAAGCGCCTCTTGATATCGCCCACTCGCTCGAAGACATCCACCAATCAGGAGGCCCCATTGTGGCTGCAAAAATACATGTAATTTAAATACTTTCAAATGTTAAATAGATCAAAATTTAAAAAAAAAGAGATTTTTGACACAACGCTAAGACCTGCCTTCTAAACTTAGAGTCGAAAGGAAAAATTAAAAGTTACGTAGACTGGTTTTTTTATTTAGATTGGAAAAATGCGACGACACTTGGCAACAAGGCAGCTCAATTGGTTAGAACAGCAGCACTAAACGATGTGGATGCTGGATTAAGTCCCGCCCATTTCGCAGATTTTAACAAACCAAGTAGATTTTTAGAATTTAAATAATCTCGTAAAGTTGGTTTAAAACGTTTAATTAGATTCAAATTATTTGTTTTTTTTTAACTACGGCCCGACGTTTCCGATGCTTTTCCGCCAAATACCAAGTTTGACGGAACAGATGGCGCTAGCGTAGCAGTTTTTACTTTGACGTCAGGGACACCCTTCGTTAGTCTCACCGTGATCACGGCTGCTGCAAAGAATCCGAAACATTGGGCCGTAGATAAAAATAAATTAAAAATAAGTTTGACGAATATATATCGCGTTTTATACGTGTACTACTTGCGTAAACTACAGACTTACACAGACAGAAAATATTTAAATATTAATGTTTTCAGACATCCGATCAAATTTAGGATCAATATCGATAGACAGACTTGAGAACAAACCACACTACTTTTGACCAAATGTAATTTCAACTAGCCTGTTAAAATGTTTTGTTAAATATATTTATAACACACCGACTAGTAATGTATAGTATAAATTAAAATACTAACATTATTGGGCTGTAAACGCGCTGCTCTTCTATAGTATTGCAAGGCTTCTTCAGGCGAAGACTCTCCAGCCAGCCACTGTAGAGCTGACAGTTCACAGGGCCATACAGCTTCAACCTAAATTTATATATATATAATAGTTACAGCAGACAGACTTCAACCAGATCAAAGTGATTATCAAAAAACTTGTGTATCATAAATCACACCTAAAAACATTTTTATTAATTGTATGTATATGTTTGTATATCCAAAATTATAACCAAAATAGCGTTGTCTATAAAACGTAGACCTAGGCCGCCCCTGTAGCCAAATGGTTAAACGTATTGCTTAGCATTGCATTATGCGAAAGGGGTTCTGTATTCGAATTCCGGGAAAACAACGTTTTTCGCCTGCAAATAAGTCTCGCCTGGAAAACATCGATCACTGAATCGGAAATGTATTCTCCTCGTGCTACACGGAGGTAGACGTGATACCACTTTTTTAAAATCGCTCAAACTGTTGTGTAGCGGCACCGAGACCTCAAATAAAATGTAACCGGCGGCAATAAACTGTCTTTGAACGGTTTCCAATAATTGTCTTTATTGCGATGTATAAAATTATAAAGAATATCATTAAAATTGCATACATCTTGATAATGATGTTTGGCTGTTTGAGTGTCTCCCAATTCCGTATGCAACTGCGCAAGCGCACATGACACGCCTGCATCCCACGTGCCTATCATACTGTACCTACAAAAAAGTACAAAACAACAATATATAAAAATTGATGGAAATTAAGGACAAACGGCGACTTTATTGCTAAATAGCTATCTCTTCCGTATATTTATATATATAAAAATAAAAAATATACATATAATCGCACATAATAAGCAATCGTGGTTAAGCAATCGTGGTAGAAATGAAAATTAAGTCATAAAAAAGGAATGCGTGGCAGCAGAATAAGGACTTAACTTACTTACTAAAACTTATAATAAACAATAATACAAAATGAGCTTAATCTAAAAATCATTAATTACTATCTTAACTAAGTTACTTAATTAGGCATAAATAATGGGAATTGACAAACTCTTAAGGACCGAAATTCTGGGCTTGCTGGTCTCACATGAAAGGATGAATTATAGAATCTAGTTGAGTGCGAAGAAAAACGTAAAGTCAGGCTTTCATCTGACCGGAGATTAAGGCCTTTATCGGAAAGGAACTCAATTTTTTCTTTCAGGTAAGTTGGAGTCTTAGGCTCAAAGAGTATTTGGAAAAAAAGAGAAAGAACATGTAGATTCCTGCGTAAACGAATAGAGAAAAAGTTGAGGGCGGAGCGATATTTAGAAACATGCTCAATTTTACGAAGGCCAAACACAAATCTAATTGCCATGTTTTGTAGTTGTTCCAATTTATCAAGTTGAATATTCGATATTGGAAAACACATATCAGCATAATCAAGAGAAGGGAGGAGAAGGGATTGAGCGAGCGCTCTGGTGGGAATGGGTAAGAAGTTACGAATACGTGGCAAACTGGCGGCCGTAGCAAACATTTTCCGGCTTATTTCTGTTAATTGTGAGTGCCAGGATAAGGTGACATCTACATGCAACCCAAGATAGTTTCGGAACCAAGAAAGAGCTTTAGGAGAAATGTTAATAGTATCTAAAAGCGCAAGAAGAAGATCGTAATCAATAGAGTTAAAACCGTTGAAAAAGTCTAGGAGCGTCAAAACTGTCAACTGTTTAGTGTCCATTGCCCAACTAATGTCATCAGTAATTTTTAAGGATAAAGGTGATATACGAAAGAATAATGTCGCGAGTATTGGTAAAATCATTTGACGACTTATTCCATCATCACGAACAGCGTCAGACTTAATAGAAAGTACGTTCTTACAAATTTCTTAGAAAAAAGAATAAGAAGGAGCGTTGGAAGATACGAAATTTTAGTAAGTGTCTTTAAATTTTTATTGAAAGTAGCAGTGGAAGATGCAAAGAATGAGTTTAAAGAGGAAATACAAAGATTGGGAGGAAGTGTTGAGTTTTTTGCTTTTCCGACACCAAGGGATTTTAAAAAGCGCCACACTTTAGCTGGCTCATTTGCGAGCATCTCGACAATCGACTCGATGTCTAATACTTTTAGATTTCATTTGCATTTGGATTTGATTTGCATTTGGATTTGATTTGCATTTTAATTTAAGTTTGTTCTTCTTATTTAATAATTCTTTGATATGTGGTTTAATTTTTACTGGTTTTATGGGAGCATGTATATCGTAGAGGTAAGTAATGTATTTATTGAATAAAGATCACATATCATCAATATCTTAACAAGATCTTATTGTACCCCAGTCTTGATTTATTGCATCGGTACGAAGGTCATTAGTATTCATTAAACCGAAATTACGCTGCATCAGGACTTTATGTTTAAATTTAGGAAGACGAATATTATAAGATAGATATATTAAATCATGGAAGGAAAAATCGTTAGCATCTCACTGGCCATGCTCAGTATATTAATAGGAAATTCTAAAAGGGAAGGAAGGCAGTTATGCATTCTATGAGTAGCATTTAGAGGTAGGAAGTGTAAAATACAAGCGTCAACTACGGACTCCAACTTATAAGAGTGATGATTGTTTTTTAACATGCAGGTATTGAGTCATCCATGATGATTACATGATTATAGGACAATGTGGTTTTCAAGGATAGATTCAAACGAATAAAAATAGTTGATATTTAGGGATGGAACATAAAAGACGCCAAGTAGCATTTTGGTACAATTTAAAGTAATTTATTTGAATTAGAAGAAATTCTGCAGAGTTAGACGATGGTGGCTGAGACGACATTTCAATCAAAGAGAAAGTTATATCGGACCTTAGATTAGATAAATTGTCACAGCACCACCAACTCTACCATGACGGTCATTTCGAATTAAATTATAGCCGGGGAAACAGTAAGAGGAAGACGAAAGGCAAGGTTTTAGCCAAGTTTCGGAAATTAGTATAGCGCAAATAGATTGTAAGTTAGAACTAAAAGTTGCTAAGATCTCTTTGTAATGAGCGGGTAAACTTTGCGCATTAATATGCACAATTTTAAATTTTGTATCGCATTGATTAAACCAAGAAGCCAATTGCTGATCTAGAGGAGTAAAAGATGTAGTGCTACATAGACTCTCATCACCAGAATCACTAATGTCGGATGTCGCTGAAAGAAAATTGTCGGAATCTGTCCTATTGTCTATCATAATTGATCAGCACTACTTAATAATATTAGCAAGTTTCAGTATTGAAATATTATTTTCGTTACTTAAATGTACAAATAATTACTTAAAAAATAACTACCCACAACTACCTACAGTGAAGAATAAATAAATTATACATTACACATATTAATTAGCCACCGTTATAATATAATCTGTGTCAGTTTTACAGTGTAAAACTATGGAAATTAGAAAAATGGTAAAAATCAGTGTCCATAATTTAATGTAAAAATACAAAGATTGTATGTTTTATTATACTTTTTACCCACCAATGATCAGCTGCGCTTAAAGCAGCTTGGGTGTCCGCATTACGAGTGAGTCTAGCTAGTCCCGCCGCCGCTATCGCCCGCAACGTCGCCCCCGCACCCGTTGCACTGCGCATGCGCTGCCAACGAGCTTCTGCGCCGCTGTCTTCGCCACGCATCTCTAAGGCTAGCGCTATAAGAAAATATATTTTTGACTGAATTCGATTACATGTAAAGTAAACTGTAAGTCTATATATCGTTCTCAAACGTTATTAAAACCCTACAACTTAAAGATCTTATACAATTTAAATTAACTCACTCGAGAATCAATATAAATCAATATAAATCGCTAGTTCGAATTTCATACAGTGCTAATGCAATAAATATGGAAAACTGTGCCTTCAAGCTTAGAGTCAACAAAACACATCGTATATAGAACAATGAATGTTACTGATATTGCTATACAAAACATCGTTCCTCCTTCGTAATTTTATGACACAGTAATAACCCCACTAACCAAGATCATGCATAGCTATAAGATCAGCGGGATCTAGATGCGTAGCGGCTGACAATTGGTTTAAAACGTTCGCGTCAGTGTGGGCGCTGCCACCGGTCGACGACAACTCCGCAAGCGCTGCTGTGACACGTGCGGGGCACGAGTACGGGTCGTCCTTACACGCCGCTTCACTTAATGACTGCGCCTCGGACCATTTGCCTAGCTGAAAAGAATTTAGTGAAACACTTTTAACAGTCTAAAGCGCGAAATATATAAGTTAACTTATTTACAATTTGTTTTAACTACGGCCCGATGTTGCAGCAAACGTGGTCACGGAGACCCGGCTGATTCAGCTTCCATTAGGTGTAAACCGTTAAAACTGTTTAATTTGAATGTGTACAAATAACGTAAACTGCAGACAATACTGTTAATGTAAGATTGAAAAAAAAATTACAACACGGGCAGGAATTGAACCGGCACCCAAAACTCAAGTCAAGTTCGAGCCCCGCCCGCGAGGTAATATTGTTTCATTTAAATAAAACACTTTCACGGTTTAAAACGCGATATATAAGTTAAACTACTTGAAAATGATTTTTAACTTCGAGACACAGTCTCCCCGTGACCACGGCTGCTGCAAAGCATCCGAAACGTCGGGCCGAAGTTAAAAATCATTCTCAAATAGTTTAACTAATATATCGCGTTTTAAACCGTTAAAGTGTTTTATTTAAATGTGTACTACTCGCGTAAACTATAGACAGTATTTAATATTGTTTCAACCTAAAATTATTTTTAATTTTATTTATACAATCTTACAGGTGACATATTAGTCCTGATCTTCGCATAAAGAAGTGTATATACAAATCCGCTTACCGCGTAAGCGACAAAAGCGGCATCTGCGTTCGCTTCAGCTCGCAGTACACGATCGTTGGGATGCGCACGAGCGACCGCTTTCAGCCGCTGAAGCGCCTTAACGCCAGCTGCGATTCCACCTCCGCCAGCTGCAGTGGCGCTGCGCAATGATGCTAAAGCGCTTCCGAGTTCCAAACGTGCACCTGCACCACCCCCAGAGTAACCGCGCAGGGCTTCAACGCACCACGATGCGCCACTAAAAGTAAAGAGATTTCTAACTTTTTATGATAGAGGAAGACAGCCAAGCACTTGATGGTAGATGTAACAACCCAGCCTTATAATATCTAAACAAGACGTGCTGTCGACCAAATTTGGCTTTGGATATTCGGATATCCACAGACTGAAACCGAAACGCGATTCAACTTGACGGCTTTTAATATCCAGATTTCCAGACGAAGTCCAACCTATCTCAAAAGAATTATACATTGATTAGAAACATGTTGGATGGTTGACGGGAATTGGATCCACGACCCGTTGAGTATTAACCATACATTGCTTCCACAACACTAACGAGCCCGTCAGTGTTTTCGTCACACTGAATCAAGGGCCGTGCGGCAAAAAAAAAAACGAAATTTGGTGCCGTCATGCGTTCTAAATAGTTATCCCAGGATCACTCTTGGTTATTGTTTTATAATCGATTTAAATACAGAAATCCCCGTCTTACACACCCTAAATCATCGTCTCGCACATTTCTAGCAGCGGGTCTTGCCAATGCAGCGGCTGCTAGAGCGAGACAGCGATCGGCGTGTGTGGCTGCAGCACGAGACCATCGGGAGAGACGGTCACCGCGTACAACATCACGCACCACACACTCGTATGGATCATTTTCCTGCCGAGAAAAATCTTTTTGTTCGTGTCTTCAAATGTAAAACATCAACCATAATTTAATTTAAACTTTAACATAACATAAAAGATTTACATCATCGATGGGAATATCGTGGTGGTAGTTGGGAAGTTCCACGTCAAGCATGGAGTGGAAGGCTGCTTTTCCGCCTTCAGCGTCTTCTAATGCGACTGAACATAGAACGAGGTGCAAGCCTGAAAAGCACATTTAAATAAGTTTTATTAATACGTAACCAGCGCCCCTAATAAATACTGGATTAAATAAAAATGTGTAAATAAATCTAACTAAGACATTTCAAGTTTTAAACCGTTAAGTGTTTTATTTAAAAGTGTGCTACTCGCGTAAAGTACAGATAGTACTTAAATAAAATCAGTGGTTTTTGGCTGATTAGTGATCAAGATCATCCCAAGGATTGATGATCGATGCAAACCTGTTTGAAAATCACCCTGTTCGTGCATAATGTGTTGAAAGTTTGTCACCGCGTCACGAAACTTGCCCATGCGCACTAATAATAAACCGATGTTATGCATTACCTTCATTCTGAAAGATGAAAATTTTTAATATATAAATTTGAAAAGTATTTTTTTAATTACATAAGAATTGCCGACGTTTTATCACAATTATATAAGTTAACTTTAAATAGGTAACAAAAGCAAATTTGTGTAAACATATAAAGACAGACAAAACATGAAAAGTTATACAAAAACAGAGTGAATGCTAAATTGTACAAAAAGGAAACATTTTCAATAATATGTAATTACTAAGATATAAAATTACAGTGGAATCTCTATTCTACTCTCGAACTTCAAAAAGAAGACTCTTTAAGTCGAACTTAGTAAAATGTAATGACGTCTTACTTGGACTTTGAAATAGTAGCAATAAAACCAAAAAGGAATGTTTGGTATAGGTTTTGGATTTCTAATCTATAGTTTATGTCTTGTATACGTGCAATGAATGACCATAAAAAAATTCTAAGTAACACATTTGGGTATCTTCTGATTGTTCTCTGCCGGTCAGTACATACATATTTGGTTCTGAACTAGCAACAACATGGGTACTAAGAGGAAGTTAAAGACTTTAACTCTATGTGAAAAAAAAACGACGTTATCAACTGCTATGTAATTTGATTTAATAAATAAATGTGTACCATAAAACTTAAATCGAATTGTTGTATAACTTCTACAAATCGAAAAAAATAGTTAGAATCCGTACTTTACTAAGCCATAGTTTTAGCAAATAAATCCTTTATATCTCGAAATTGTTAAGTCTTGTTAAGTCGAAAACTCATTAACTCGATTTTTTTATCATTTCCTTTGAAGTTCGAGATATTGAGATTCCACTGTTGGTTGTCATCAATAGATTAAGATGAGTTTGAAGCAACAGATAAGGTTCTATTGACGAATAATCGTTTTAAATTATTAGTATACAGACAGCAGTAGAAGGCACAGTTTAATTTTAAAATGTCTATCAGAGTACTTATCAAAACCAGGTGATTGTGACAAAGGACAACACTGCAACACAACTATTTTCAGAGAAAAGACTATTAGGTACAGTAACAATGAATACCTCAAGTCCTTTTCAGCAGTCGGCGTCTGGTCTAACGCCATTCTATACAGCTTAAGGGCTTTCGGATGTTCACCCATCTTGAAGTGAATATTACCCATGTTTACCTGAAAACGAATATACTTTTCTCAAATATGCTACAATATCTGAGCATTATTTTGACAAAATTCTCCGAGATAAATCGAACTTGCTGTTCTGTTCGAGCAGCGGCCGGCATTAGTTGTATGAAAATCTATATGTCGTGTATACCGGCCAAGTACATTACTATGTAAAATCATGTTTGTCATGTTGCAAGATGGCGACCAAAGAGAAGTTATCAAAGGTTTGTTTTAAATTTCAAATTAGGCTAGCACATAAAGCACGTTCATCCATCAAAGTCACTCTTGTCGACCGCTACAGTAATATACTATTATTTTATTTAAAGAATAATAGTGAAAATATCCTACTAACCTTCAATCTATTCGCGTGAGGGAATAACTTATTTCTAGTTAGTAATTGATAAGTGTTTAACGCTTCTGTATACATCTCGTTGAGGGCGTACTGGTCGGCCAAATTGCAGAGGACCTGGAAGTTTTTAATAGGATCATGTTTTTAAATTCGAACGCTTGCGTAGCTAAATGGTTGAACGGGCCTAGAAAATTGCGTTAAGCGAGAGTTGCTGGGTTCCAATCCAAAACTATAATTTTTTTCTATTCGGCAGGGCACGTAAGTGTGATCAACTATATTCTAGAGAACTATATTCACTTACACAAAACGTTAGATCCAAATTGTGGGAGTCTCCTAGATTGGCTTGCTCCTGCATTCTTATTAGTTGCCTCTCGAGCGTTGAGGCCTCCTGTGCTTTGCCTAAAGCCTAGAGACAAAAGTTTTAACTTCGTAACGTGGACCGTATCCACGCTCGACCGAAACTATTTTTTTATTATATCTGAAATGTAAGTTCTTTACACAAAGAGGCATCATGAAGAAATAAAATACTATTTTACATTTTAAAAAATAAGTACCCAGGTGGGACTTTAAACTTAGACCAACAGCTCTTACATAGCTCTTGTCATAATTCAAATTACATCAATGGTTTAAACATCGACATTGCGATTAAAATCTCCTAACATATGGCTAAAAAGCGTCATCTACCTGCGAAAGTTCTTGTTCCCTCTTGTTAGAGCTTGACTCATCTTCGGAAGGAGATCGAGCGCTAAGCATGCAAGATTCTTCAACGAGCACCATTATTTTGGCTTCCATCTGTTTTATTTTATCTTCAATCCTGGAACGTATTTGAAAAGCTCATTAAGGTAATTAGTTATAATATCAGAACAAATTATTTTTCTTTCCGGTTGAATTAAACATAAAGGCGTGAATAGGTTTTTGTTGAAATAAATGTAAAAAGAAAATACATTACCCCCTTCATTAAGATTAACCCAAAAAAATAGCTTGAAGTCAATTTAAAATTATCAAACGTTTTGCTAAGCTATTTGGCTTTCGAGCTGTTCGGCCGTCGTAATTTAGAAATGCTTCTCGACGATTGGCTGACATCAAATGTTAAACGGTCCTCGACTTCCTAAACCATAAATCAATCTTAGAAGTAAGAATGATACAGCAACAACTTACGTGTCTTCTCTTTTCTCTTCTTTAGCACTGATATCTCTTGTGTTCGACGTATAACCAGCTGCTCTATGCGCAGTGACAGGTCGTGTGCTAGCCGTACCTGCGCGGGAACCGGCGCGTAGACTAGTAGTCCCCAAACGAAACATCTGACAAACAATCATTGGTGCACTAAGTATCTTTTCTTCCTTTTACATAAAATCTATTAATTTACTCTTTGAAATGAGTTAAATAAAAAACATACACAAAATCACGTAACCCTAACACATTTGAAATATTATAATCAATCTGTTCCTATAATCTATTTGAAAGTAATGAAATTGGCTTTATGATAAATCTGTCGTATAAATTCTAAATAAACAACAATTTTGAAGCACTAAACTCTAGTTGTATAAAATGATATTCCGCTTACCCCAGTTCCCATTCTACTTGGACCTTGTCTTCCGATGCCCGCTGTCCTCAAAGTTTGCTGTAAAGCGGTGTCTTCACGAACACTCCTTGTATCCAATGCTGGTGGCACGTCATTGAAGCCGGAGTATAAGTCATCATCATCGTCTATCACCATCGCAGTGCGAGGTTTATCCATACCCTTAGATGTGCTGTACCGCGATCCAAACATAGCTTTAAAAGACTTAAAGATACAAGTTTAAACGTTGTCTCAAATGCACAAGCGACGTGATTTGTTGGGACGCTGTAACCATGGAAACAAGATGTAAACATTGCATTGACGTCATGAAATTATTATTATTAATCGTGTGACGTCATCAGCTGAATTTTCGTTTTGTTCGCGTTCGCAGATCACTGCTGCCAAATTTCCCATTACAGGAATAAGTAATGGGAGGACTTAGTTTTCAAAGAATATTGTTATTAGCGATAGTAAAATGATTACCAAATATTACAATAGTAAAATTTTAAGGAAAGAAGAAACAGAAGAAGCTGCTGCAAAGCATCCGAAACGTCGGATAAAGTTAAAAATCATTTTCAAATAAGTTTAACGAATATATCACGTTTTAAACCGTTAAAGTGTTTTATTTAAATAAAGAAAAATAGAGTTGAATAAAAGCACCAATGCGTTTTTAATTCGTTTTATTACGTAAATCACCAATATCCGTTACAATCAAGTTCCTTCTCATTATCGTCACACCAAAAAAAACGTTAATAAAAACAAATCGGATACGATCACAAAATAAAAACACGAGTAAAACATACAAAAAAAACAGTGCTATTGGAAGACACTGACCGCAGACTATTTCAACGCGAAAGATTACATTTCTAAAAGTACACCTTCCTATCAAATAAACGTCTTAAAATTAAACGATCGCTTAGCCCACTCCTTTCAGTTCCCGCTGTTCAAATACCATTCAAAATAGTGGATATAAAAATATGGGGAATATTACATTTTAGAAATCACCATTCGGGCCGCAAACGATTCACGACACCAACCCAAACATGAAAGATGATTAAGTGACCCTAAAGACTAGTAAATTAATGTCATTAACGTTTTGTACAATTTCGACTTATCACTAGGATAACACGATAAACTAATAGAACTCTGAAGTGATCGTTAACATAGATATGACTTAGATGTACGTTATTAACACACAAATAACAATAGATGCCACAAATCATACACCAAATCACTCACAGACAACAAAATTAAACCACATTAACGTTTGTTATGATTTGCAAAGTCTCATTTTTAATTGTACGTCAAATATACTTACGCTACATCGATATAACTACGCGGTTACACGAACGATAATTGATTATAAAATTATTTAATATTTTATATTAATACATAAGCCCGGATAATATTATTGCAGTTTAATTTTGCTCAAATTATCCTCTCACTTCACTGTACTCTTAAGATGCAACCAATATTTTTGGTAGATTATGTAAATAATTCATCTGATCAACGTTTCATAGCCTCTTGCTTACAAGCTACATTTCAATGAGTGCATGCCCATATTGATTTCATGTAAAGTGTAAATTCCTTTAATACGTCCAAATGATAATATAACTATGTTTATTTACATAAAACGATCGTAAAACTAAAACGAGTTTAGACATTTGACTACGTGGCATAATATAATATGTGCAACTCGATATAACTATTGTCGTACCACTTTTATTAATTGCAGAGCGACGTTACTTCGCGGTTTATAGGCTTTTAGCTAGAGTGTTCCTTGGCGAAATTACTGCTAAAAAAAATCTAACCAAATCGAAAGATATTATTTATGAATCTGGTATCTATTTGGTGACAAAAAGTACATTTAATTGACATAACTCTATGTTCGAAAACTTTAACATTATGGAGTTATTTAAATTAAACACTTTAACGGTTTAAAAACCTTATTTGAAAATGAGTCTCCCCGTGACCACGGCTGCTGCAAAGCATCCGAAACGTCGGGCCGAAGTTAAAAATCATCAAGTTTAACCAATATATCGCGTTTTAAACCGTTAAAGTGTTTTATTTATGTGTACTACTCGCGTAAACTATAGACAGTATTATGTATATTTTGATGGTCACTAAGCTAGGTGACGGCACGAATGCTCGATGTGTACCAAGTTACACTACACGCCTAGTATCTAATCAGTACCCAGCTTAACGTCGCCCTACAATCGAAGCGATTGAGACATAAATGCTTTATTTCTGTAAGGTAAAGAGTAAGGGAGTTAGGGTCACAGATCACATATCGAAGCACCAATGTATACCACAACTCAAGCACGCTGTTACACTACAATATACACAACACAATATTGACTGATTCTTCCACTTATAGGAGTAGGTCGTTACCACTAAATGGTGTGCCATAAATATGATTGCGGCGTCTTTTTAGTGAGTCCACGTAAGAGCATAACAATATTTGAGATCATTTTTGAAGTCTTATCACTTTGTACTATAACCAGCTAACTATAATTTTTGAGCGTGATTTGAGCTTCCCCGGGCCATAGCCAAGTCAACCCATCAATGTTCTACTGCTGGATTAGGTTTTTCTCCCATGGTACGAGAGAGAACACCTCTTACATCCAAGCCCCGGGCTGGTACTAGAAGTTACCTCTAAACAAAATAAAGATGATTATTTCTTTTCGATCTTCATTATAGTTTTAGAATTGACTTGGCTAAAACACCTGTTGCCTATTGAACCGCGACCATATTCATGTCACCGGACACACAGTATGATATAATAATATCTTAAACCGTATTCTTATAATTAGATTGCGCAAGAGTCGCGCTAGATTTGAGTGGAGAAACGTGGCCTAGGCAGCTCGAATACATCTCCGTGGACCGAGCGAGCCAGGGCTTTGATGCTAGCAGCTATATCTTGTGGCTCCTCCTGGTGGTCACAATTGTGATATTTTAATATTACTTCACGATCTCGTATTTTATAGCTCGTATAGTTATTACCCTAAGTGGGACGTGGGGTACACACTCCTGTGACAGTTTAATGGTCAATGTGTATGTTACACATGTAGACGAAATAATAAAAATAGGAAATAAAGTTCGTTTACTCGAGACAAGTATATAATAATACTTTTTACATTACCTAAACGATTCCACAATACTCAGAATTAATTATGCGAACAACGATAGTTTTCTAAGGTCCCAGAAGTATATACGTACATAGTCGTCGATATCCAGTTGCGTGTTCCTTTCGCCGGGAACATTTGGCATATTGACAGGTAAAGATCTGGCCATGTCGATTGCGGCTGCGCCTCCACGAGGTCGGGTTATGTGGATGCCTTCGTCGCTGCCCTCGGCTAAGAAATAATATCAATTTTAATACATACATTAGCTTTGGATATACGGAAAGTCAAAGATTGAAACCGGAACGCGAGCCACATTCACGGCTTTTTCATCTGTGGACGGTGGTTCGTGGCCAACAGATTTCTAACGAAGTCCAACATGTTCCAGAAGTATAAATCTATTAGAATCATCTTGGATACAATAGGGTACGAACCCACGACCCGTTGATTATTAACCATACATGACATTACTTAACTTGTGATTAACGCTACGTTAGGCAATACATTTAACAAATGAGTGGCCTACAAATGTTGTCTGGTCTAGGTTATTGTTTAATTTTTTGGTCTAAAACTTAATAGCGACATGGTTAAGCTATTTAAGTTTTACGAATATCTAAAGCCAAAATAAGGTGACAGCGCACCTTGTTAAGATGTTATATGGCTGGGGTGTTTCTATATATTCTCTATTGAGTCACTTACGATCGGAATCATAATCATCGAAATCCGACACCATATTCCGGGAGTCCATGCCTTCCAAATCGAAGATGTCCTCAGCATCCAAGGAATCCTCTTCGTGTTGAATATGCGCATTGCTCTGTTTAACGAAATAATTTCATTAAAAAAATCAATCTAATGTATAACTATACTATACTAATAGATAGTGAAAAGCTGAAGTTTAGTAATATTCTAAGCTTAACCGCGTTAATCTAACCACTGGAAATTTTTCTTTTTGATTTTCCAGCATTTAACTAAGAATACTTTAAATTATAGCCCTGCGACTAATAGAAGCAAAGAAACAGCGGGAAATGTGGAAAAAGGGCGAAATTCTTCATCTTTTCCGTTGCGCTTGCTGCGAAAACGGTTCAAGACATCCAAAAAATAAATATGAAAGAATGTTTCCTGTTGTCTGCAACAGTATATATCTTCTTTTAAGATTAACTTGCAAGACCGACAAAAAACCATTTATATTATTGTATAACAATTACAATAATAATAAAAATTATTTTTTAATACTGAACTGTAATGGCATGTGATGGTGTTTTTATTATATATTTAGCTAAGATTTTCAATTACTTCAACAACAACTCAGTTAAAGAAACAAAGTTTGCTTACTTCAAGTATACAATAGTTATTTTTACATTTCCTAAATCATGTTAACAACCTTAACGACGTTGTGCGTGAACTTCTTGGCGTCTTTAAGGGAAGAAAGCCTCCTCCTCTGTAGGGGAGGAGCAAGTGGCGACGGAGGTCCATTGTCGATGTTGTTATTTACCCAACCATCATTTTCTGTGTTTGTACGTGCTTTGTTTATTATGCTGAAATACAATATGCCTTTTAAATTACTTACTTCTTAAGAAATAAACATAAATATATTAGTTGTAATAGTCAAGTAATGTTTACGTTTTGGGTGCTTTGCAGCAGCCATAATCACGGGAGACTATGCACAGCAAGGTCGAAATAATTTCCAAATAAGTTTAATTAATATATATCGCTTTTTAATTCATTCAAGTGTTTTATTGAAATGTGTACAACTCGCGTAAACTACAGACAGTATTTAAGTATAGTTACGATTTTTGCCCCTATTTCAAAATGATTTTGCTAGCTATTTTTTTGTTATACTAGCAATGTATAATTCAAAAGCATAACATGAATAATATCATTTCAGATTAATTATTGAAATATGAGAAACACACATTCAGCATTTAATAAGTTTCATTGCCTTAAACAGCAATCAGTCTGCTGTTTACAAAAGTATCATCTTTCTAGGTAACATCCAATATGAATTTGTACAAAATTGTGTTATGAGCATATTTTAATACCATTACATTTATACCGTAATTAACATTTCTTCTGATCCAAGTATTCACAGGCAAGTTTAAATTTGGGTGTATCCAAATACAATAATGGAATTATAAAGATAAACATATGACACTTTATTATCCTAAATGAACTTTATTTGCAACAAAAAAAAAAAAAATAGAGGTACCTTGCAAGAACTTTGTGATCTCTTTGCGCTCTTTCCCTGTAAGCTTCATACTCTGCATACTTTTGCTCTTTGTACTGTCTTACCATCTCTTCAATGACTTCTAATTGTGATTGAAGCGACTGATTTAACTGTTTTCTCAGTCCTATTGCTGCCATTGATGTCAAATTGCTTTTGTTGCTCAGTAATTGGTTATTTGTGTCTATATTTTCTTTCATATCAACATTCAGCTCGGGTACCAATAAATTGAAAACGGGGGAATAATTTGTTAACTTCTTTAGGTTGTTGATGTTTTCTTGAGTTGTCTGTAAGATTTATAATATAAAAAAATCTATCCACTTTTAATGGCAAACAACAATAACTTATTGTGTATGTTAGAAGAAATAAAATTATGCATCTTGTAGAGAAGTTCATACCTGTAGCGACTTATTGATAAGTGCCAGATCTTTCTCTTGTAGTTTAGCAACAAAAGTTTGCCCACAGGCTAAACACGATTCTAAAGACCATGGGCCTACAGAGCGGACGCCAATGAGTGCAGGTTGAATAATATTGCTTCTCACTGAACTTAACTGGCAAGAAATCAGCTTCTACAAAAGACATACCCAAACTATAAACAAATAAACACCTTTTATAGTTTATCTAAGCCAGCCCCAAGGAAAAGTAGTTAGGACTATATTTCTGGACATGACATAATGTAGGTTACATTTGCAATTACAATTTCAAAATGCATTTTTTTTTTATATCAAGACAATATAAAGTACTATTAGAAGTAAACAAACACTGTTATCAGAGATCGGTGGATTAAAAATGCTATAAATTATATAACGCCGACAGTATGACAACATAATGAAAATGGCATAAACAAGTTACCAAAATAACCTTTGTTTTACAATATTATAATGTATTCAAGTAGATGTATGAACTTGTTTACTTAAATCATCTGACAATTTATCGTAGTCGGCTATGAACTATTTTCGACGGGTATTTGCATAAGAAATTAACGATGAATAAAAAATAATATTAAATACATAATAAAAATAAATGGAAATAAAGATAATTTGATATACTCTAAAGTCAAGGTTGAATTATTATTATGTTTACGATTTGCACTTACCTCATTGAAAAAAGTATCTCTTTGTTCCGTCGGAGATAAGTCCCGTCTGTTGATATCAGTGATTTCTTCTATTTTTTCACTTTGTAGAGTTACATTAAGGCATTTACAAACGCAGAGAGCCATATTTTAAAACAAAATGTATAAAAACTAATCAAATTATATAAAATATACGCGAGTCAATCGCTTAAAGTAGGTAGGTATCAAAGAGAATATCAACTCGAGAGAATAATACATATATATAAGTACAACTACACGATCTAGTATATAACACCACAAGCAAGGCAAAAACACTAAATACTTGTTTGTTGGATAGTGAACTTTAATGTTATCTAACTAAGCTACTAATCCTTTGTCTATATTATATAGTTAGTGCGAACATAACATAGATATGATTAGTGTTGTACCTTTTGTTAAAGAGTATAATTATCCATGCTCATATTGTAGATGTAAGTTTGGACATTATCTGTAAAATTGATGTCAAACCTTCAATCCGAAACTGTCAGAAGTTGACAGTTTTCAGCTATCACTCGGTGGCTTCAAGTTACAACTTTAGAACATTTGTTGGAAGTTAGACTTGTTTGACTCATGTGGGTTGTTTTGTAATAATTTGTGTTTACGTGTTAATTTTTTATATGTAATATAACTAAACTTATCATAATCACGTAGCTGCCATCACATGCCAATAGTAGGAAAAAAAATCAAGTCTATACTCGTATTGGTAATCACCGGCTTTGTTAACATTTAAGGTACCCAACGATTTGCGAAAATGTCCAAAAGAAATCAACCTAGTTGGACTCCGCCAGCGAGGCAGGAAAACGGCGCAGTTTTAAAATTATTTAATAGTCTTACCAGACAAAAGGAAATATTCCAATGCTCGAAAGGAAACCGCATTAACTGGTACAGCTGTGGTCCAACAGTTTACGATGCTTCACATATGGGACATGCAAGGTATTTTTTAGCTAGGTTACAACTTCTCTCTTTTATTGCTCATTGTTGTGTATTATCGCATGGAGGACCTAGAGAGCTAAAAATCCTGACAAGTACTGTGACAGACCCTTAAGTATATACAATAATACAATTAACAGATTCTTTGTATTTGTCAAAGAGAGAGATGTACTTTTTTTTAACAGGCCCGGTGAAGAGACTCACTCCTTAACAGAGGCTGTTCAAAATTTAATGTATTTCTTAATTTTTAAGCAACAGCACCAACACATTTTATTCCTTCTATTAAATCAATTTCAGGTCATATATATCATTTGATATCTTAAGGCGAATATTGTCAAACTATTTTGGTTATGACATACTATTTGTAATGAATATTACAGATATTGATGATAAGATAATAAAGAGAGCAAGGCAAAACTATCTCTATGAGAAATATATAGAGGAGGAAAGAAGTTTGAATAACTTATTAGATGATGCAACCGTCGTTGTGGATTACTATGGAGAAGTAGTGAGAAATACTGCTGATCCAGATAAGAAAACATCCTTGCAAAAGCCCCTGGACAAGTATGTATATCATTATCACTTGTCTAATAAAATTGTAAACAATTAAGAATTATAACTAATTGATTTCTAAGAATTCTTGAGACTATGTTATCCTTTCTCTTTTTTTTTTGTAAAGTAAATGTTTTTTTAATAAATTACTTCTATTATTTCCTACACATATGAAATCCATGAAAATTGGGCTAGCCCTTCTTAGTTAGGTACTTAGTTACGTAGGTTTTTAACCACTGGAGATTAATTTCTCATTTGAAATTCTTTTAGTGTTGCAAACGCTGTGCAAAGACTAAAATTAGCTGTGGAAACAAAGGATGAAGAAAAAATTTTTATTGCTAAGACTGAAATGCTTAAGTCAGCTAAGGATCCCTTATCTGAATGGTTAGATAGTAAATATGGAGCTGATATTAAGGATAATGCAATATTTGTGAAACTGTCTAGGCATTGGGAGAATGAGTTTCATAAAGACATGAAAGCCCTTAATGTAAGTTAAATAAGGTAAAATAGACACTTAAGTTACATATATACTTGTTTTAAATATTGAACAGTTTTTTTCTGTTTTAGTCAATATAACTAACAAATTACCTTTATATTTGTTTTAGATTCTACCCCCTGATGTATTAACAAGAGTAACTGAATATGTACCGCAGATTGTAGCATTTATAAAGAAAATCATAGATAATGGCTTAGCGTATGAGTCTAATGGTTCTGTATATTTCAATGTTTGTGAATTTGACAACAGTGGGAAACATCACTATGCCCGCTTAGTACCTGAAGCATATGGAGACACTAAAAGTTTACAAGAAGGGGAAGGTATGTATGAGTGCTGTATATTACTCTGGTAATGTATAAATCTTATCATATATTATTATATAGCTTGACCAATATGGATAAAACTTAGCATATCATCGTTTTTCGGGCTGTTCGGCCGACTTGAGCAAGCGTCGTTTCGCCATCACAAGTGGATGAGAATAATTTAATTCTTAGAGCAATCGAGGAGCTTAGATCTGATCCGTCGATGTTGATTGTTGAAACGACGAGTATCTCTTCACGCTCAATCGACCGAATACCTCGAAAAATACATAAAAAATGATAGCCGTGAAAGCCTTACACGCTATGGATAAAATTTTATGTATTTGTTTAACCTGGAGTAGGACCTGCTGGGACTTTTACACCTACAAAACAATATATTATAATTTTATAGGGGACAAAACAATATAATAAGCAAGAAAATTCTAATTGATAATTCATATATAGTAATGGTACCATTACATTAAATGTCTGATGTTAATTTTAAGTACAACCTAAAGCTATGTTTATGCAAATTGAAATGAAATACCAATGTTAATATGTTTCTTATCACAAAGCACATTTTATAAATATAGAATGTTGTGATGTGTAGAACTATGTGATGATAACATAGTATATTGACCTATTTAAAATATTTTATACCTTTATCCAGTAGTATATATTCTCTAGTATGTATTTAACTTTTTAGGTGACTTGGCTGATGAAAATTCTGAAAAGAAATCACCAAACGATTTTGCCTTATGGAAGAGGAGCAAAGCTGGTGAGCCTTCCTGGGATTCGCCTTGGGGACAGGGGCGTCCAGGATGGCACATAGAATGTTCTGCGATGGCAGGCGATGTCTTTGGCTCCAAATTGGATATTCATACAGGTGGTGTGGACTTAAAGTTTCCCCACCATGACAATGAAATGGCGCAAAGTGAGGTCTGTTGATTATTTTGTTTGTTTGTGACTCTTTCTGCTAGCGATCTTGAGTATATATATGTCACAAAATATATTTTAAAGTTATAATATTTTCACGTAGCTTTTTGCGTATATAGATGGCGCCACTAAGCTTCTCTAAAGGATTCATTCTGATATTGAATTTGATACATTTAATATTCTTCCGGCAGTGATAAATTTAATTTTAATATTATATACACAAAAAAATACCCCCTATGATGTTAACTTCTGTATTTACCAATACTATGTAATTGAAAACAGTTTTATGTTTTTAGGCATATTATGATGAACCTGGCTGGGTGAATTACTTCCTTCATACAGGACATTTGACTATAGCCGGATGCAAGATGTCAAAATCTTTTAAGAACTTCGTAACAATATCGGATGCACTGCAGCGCTATACTGCTAGGCAGTTGCGTATTGCTTTTCTATTGCACAGTTGGAATAACACCCTCGACTATTCTGATAATACTATGGAAATGGCGATACAAACGGAAAAAATGTTCAATGTAAGATTTGGTTATTTTTAGACATAATAATTTAAATAATTAACATATTTAGCAATAATATAGGTTTATAACAAAAGCTATTTTATCTGTATTAGTAGGATATTTAAATTAATAATCAATTAATAAATTAAAACTAATTTAACTAGGAGTTTTTCCTGACTGTGAAAGATTCACTGCGTAATGGATATGATGAAGGCTGCGGAGGTGTCTGGGATGAACAAGAACAGCAGCTCTCTGATAAACTATCTGCCGTAAAGGAACAGGTTCATGAGGCACTTTGTGGTAAGATTTATTTGTATGAGAGTATCTTAAGAAAGTAAATATTGGTTGTTTAGAAATAATATCATTTAAGGACTGTCTGTAGTTTACGCGAATAGAACATATTTAAATAATTCTTTTAACGGTTTTAAAAGCGAAATTATTAAATATAAACGAATACATTGCACGTTTAATTAAAAAATTAACTCATAAATAAAACAGAATTCTCAAATTAAAAGTTAATTGTAGGTCAAAATTAAGTCCTAAATAAATAGAATTTAAAGTTTATAGAGCATGATACCATTCAGTTGTTCACATTACTGTGTAGTTGTTGCTTATGTTAATATTGAGTTTTGATCGTCTTTCTGCTTTACACATTCAGTTTAGATCCTGTCAATGTTAGTGTTCCGTAACAGAGAACTTATTTTATTTTAATTAATTAATAGACAATATTGACACAAGAAGCGCGCTTGACGCGTTGCGCGAGCTCGTGGGAGCGGTGCACGTCTACCTTCGTAATACCACGCCGCGCAATTCACCCATCCTTGCGGCCGCCGCGCGGTACGTCACCGACATCCTCCATATATTTGGCGCTATCGATGGTCCTCGAGGGCTTATTGGCTTCCCAGTTGGTGACGCTACTAATGCTGGTGTAAGTATCTTAAGCTCAGTATACTTAGATGTATATTGGTAAAAATAGATTTAATATGATAACTCTAAATACTGCAGAATGATATAGGAAATATAGAAAGCACTTGGAGTAAGCAAAGTTGACGAAATCATATTTTTTTTTATTTTTATGAAAGACGAGGACAGACAAACGTGGAGTTCACACGATTGTAGGTTAAATACCCCAGCTAAATAACACCTAAACAAGATACGCGATAGGTCGACAACCTATTCTAGCTTTGGATATACAGAAATCCACAGACTGAAACCGAAATGCAATTAAATTTGATTTTTCATCTGTGGACAGTGGTACGTGAATCGGACGGAATTTAGATATGTCTACCAATACTCCAAATTTCCAAACAAAGTCCAACGTGGATGTTTCAGAAAAAAATATAATTAAGTTTAAAAATGTCGTATCCGTTGGGGATCGATACGTCGTCCTGTTGATCAACATATATATAGCACAATACATGTCTTAAACATATGAGTCAAGAAATACAAATCTTTAATAAGAAGCTACTCGGGTCTGTCATCTCTTGGTGTTGTCATCGATTTTTGGTGGCATTTTTTAATTCTGATGGCTGAATGAAAACCCTCACTAACTTTGCAGCTTGAGGAAGCAGTTATGTCGTACTTAGAGGCTTTGAGCACTTTCCGTGGGTCGGTGCGGGATGCAGCTCGCAGTGCTGGTGCCACAGAGGTGTTGGCTCTCTGCGATGCGCTCAGAGATGTAGTTCTACCCGAACTTGGGGTCAGACTGGAAGATAAGCCAGGTTGGTTGCTGGATTATTTAATTAATAATTACGATATGTAGTCGCTAGAAGCAAAATAGCCTAACTGTAATTTTATGACTCTAGTTTTAAATATTTTTATAGTCTAAAAATGATAATCTACAAGAGAATTGTTAACACAATTCTTACACAAATAATAGTACAAATTCATTTTCTTTTTAGTTAATTGCGCAGTTTTCTTTTTCTCACTGAATATCATATTTTTTGTCATTAGGTCTTTGTGCCTCAAGCAGCCTTATATATCTTTAAACGTTATCATTTATTTTAGTTTTTACAAAAATATACATGGAAGGAAATCTAAAAAATATAATCTGGGTTGACTTTTCACAATCTTGTTTTAAATTAGAATTTAAATGGTATATAGTCAAAAATCTATTCACGAAGGTATAATTTATTTTTAGACCGTACGATAGTCAAACTAGTTAGCAAAGAAGAAATCGCACGCGAACGAGAAGAGAAGAAACGTGTCGAGGCAGAAAAGCAAAAGAAGAAGGAGGAGTTGCTAAAGGCGCAGAAAGCAAAAGAGGAACAGAAGAAGATACCACCACAGGAAATGTTTCGACGCGAAACTGACAAGTACTCACAGTTTGATGACAAGGTAATTGAGATGACAAAACTAGCTTTTGTCAATATACCTACTAAAAACTATGCTCCTTGTTCAAAAAGAGAATGTTACCAAATTGTGTAAGTACTGTCTATAGTTTACGCGAATAGTGAACATTTAAATAAAACACTTAACGGTTTAAAACGCGATATATTAGTTAAACTTGTTTTTAACGTCGGCCCGACATTTTGATTCCTGGATACTCTGGATCCCAATAAACAGCATACCGGCAAATGCGAAGACACCGTTAGTCAATTCTGTAAGGACCCGGCCAGTTTCGCCAAATACCAACAAGATGGCGCTAGCGTAGCAATTTTTTAATTTGACGTCATCCAAAGCATCCGAAACGACGGGCCGAAGTTAAAAATAATTTTCAAATAAGTTTAACGCGCGTTAATTTTAAATATATCGCGTTTTGAACCGTTAAAGTGTTTTATTTAAATTGTGTAAAGCAAATTAAAGATAATTTAGAGACCTTCCGTAGTTACTAAGTGAGTATTTTTACAACATTTAAAGACCGAAATAATATCGTAGGTATCTTAAGATCAAGTTTTGCGAGTGACTGCAGGAAGCGTTCGTTGCAGAACAATCAACAATGATACATCGCTTTTTAATTTCGTAAAATAATTGAAGTAATTCTAAAAGATGAAAAGGTTCATTTCAAAACAAGGAAATAGTGTTAAATTTACATAAAAATGTTATCGTTCCTAGGGTCTCCCAACACACGATCTCGAGGGTAAGGAGCTGAGTAAAGGCGCGCTAAAGAAACTACAGAAGTTACAACAGGCCCAAGAGAAGAAATACAATGAATATCTCGCTTCTCTTAATAACTCGTGATTTTGTTCCATATTTATGTTTTATTTTTAATTTAATATTTACCTTTGGAAGAGCGTCACAAGTATTGTTAAATTAAATCTTGTTGGAAATTGATTAACATAAGATTTGTGACTGTAAAAATATGCCAATATACATATATCGTTTATATTAAAGTATTAAATTCATGTTTTTCATTTATAATTATGTTAGCATAATTTTTATGTATATTTGCTTCCCACTAACAATATAAATACAGGTATTTGTGTGTTTCAAAGTTTTGTTTACTTAAATGTTAAATCTACGTTACTAAAGTCGCTGTGCTAATAAATTATGGTATTTGCTGATGCAAAATGGTTTTGTTTTATTTTTTACTTTTTAAGAGATCAAGTAGATATATTGAATATATAAGTGTTAAAAAAAAGCGTTGCAAAAGTGGGAGTCTTTATTAAAAACAAAAGACATAAAGACAAACAAAGAAAAATAATCTAGCTTATGAATTGATTTGCTTACCTTGTGTATTAAAACTTAATATTCTAGTGCTTAAAAGTTACTTAACTCAAAGTATTGAAGGGTTTTATTGCTCAGTTGAGAAGTGAAGGACAAACAAACACACTTTATTGTTTGTATGTATTATCACATACAAACATCATACATCTCATGTTCGTAATATTTTAGGAAGGGCTTAACATGTTTGTTTGATAAAAAAAGCGATGAAGCGACAATATTTTAGAAACCACCAAATTAAAATGCAATAAATATCAAAATATGGGGTACAAATCCAGCGATTATTATCTAATATCGATACGAAATGAAGCTTCGAACAACAATGGCGCACGCTTGAATGAAATCCGCATTCAGATCGCCGCGTGCGACGAAAATACACTTATAAAGGTGCACGGTAGTTTTAAAAAAGGTAAAAAGTGAAGTAAACAATCTGGGTTGAGTTTTTTGTTCGACAATGGTGTTTTAGTGGGGTGGCACAAGTAGCGCACGAGACCATGCATCTGTATTGGGTTCTATTTATATCTGGAAGCTATCGTGGATAATTAAAACGTTTTGGTCACACCATTTATATATTTTAGAGTAATTTCAAGACACTCTTCAGGGTTAGTGGGAGGTGAAATTTGTACCTTATGTGTAAAGGAATACGTGAAAAAAGGTACATTTTATGCAAATTGAGACACGTTTACTTAATTAAATTTAATAACTTACGTGAACGATACATAGATGGAGGTCTTGTTGAAGTAAAACCGCCATTTAATAGACAATCGTAAGGTTTGAATTCTAAGGAAAAGTAACAAATAAAGTAAGCAGTTTAATTGGTCTACTCATAGAAATATGCTTATTTTCTTGCCCAATCTATATGTAGAGGAAACGTTTTTTGGTTACCTTAAACTACATAGGTATTTATTATCATATTCTTAGTTACAACAAAAAATAAGTTCGCGAATCCTAGGAAATATTATTAATTATGTGCACATATATTTATATAAAACCAATCTACTTTAGATTAGAAAATTGATTCCAGGACTGAAGCTACAATCAAATAACAACAAATACTACGTTAACAGCGTTCCTTGCTAATACTGTGCCAATTGTTGAATTAGTTGAGCAAGAATGCAAAATAGCATTAAAAAATCTAAATTAGTAACAAGGACGGAAATATATCTTCTCTATGTCTAATTATTGATGAGGGAACTTTTGTATTCTACTCCAGTATGACTAGTTCTAAACCTAATAGGCTCTACAATTAACAATTTTATTATAAACTATAATCGATAAAATTTTAAGTGAATACCTAAGTATAAATATTTAACTATAGAAGTAAAAAGGGATATTGTTAGATTTATGTACAAAATCTATTCACTTACTAATTACATCGAGACTGCGTGAGAAAAAGATGTACTGAACTACAGAAGCAAGTTTAAGTATATTTCTAGTCGATCTTATCATTTATTAAAAAGATTTATTCTAGCGTACACGTACATTTCAAATACGTCACTCCGAGTTTCAATTGACCAAAATAACGGACTCTCTCAAGATTTCTGAATAAATGCAAAATAATTAAAATAGGTTTTTGATTTGATCGCAATCTTGGCTCCTCAACAATGGCGTAGGGAAGTCGGGGTTGGCCGCAGGGGTGACAGTCAAATGTATAGTGCAGCGGTTGACCGCCTAGCGAGATGTCAATCATTTGAATATTCAAGAACAAGATTTACTATTGCATTTCGCGATTACACTAACCTTATTATAATGAATCAACGAACTGAAACTTGCGAGAAAACTGCTTTTTCGCTAACTTTTTACTAAGGTTTCATCACGGATTAGTTCTTGCGGAATTAACTTATAACGGTCGGTGAATATTGTGTAATTTTTTTTGACATCTACATTTTTAACAATGGCTCGAACGGTGCCTATTGATAAGTATTGAATCACTTTAAAAATACTTACTTAAATATATTTGACATTTTATTTATTCGTTTCCATACAACATATATGCTTAATTGGATACTATAATATACATATATTAAAACATTGATTTACAAGAACTTAATTAAATATTGTAAGATTATAATAATAAAACAAAAAATACCTATAATTTTAAGTGGTAGCAACAATGACTAAAATCGTTATATATAAAAAGGAATGTACTTTTTTAAATAACAATATACAATAAGTATTTGCCTTAGGAGTCTTTAGGTTAAGTTGTAAATAGTGTAAGAATTAAATACGACATGCAACTTGCGTTGTGCAAAAACGAAAGTTTATCGCGGCGGTGCTGTTTTTAAACACCAAAAAAATTACGATCACAAATTTAAATTAGCATTCATGAAATATGACGAGGTTACGAGTTCCCTCCTCAGCGTTCAGTTTCTTGGGTCCCCCGCGAACGGATGGGTTGCAATTATGCCATGTTTTTCATCGCAACCCCACTCAGACGCCGCTTGCTGAAAAAGAAACCAATTTTGCACGCTCATTAATTATTTAAATCTCATTAATTTTTTTTGCTGCTACCATTTTGTGGAGTTAAAAGCGTTGTCTATGACCTCCCTCTAAGCTTAAATGTTAGTAATTTGATGCAATTTATCATTTATATTACTATAAAAGTACTAAATATTTTAATGTTTGTGTGGGAGATATGTTAGTGTGGCATTTCTTCTACATATGGTGAGGTCCATGCTAATAGTGGTTATGCATGCCACAAAGAAGCTTAATTCGGTGATAATCTTGGTATATTATGGTAGCTTATAATGGGTCGTGAGATCACCACCGAGTCCAAAATTTTTCTCATCAGTTTATAAATTTTATGAAACGTGTTGGACTTCGTCTGGAAATCTAGATATTAAATGGGTGGTAGGTTAGGGCAGGGATCAAATGAATCCCATGGTTGTCAGTCCTCTATCATAAAGAAAATCATTTTCCTGAAGTGACTTACCTAAAGGTAGGTGATGAAGAGGCACAGGAAATTATTCAACTTCATTGTGGGTATGTAATTTTGGATAAAACTCAAACGTTCAAGCTGACGGCTGCTTCCGATTGGATGAAGACGACATCGTCTCTCTTTATAACAGATTTGTTTATTTCTTTAATTTTCGGAAATTAAGCTGCCAAATTTAGTAAATGGGATGTCGGAAGGCTTCATTTTGTTTTTGAAATAACAAGTGAAAAGTTATACTTAAATTAAGGTATAGAACGCTTCTTATAAAAAATAAAAGCGAAGGTTCGAGAAAAATCAGAAGTACTTAATTACAAAGACGTACCTATGTAGGCAGTGGGTAATGTTTTTTGTTAATAGACTAGATTCTAAATGGGCGCGTGACGCCGCCGTGGGCGTCCGCTTCGGGTGGAGCGGGTGATCATTCGTCCACGCTTTAATTGCTTTTCACTTAGCAACCGCTGCCGAACAAAGCGATAGCGAAAATGAGGAAAAATCATTAAATCAACATTTTTAGGGATTGCTCAGATTTAAAACGCTCAAAGGCGAAAGTCTTGTGCGTATAACGCCTTCCTCTTGTTTTTCCAGCGCGCCTCATTTCCGGGAGGAGGTCGCGAGGCGGGGGTGGCGAGGGGCTAAGTAATTTCGCTTAAGAACTCTAAACGTAATTAGTGTAGGGCGTGCAAAGGGAAGGGCTTGAAAGTTAGAGAGGGTTGCGTCCCGCGCCCGCCGCGTCGCTTCTTTCTGAATATTTGATCGCGCTCGTCTCGCGATAATATTTGCCCGAGGAGGTTTCCGTAAACACGGCCATATTTCCCCATCTCCTGGCATTTTCGAATTCGAATTTTAAACCTGTCGCCCGCTTTAATTGGAACCCGTGTTAGGTAAGTAGACTTGTAAGGGAATTAAAAACTCGCGCAACGCTGCTCCCGAATACTTTTGATGTTATTAAGTTTTCGTGAAAAGGAAATCTGTTTTGAACTTTATAACAAATATTATTCTCGGAATAGCGGAGTACGCGTGTCGATTTTTAAGGAAAAGCGACGAGTTTATTTTTTATTAAAATATAGAAAGCATATTAAGAAAATATGTACACGTTTTACACGTACTTATTAAAAACGCTTTTAATATTTCTTAATGAAATGTTTAATATTACATAATATATTAATAATAGTTTATGAGTATTGAAGATTTTGCCATTGTATGTGTGTAGGTACCAGATACCATTCGTTCGTGTATGACAAGAACGTGTGAAAGTGTATCTGTTGATACATTTTGTGAGAAACTATAAGCCATCAGAGCTGTCAAGCAATATAATTTACTGTACCTATTTACTGAAGCTTAATATTCATTTGATAGCCTGTAGGGTAGTAATTAATAAATTCAAAAGATCTGTAAGACAAGAGAGGAAATTAGAATTCGTAATTAGAGCGAAGCAACGCCGCGGCTGCTTCTACAACATTTGATTAGCAATTATGGTAATTTGACTTAGAGCAGGGTAAGATTTCTCCTAATTTGTTAGTTAAATTATGGAATAGCGTTGACGGCGAAAAAAGTTCTATTAAATCTTGTATAACGAAGTTAG